CCAATAAAATTATAGACTGATCATTTCTTTGTCAGTGGGCAAACGTACAAAATCAGCAGGGGATCAAATACTTTTTTCTCTCACTGTAGCTATACCATGATATTTGCATTGCTACTAAGTAACCCTCCAATTGTTCTCCACTAATTCCCCCGCTAAAGCCCCTCCCCATCCCAAGTTGGGCCATCATCGCAGTGTTCAGCATACTACCCCCATCCCCCCGAATCCCTAGGCCCCAGAGAAAATATATATCCATTCAAATATCTTGCTTATCTTATTTTCCATCATTATCGATTAATATGCAAAATAATGTCGGCAATTCATTCTTGTTTTTTCCCGCTCGGCTCAAGAACATGTCCGACAAGTCCTACAGTGTCTTCTGGAGAACCAGCTGTTTGTCAAAGCGGAGAAATGCAAATTCCATCGCTCCACCATCTCCTTCCTTGGATACATCATCGCTGCAGGCAATATACAGATGGATCCTGGAAAGGTGACAGCGGTGGTGGATTGGCCTCAACCCACCTCCAGATTGCAGCTGCAACCCTTCTTGGGGTTCGCCAATTTCTACCGCCGGTTCATCCAGGGTTACAGCACCCTGGCTTCCCCCCTTTCAGCCCTCACCTCTCCCAAGGTCCCGTTCACGTGGTCTCCAGCTGCAGATCGGGCGTTCTTGGACCTCAAGCACCGATTCACGACCGCCCACATCCTAAAAGCTGCATAGCCCAAGACCAAAAGCTGCATCCCTGCGCTTTCCTCTTGTCTCAACACCACTGAAAGGAATTACGACGTGGGTAACCGAGAACTACTCACGGTGAAGATGGCGTTGGAGGAGTGGAGGCACTGGTTAGAGGTGGCAGAACACCCTTTCATAGTGTGAACAGATCACAAGAACCTGGAATATCTCCAAGCAAGCTCGATGGGCCCTACTATTCACTCGTTTCAACTTCACCATCTCCTACCGCCCGGGGTCAAAGAATGTGAAGCCAGATGCGCTTTCAAGCGTCTATAGCCCCGCTGCTACACCATCGGACCCCAAGACCATCCTCCCTACCTCTTGTCTCGTGGCTGCACTCATCTGGGGTATAGAGAACCAGGTCCGTGAGGCGCAGCGTTCAACCGGATGTTTGTCCCGGACTCTGCCCATTCCCACGGTTTTGGAATAGGCTCATTCCTCCCGACTGGCTTGTCATCCTGGCTCCTGTTGGACCCTGACCTTTGTACGACAACGTTTTTGGTGGCCCACCTTGGTTCCTGACGTCTCCACGTTCGTCGCCACCTGCACCGTGTGTGCTCAGAACAAAACTCTGCGGCAAGCTCCGGCTGGCCTTCTTCAACCTCTTCCATTCCTCACAGCCCCTGGTCCCATATATCTCTGGACTTCGTCACGGGTCTCCCTCCATCAGATGGCAACACCACTATCTATCACGGTGGTGGATAGGTTTTCCAAAGCCGGCAATTTCATTCCCCTTCCCAAGTTACCTCCCGAGTGGCGCAGTGGTCTAAGGCACTGCATCGCAGTGCTAGCTGTGCCACTAGAGATCCTGGTTTGAATCCAGGCTCTGTCATAGCCGGTCGCGACCGGGAGACCCATGGGGCGGCGCACAATTGGCCCAGCGTCGTCCAGGGTAGGGGAGGCAGGGATGTAGCTCAGTTAGTAGAGCATGGTGTTTACAACGCCAGGGTTGTGGGTTCGATTCCCACGGGGGGCCAGTATGAAAAATAAAAAAAGAATGTATGTACTCACTAACTGTAAGTCGCTCTGGATAAGAGCGTCTGCTAAATGACTAAAACGTAAGTTACATGCAATAATAGTGAAAACACCAAAACTATGAAATGACACATATGGAATCATGTAGTAACCACAAAAGTGTTAAACAAATCAAAATATATTTTATATTTGAGATTCTTCAAATAGCCACCCTTTGCCTTGATGACAGCTTTGCACACTCTTGGCATTCCCTCAACCAGCTTCATGAGGTAGTCACCTGGAATGCATTTCAATTAACAGGTGTGCCTTCTTAAAAGTTAATTTGTTGAATTTATTTCCTTCTTAATGCATTTGAGCCAATCAGCTGTGTTGTGACAAGGTAGGGGGGTATACAGAAGATAGCCCTATTTGGTAAAAGACCAAGTCCATAATATGGCAAGAACAGCTCAAATAAGCAAAGAGAAACGACAGTCCATCACTACTTTAAGACATGAAGGTCAGTCAATATGGAACATTTCAAGAACTTTTAAAGTTTCTTCAAGTGCAGTTGCAAAAACCATCAAGCGCTAAAGTTTGGACACACCTTACTAATTCCAGGGTTTTTCTTTATTTTTACTACTTTCTACATTGTAGAATAATAGTGAAGACATCAAAACTATGAAATAACACATATGGAATCATGTAGTAACCAAAAAAGTCTTAAACAAATCAACATGTATTTTATATTTGAGATTCTTCAAATAGCCACCCTTTGCCTTGATGACAGCTTTGCACACTCTTGGCATTCTCTCAACCAGCTTGGCATTCTCTCAACCAGCTTCATGAGGTAGTCACCTGGAATGCATTTAAATTAACAGGTGTCCCTTCTTAAAAGTTAATTTGTGGAATTTCTTTCCTTCTTAATGCGTTTCAGCCAATCAGTTGTGTTGTGACAGGTGTGTGTGGGGGGGGGGGGGGGGGGGTTATACAGAAGACAGCACTATTTGGTAAGAAATAATTATGGCAAGAACAGCTCATATAAGCAAAGAGAAACGACAGTCCATCATTACTTTAAGACATGAAGGTCAGTCAATATGGAACATTTCAAGAACTTTTAAAGTTTCTTCAAGTGCAGTTGCAAAAACCATCAAGCGCTATGATGAAACTGGCGCTCACGAGGACCGCCACAGGAATGGAAGACCCAGAGTTACTTCTGCTGCAGAGGATAAGTTCATTAGTTACCAGTCTCAAAAATTGCAGCCCAAATAAAAGCTTCACGGAGTTCAAGTCACAGACACATCTCAACATCAACTGTTCATAGGGGACTGTGTGAATCAGGCCTTCATGGTCGAATTGCTGCAAAGAAACCACTACTAAAGGACACCAATAAGATGAAGAGACCTGCTTGGGCCAAGAAACACGTGCAATGGACATTAGACCGGTGGAAATGTGTCCTTTGGTCTGGAGTCCAAATTTGAGATTTTTGGTTCCAACCGCTGTGTCTTTGTGAGACGCGGTGTGGATGAACGGATGATCTCCGCATGTGTAGTTCCCACCGTAAAGCATGGAGGAGGAGGTGTTATGGTGTGGGGGAGCTTTGCTGGTGACACTGTTTGTGATTTATGTAGAATTCACGGCACACTTGAATTCCACAGCATTCTGCAGCGATACGCCATCCCATCTGGTTTGGGCTTAGTGGGACTATCATTTGTTTTTCAACAGGACAATGACCCAACACACCTCCAGGCTGCGTAAGGGCTATTTTACCAAGAAATCACAAGATAGTGATTGAGTGCTGCATCATATGATCTGGCCTCCACAATCCCCCGACCTCAACCCAATTGAGATGGTTTGGGATGAGTCGGACCGCAGAGTGAAGGAAAAGCAGCCAACAAGTGCTCAGCATATGTCGGAACTCCTTCAAGACTGTTGGAAAAGCATTCCAGGTGAAGCTGGTTGAGAGAATGCCAAGAGTGTGCAAAGCTGTCATACAGGCTGTCACGTTCGTTTAAGGACGGGTCAGACCAGGGTGCAGCGTGAAATGCGTACATGTTTATTTAACTGATAAACACATGACAAAACAACAAACCAACGAAACGTGAAGTCCTAAGGCTACACACAAAACAAGCCTACTCACGGAACAAGATCCCACCACTAACGAGTGCCAATAGGCTGCCTAAGTATGATCCCCAATCAGAGACAACGAGCGACAGCTGCCTCTGATTGGGAACCACACCGGCCAACATAGATCTACACATAAAGATCATTCACATAGCTATACACAACATAGAATATTCACACCCTGACTCAACATATAAGAGTCCCCTGAGTCAGGGCGTGACACAGGCAAAGGGTGGCTATTTGAAGAATCTCAAATATGAAATATATTTTGATTTGTTTAACACTTTGTTGGTTACTACATGATTCCATATGTGTCATTTCATAGTTTTGATGTCTTCACTATTATTCAACAATGTAGAAAATAGTACAAATAAAGAAAAACCCTTGAATGAGTAGGTGTCCAAACTTTTGAATGGTACTGTACGTCAGTTCATTAAGTGGGTGTAGTCTTCGATGTTACTATTTAAAAACCATTAGCCTTTGATTTGTACATCCATTTATTTATGTGCAGCCTGTAGAATATGGGCTTTCAATTAAATGTTAATGAAACCGTGGATTAACAAGCTATACATTTAATTATCTCTCAATTATCTCTCCATCTCTATTGCTCTAAAAGCTTATTTCAAATTCACTCTGTACATTCAAAGTGTAACTTGGCCTTTATTATGATTTCAGTGTCCTCTTAATGGAATGATTCTTATTTTCAGCATCAGTGGGTGCTGCTGCACTAAACGAAACATAGTAAATGTAAATCTGTAAATTAGGATGAAATGTAACATTTGGTATGTTTACATAAAACAGAAGATTACTTAAGGCAAAAATGAAAGGAGGGAGGTTGCTCAGGGTTGATGGGTCGGCGTATAACGCGAATTTCTAGCAACCCAAACTTTGCGTGTTTGAATCACATCACGGACAACTTTAGCATTTTAGCTAATTAGCAACTTTGCAACTACTTACTACTTTTGAGCTACTTTGCAACAACTTAGCATGTTAGCTAACCCCTTTCCCCTAACCCTAACCTTAACCCCTAACCCTAACTCCTAACCCTAACCTTAACCCTAACTTTAACCCCTAACCCTAGCCTTAACCCGTAGCCCTAATCTTAACCCTAACCTTAACCCTAAGCCCTAGCCTAGCTAATTTAGCCACCTAGCCTCCTATTATATCAATTGTACTTCGTAACATATCATACGAAATGGGTGATGGACATCCACAAATGAATACATACCATACAAACGTACCATATTATCAGACAGATTTACATTTGCTATGTTACGTCTACCCCTGAGTCCAGGTTGTGTGTACAGCTCTCTCTGCCCTGCTTTCCTGCTCTGCTACCGAGCATCCAAAGCACTCACGCTCTTCATCTCATCTCCTCTCTTCCAACCCATCTCTCACTCACCCTCTCTGCTCTCTGTCTTTCTCTCCTCCCTCTTTTTTTCTCTTTATCTTCTGTCTAATTCCCCCATCCCTCCCCCTTTCTCAACTCAATCTGCCTCTCACTCTCACACACACACACACACACACACACACACACAGACAGAGAGGAGAGGGGAGCGCACATGTGAGGCGAGGATCTCCCTAACCGCTCCGCTCCACTCTGTACTCCCTCCCTCCCAAGGCAGACAGAAGACTGGAGAAGAGGAGGAAAGAGAAATACTGCAGTGACCAACCAGCTGCTCTCTCTCTCGCTGCTCCACTGCTTTCATCCTCTATTTTTTTCATTATTTAGCCCCCCCCCCCCCCCCGCCAATTATATCATGAACCTGCCTGCTGCTTGTTGCTAAGGACAGTAAAACAGGGAGCAGTGGACAAGGAATTATTTTGTTGCTAAGGTAATGAATGCTTCATTAGTTGGGAGTTGTCAGGAGCATTGTATTGGCTGGCTGGTGTGAGTGAGGGGGATTGGCTGTGCATGATCAACTGCATGTCTGTTTTGTGCCTGTTGTTCATAAACTTTTCTCCACAGCTCAGATTATCCTGTTGATGCTATGGAATTAGATGGTGACTGTCAGTGCATGTATGTCAGTGCCTGTGTTCGATCCTGTTAACGCTAACACAGACATCTATAGGACTGGTGTTCTGTGAAGTTAGATTTCCATGCTTTGGAAATGAAGTTGTTCCTATGAATTACAGGTTGCAGCAGTCCATAGCAAGGAGCTATTGCAGGTCTTCATCTATTCACCTAGGAATATCTTGTCTTGTAGGTGTCATATAATTCATACAGAATGTCTGAATGGTTGGAGAAATTGATAAAGGGATAGGATGTAAACTTAGTTTAGGAACTCCTGGTTACTTAGACATTCTGCTAATCAATGCAGGCTGCAAACAGCTCCTCAATCCATCATCATGGTGGCAATAACAACTTTGGATAATAAGTGGATAATGTGCATGATTACTGCTTCCTGCTCTATAGGATAATGCTCTTTGTGTGTTAAACAGTTGTAATAAATCATTACTATGAAAGACTCAAAGCAACCTTGCATGTCTAGTGCTGTGCAGCTAGTGGTTTATTGAATGTATTCAATCTCAATCTGATCCTCTAACCATGATAGTCTATGTTTGTTATGGATTACAATGCAGCAAGTGGCCACACTTCAAGACACAATTATGTAATTGTACTGAAACTCACTCGCCATTGGTTTCCCTCTGGCAAAATGTTGTTTTATTGATTTATACTATGTATGAAACTTTCATTTCATGCGATTTTGTACAGAATGTGCCATGATGCTCTCTCACTGCTGTTTCAGAATGCAGAGTTTCACAGCTCCTCCTTTCAGAACAACCATAACAACCTAGGAGACTTTCTTGTAGTGGAACACAAATAGTTATAAATAAATATGAGAAGATTTTTTTATAAAACTGTTCTTGGAAGCTTTATCGTCCCTGTCTGTTCTACGTACTCCAAAAAGATGAATGTGTCAAATGATGTAATCCTCTCTCTTTTTCTGCCTGACGCATGATTACAAATGCTTATACCAATCTGATACACATTATTACTCAACTGAAGAAGAATGATGATTGTAGCATAGTGAATTTAGATTATGAAAATCCATAGTTAAGCAGAAATTATCCTGTAGAGCGGGAGAGAGGGAGAGAGGGAGAGAGGGAGAGAGCGAGAGAGAGAGAGCGAGAGAGAGAGAAAGAGAGAGAGAGAGAGAGAGAGAGCTGTAGTGGGATGGATATTGAATGGAGGTCATGTATAATCCCTTACGGTAGCTTTTTAAGCTTTACGTCATGAGAGTACACAGGACTGGCAAGCCTGATCACACTGTGTGGCTAATGTTGTCTTAGCTGTGCAAATGGTCAAGGTTTTAACCATAGTAGCTTGATTAATTCAATAACAGGCTTATTGCACATTACCTATGCCCAACACACTATGTACCTATTATAATTATTGTTTACAGTCTCTGACTCACCAATGTCCTGAACACCACTGAGTATCTATAGCTTATCAGCGGAAGGCTGTCCGATGCCTGATTATACATGACTGTTGCCAGGACATTTTGCCACTTTGACTCACAGGCCTGACATTTTTCTTGGCTTAGTCAGCTAGTTTATATTCACCTCACTGTATTGCATTACTGCTATGGCTTTGTTATCTGCCTGTATTGTGACAGGTGTTGTCACCTGAGAGAAGAGCAAACATTTTGGGGAATGTCATAATGATAATAATAAACTGACCGTGTATTTCACCCTGAACCAAATGAATACATTTATGGGCTATTATGAGTAGTTTTTGACATTGATGATGGTCCTTTCCTGAACTCCCCTCTGCTCCCTGTCTCTATGTGTCCATGCAGCCTCCTGTGTCCATGCAGCCTCCTGAGCCTAGGACACAGCAGTCATGGAGGAGGGATCCAGAGACCAGGGACAACAAGGTGTGGGGACAACAGATCCTGAGGAGGACTCTCCCAACATGATCGTCTACAGAAAGGTATGTGTCTGTATGCTCTCTGACAGCCCATATAGCAAGGTATAGGACAATTTTATAATTTACAAGATGGTACAGACTCTATAGGTAAGCACCCAATGTAGTTATCCATTGGAAGACATGGAGCAATTTAATTTGAATGTTTCTGAAGCAGATTGGTACAGTAATGAATCTCACAGTGGTTTCTGACACCTCAGCGGTTTATCTCTCAATGTCTATAACACATTACATCTCAATATCTGAGCCAGATGAATATGACAGGAAGAGGCCTACCCACTGGCAGGTAATGGAACATGTTCTAAACCCTCCTTGTGTGTGTCTGTCAGAGACAACCGCTGATGTGACCCACACTGGCCACCACACACTTCTTCTGGCAGCCTGGCAGACTGTCTGCACTCTGCAGCCCTCTAAAGTTTTAATAAGCTCTCCATCAGTGTGGGTTTGGGGAAGAAAAGGTCCTTTATGTGTCAAGGGTAATTATACAATCCCTATGGCACTTGAGTCTCAATGCCTGTGCTTCGATAGGAGAAGACAAAGGAGAGGGTGAGCGGCACCATGGGTAATGATGTAGTAGGACTCACAGGAAGTGGCTGCTCCTCCAAGGCTGGGCTCGTCTGCTTTCTCTGGAGCTGCTCATAAAGTGCTTGTTACCTTCACTCTCAGCTCCACAGCTCGCTCGGCACAGACAGGCCCACTCAAAAACCTGCTTTTGATCACCCTAAACTAATCTCCCAACTAGTCCCAATGTGCTGACGATTGCGAAACTAAAGCAAAGAGTTGATAGATCGAGGCCTGATTCCATTCTGTTATTATTGTCGCTTTTGCTAATGACAATGCAATAGTGGGGAGAGAAAAACTAATGATTTGAGAAAAGGAATGGAGTCAATGGAAGATTGATGATGATATCGTTCAGGAAGACATCTTTCACTGATTGAACTTCTCTCTCTAATGTCTGTCTGAAGATGAGTATGATTATGGGAAGATAATGATTATAATGATCTGTGCCTTGTTCAGTGCTGAAATAAGGTTCCTAGAATGATCACTTAACCTCTACGGGATCGATGTCCCGTATACGGGACGGTTGAGCTAACGAGAATGATCACTTAACCCCCAAGCTTCCACTTCCCCTGTCCACCTGAATGAGCAGTCAGAACATAAGCAGGCTTAATGTGTTTTAATGTGGTCACACGCCGTAAAGAGATGTTGAACAGTGGCTCTACATGTCAGACACCACACAATCAAATGAAGATTGAAGCAAATGTAGACAGCTTTATCTCCTAGAGCAGTGGTTCCCAAACTGTGGGTTGGGACCCACTTGTGGGTTGAGGCAGGGGTCCAGGTGGCTCGTGGGATTACATTTTTTGTGCATTGCAATAAAATAAAATACATAAATACTTTATATACAGTAAGGAAAAAAAGTATTTAGTCAGCCACCAATTGTGCAAGTTCTCCCACTTAAAAAGATGAGAGAGGCCTGTAATTTTCATCATAGGTACACGTCAACTATGAGACAAATTGAGACGAAAAAAATCCAGAAAATCACATTGTAGGATTTTTTATGAATTTATTTGCAAATTATGGCTGAAAATTAGTATTTAGTCACCTACAAACAAGCAAGATTTCTGGCTCTCACAGACCTGTAACTTCTTATTTAAGAGGCTCCTCTGTCCTCCACTCGTTACCTTTATTAAAGGCACCTGTTTGAACTTGTTATCAGTATAAAAGACACCTGTCCACAACCTCAAACAGTCACACTCCAAACTCCACTATGGCCAAGACCAAAGAGCTGTCAAAGGACACCAGAAACAAAATTGTAGACCTGCACCAGGCTGGGAAGACTGAATCTGCAATAGGTAAGCAGCTTGGTTTGAAGAAATCAACTGTGGGAGCAATTATTAGGAAATGGAAGACATACAAGACCACTGATAATCTCCCTCGATCTGGGGCTCCACGCAAGATCTCACCCCGTGGGGTCAAAATGATCACAAGAACGGTGAGCAAAAATCTCAGAACCACACGGGGGGACCTAGTGAATGACCTGCAGAGAGCTGGGACCAAAGTAACAAAGCCTACCATCAGTAACACACTACGCCGCCAGGGACTCAAATCCTGCAGTGCCAGACGTGTCCCCCTGCTTAAGCCAGTACATGTCCAGGCCCGTCTGAAGTTTGCTAGAGTGCATTTGGATGATCCAGAAGAGGATTGGGAGAATGTCATATGGTCAGATGAAACCAAAATAGAACTTTTTGGTAAAAACTCAACTCGTGTTTGGAGGACAAAGAATGCTGAGTTGCATCCAAAGAACACCATACCTACTGTGAAGCATGGGGGTGGAAACATCATGCTTTGCGGCTGTTTTTCTGCAAAGGGACCACGACGACTGATCCGTGTAAAGGAAAGAATGAATGGGGCCATGTATCGTGAGATTTTGAGTGAAAACCTCCTTCCATCAGCAAGGGCATTGAAGATGAAACGTGGCTGGGTCTTTCAGCATGACAATGATCCCAAACACACCGCCCGGGCAACGAAGGAGTGGCTTCGTAAGAAGCATTTCAAGGTCCTGGAGTGGCCTAGCCAGTCTCCAGATCTCAACCCCATAGAAAATCTTTGGAGGGAGTTGAAAGTCTGTGTTGCCCAGCGACAGCCCCAAAACATCACTGCTCTAGAGGAGATCTGCATGGAGGAATGGGCCAAAATACCAGCAACAGTGTGTGAAAACCTTGTGAAGACTTACAGAAAACGTTTGACCTGTGTCATTGCCAACAAAGGGTATATAACAAAGTATTGAGAAACTTTTGTTATTGACCAAATACTTATTTTCCACCATAATTTGCAAATAAATTCATTAAAAATCCTACAATGTGATTTTCTGGAATTATTTTTCTCATTTTGTCTGTCATAGTTGACGTGTACCTATGATGAAAATTACAGACCTCTCTCATCTTTTTAAGTGGGAGAACTTGCACAATTGGTGGCTGACTAAATACTTTTTTTTCCCCTACTGTATACAGTGCTTTCAGAAAGTATTCAGACCCCTTGACTTTTTCCACATTTTGTTACGTTACAGCCTTATTCTAAAATTGATAAAAAATATAAAAAAATACTCAGCAATCTACACACAATACCCCATAATGACAAATCAAAAACAGGTTTATAGAATCTTTCAAATTTATAAAAATAAAAATCAGAAATACCTTATTCACATAAGTATTCAGACCCTTTGCTATGAGTGTTGAAATTGAGCTCAGGTGCATCCTGTTTCCATTGATCATCCTTGAGATGTTTCTACAACTTGATTGGAGTCCACCTGTGGTTAATTCAATTGATTGGACATGATTTGGAAAGGCACACAGTTGACAGTGCATGTCAGATCAAAAACCAAGCCATGAGGTCGAAGGAATTGTCCATAGAGCTCCGAGACAGGATTGTGTCGAGGCACAGATCTGGGGAAGGGCACCAAAACATTTCTGAAGCATTGAAGGTCCCCAAGAACACAGTGGCCTCCATCATTCTTAAATGGAAGAAGTTTGGAACCACCAGGACTCTTCCTAGAGCTGGCCGCCTGGCCAAACTGAGCAATCGGGGAAGAAGGGCCTTGGTCAGGGAGGTGACCAAGAACCCGATGGTCACTCTGACAGAGCTCCAGAGTTCCTCTGTGGAGATGGGAGAACCTTCCAGAAGGACAACCATCTCTGCAACACTCCACCAATCAGGCCTTTATGGTAGAGTGACCAGACGGAAGCCACTCCTCAGTAAAAGGCACATGACAGCCCGCTTGGGGTTTGCCTAAAGACACCTAAAGACTCACAGACCATGAGAAACAAGATTCTCTGGTCTGATGAAACCAAGATTGAACTCTTTGGCCTGAATGCCAAGAATCACGTCTGGAGAAAACCTGGCACCATCCCTACTGTGAAGCATGGTGGTGGCAGCATCATGCCGTGGGAATATTTTTCAGCGGCAGGGACTGGGAGACTAGTCAGGATCGAGGGAAAGATGAACAGAGCAAAGTACAGAGAGATCCTTGATGAAAACCTGCTCCAGAGCGCTCAGGACCTCATACTGGGGCGACGGTTCACCTTCCAACAGGACAACGACCCTAAGCACACAGCCAAGACAACGCAGGAGTGGCTTCGGGACAAGTTTCTGAATGTCCTTGATTGGCCCAGCCAGAGCCCGAACTTGAACCCGATCTAACATCTCTGGAGAGACCTGAAAATAGCTGTGCAGCAACGCTCCCCATCCAACCTGACAGAGCTTGAGAGGATCTGCAGAGAAGAATGGGAGAAACTCCCCAAATACAGGTGTGCCAAGCTTGTAGCGTCATACCCAAGAAAACTCAAAGCTGTAATCGCTGCCAAAGATTCTTCAACAAAGGACTGAGTAAAGGGTCTGAATACTTATGTAAATGTGATATTTCAGTTTTTAATTTTTAATAAATTAGCAACAATTTCTAAAAAACTGTTTTTGCTTTGTTATTATGGGGTATTGTGTATAGATTGATGAGTGAAAAAAACAATTTAATCAATTTTAGAATAAGGCTGTAACCTAACAAAATGTGGAGAAAGTCAAGGGGTCTGAACACTTTCCGAAGGCACTGTATATATATATATATAAAAATAAAAAATAATAGCCTATAATCTTTGAGAACTTACAATCACCAAAATAAAATCTAGACCAAGTGTGAAAGTAAGCCTGTACGGTCAGGGAAGGCATCCCGGAAAAATAAATAGTGGGGGTCAGCAGTAGGTCAAGTCAGGTGTAGGCCTAATTACAATCGCAGAATGTCATTACAATACACTTTTAGGTGTTTTGTAACGGATGTCTCTTTCCATTCATCAAATTGCGGGTGCACAGTGCACTGTTTGAATTATTTTGTAAGTGGAGGAGCGTGCGTGGGTAGCCTGCAGGAGCGCCTTTTTGAAGTGATTGTTTGACAATCAGATGGAAACATCATGATTAGAGTTGTTGCATGACTTTATATAACTGCCGTAATGTTGCTGGACCCCAGTAAGAGTATCTGCTGCCTTAATGTTTCTGGATCCTTAATAAATACAAATACCTATTACCGCCACACCGGCGGTCACAGTAAAATTCCCTGTGACTGCTGAGTCACGGTAAACTCCTCTTATGCACTCTGGACATGAGTTGGTAGTACCCAACTCGGTAATGACCATCAGGTTGCTAATGGCCTGGTACTCAGGGCTGTACTGTCTCTCTAACCACTCTGACATCAATGCAAATGCAATCGAAAATCACATCAAACACTTATCATCAAAACAGTATGTGCTTTTAAAACTCACCTCACTGTGATTGATCCATTTGAAGAAATAAGTTAAACAAAGGTTGAAACTGAGTGGAAAACATGGTCATTGTGGATGTTGTTTCAAAGCCTAGCACAAGGAAATGGACAGCGCTTTCTAAGGTGATGATTAATTCAAAACCCTCATACGCATATTAGGGTTTATGCATACACGTACAGTGGCTTGCGAAAGTATTCACCCCCCTTGGCATTTTTCCTATTTTGTTGCCTTACAACCTGGATTTTAAAATGAATATTTGGGGGGTTTGTATCATTTGATTTACACAACATGCCTACCACTTTGAAGATGCAAAATATTTTTTGGGGTGAAACAAAAAAGAAATAAGACAAAAAAACAGAAAACTTGAGCGTGCTTAACTATTCACCCACCCAAAGTCAATACTTTGCAGAGCCACCTTTTGCAGCAATTACAGCTGCAAGTCTCTTGGGGTAAGTCTCTATAAGCTTGGCACATCTAGCCACTGGGATTTTTGCCCATTCTTCAAGGCAAAACTGATCCAGCTCCTTCAAGTTGGATGGGTTCCGCTGGTGTACAGCAATCTTTAAGTCATACAACAGATTGTCAATTGGATTGAGGTCTGGGCTTTGACCAAGACATTTAAATGTTTCCCCTTAAACCACTCGAGTGTTGCTTTAGCAGTATGCTTAGGGTCATTGTCCTGCTGGAAGGTGAACCTCCGTCCCAGTCTCAAATCTCTGGAAGACTGAAACAGGTTTCCCTCAAGAAGTTCCCTGTATTTAGCGCCATCCATCAATTCTGACCAGTTTCCCAGTCCCTGCCGATGAAAAAACATCCCCACAGCATGAGGGTGTTCTCAGGGTGATGAGAGGTGTTGGGTTTGTGCCAGACATAGTGTTTTCCTTGATGGCCAAAAAGCTCAATTTTAGTATCATCTGACCAGAGTACATTCTTCCATATGTTTGGGGAGTCTCCCACATGCCTTTCGGCGAACAACAAACGTGTTTCCTTATTTTTTTCTTTAAGCAATGGCTTTTTTCCGGCCACTCTTCCGTAAAGCCCAGCTCTGTTGAGTGTATGGCTTAAAGTGGTCATATGGACAGATATTCCAATCTCCGCTGTGGAGCTTTGCAGCTCCTTCAGGGTTATCTTTGGTCTCTTTGTTGCCTCTCTGATTAATGCCCTCCTTGCCTGGTCCGTGAGTTTTGGTGGGCGGCTCTCTCTTGGCAGGTTTGTTGTGGTGCCATATTCTTTCAATTTTTTAAATAATGGATTTAATAGTGCTCTGTGGGATGTTCAACGTTTTTGATATTTTTTAATAACCCAACCATGATCTGTAATTCTCCACAACTTTGTCCCTGACCTGTTTGGAGAGCTCCTTGGTCTTCATGGTGCCGCTTACTTGGTGGTGCCCCTTGCTTAGTGGTGTTGCAGACTCTGGGGCCTTTCAGAACAGGTGTATATATATACTGAGATCATGTGACAGATCATGTGACACTTAGATTGCACACAGGTGGATTTTATTTAACTAATAATGTGACTTCTGGAGGTAATTGGTTGCACAGGATCTTATTTAGGGGCTTCATAGCAAAGGGGGTGAATACATATGCACACACCCCTTTTCCATTATTTATTTTCTAGAATTTTTTTCATTTCACTTCACCAATTTGGACTATTTTGTGTATGTCCATTACATGAAATCCAAATAAAAATTAATTTAAATTACAGGGTGTAATACAACAAAATTGGAAAAGTGCCAAGGGGGATGAATACTTTTGCAAGGCACTGTATAATAATTGTGCCCTTATACAATACATAGCCTACCACATATTATGCACAGCAGAAAAACTTTTTTTTTTAAACGACTTCAGATGTCTTTGGTACATAATTGGTCTAGCCTATACTCCAAAATTAAACAAATTATACTAATCGCCTTTGAGTGTGGACTGTATTATTATGCATACTGGATGGACTGCTTACCTTATGCTATGCTTCAAACATTCTATTCATGAGTCTGGGAGAGAATGTATAGGCCTAAGCGATGCTCTAGGTTCATTGATTGTGCAGGCGGCTAAACCTACAATTTAGCCGCCTTTGTATTTGATTTTGAATAGCCTAGTAATAGGGCATTTTTTTAATTGTCATAATTAATAGGCTGACATATTATCTTTAGCTACAGAATATCTCACCACTGTGCCTTTCCATCTCCTCCTCTCTCTCCTTCATTCCTTTCTCCAGTGTGAAGAAAGAGAGAGGGGCTGTCAGCAGTTTTGTTGTGAAAACATGTTACTAGGTTTCCCAAATTAAGCACTGGGTAAATACAGGAACAGGACTGGAGAGCCCATGGCATACAGAGTTTGGGCGGAATATCACCTGTCGCGCAGCGAGAGGCTGCATACTCCTCAAACAGTGGTTGATGCATGCAGTGAAATAACCTGAGTAGCCTGAAAAAGGAACCAGCCGGGAAAGCGGCCTCCATTCACTATTGGAGTGTATATGAATTACATGTCTTTTTCCCCTGCCCCTGTTCCTGCCCATTTAATAATGGGCCATTCTAAATCGAAACTCATTTGACATATTAGTAAAGACAAGATTACATTTAGAATAGTGAAAATATGATCACTTGATGAGAGAACAGCTGTGCAGCCTGAGGCAAGCAATAGAGCACAAGCTTTTTTTGCTACTTTCTCAAATCATCAATAGCCTATAGTCGCATCATGCAGCCCATATATGTTTTGACTTCTAAGACATTCTATGGTTTGTATCATTCACAACTAAAGTTGCCAAATAACTCTAAATCTAGCGTATAGGACCTGTTTCAAATTATTACTTTTACGCTTAACATAGCCACTTCATACACGCACTCACTCCGGAATGGGAAAAATATCGTTTCTATTTTATTCAGCTAAATTCAATTATATTCTTCTTACAATAAAACCATATAATATAAAATAATGGCACAGGACTTATAAGCATATCTTCTCTGCTAAATGAACAAGCCAACAGCCTATGGCATGGCGATAGCCAGATAACATACAGTAGGCCAACTCATATTCTGTTCTTCTGAAATAAATGTTCTTCATATCATAATGTTTATTTAGACTTGACTAAAATAAATAATGGATTTATTGTGATGGTGCATATTAAATCGATTTTTGACTTTTCTAAATGTAGATGTTCCAAAGGCGCGCATCAGCGGCTTGTATGCATGGAGGCCTGGAGATGGTAAACGTGTTTATGTTAATTAACGGTCAAGTACAATGAGACCGGCAGGCTTTTGCATGACAATAACTGGCTGACAAAATGTCATGACTGCCACAGCCCTAATCATGACTGGTTGTGTTTATGCCACAGTAAACGATAATACCTGTTAAAAGTTACATGACACATCTTTACTAGGCCCACAGAAATCATATGAAATTAATAGGGATTTTATATGTAATTCTATGATTACACCAATAAAAAAAGAGGGAGTCCTGTACCGGTAAGACATTTAATCGACTTTCACCCCTGAGCTAGACTGTCACGGTTTCGGCCAAGGCTGCCTCTCTTCCTTGTTCGGGCAGGCTTCGGCGTTCGTTGTCTCCGGAATACTAGCTGCCACCGTTGTATGTTTCATGTTCGTTTGCTTTTGTCTGTTTGTTGTGACACCTGTTCTCGTTTAGCGTAATTAGTGTCCTATAAGTTTCTCGTTGTGTTTGTCTAGTGTTGTGTGTTATTGATTTAGGTCTGTCGTGTGTTGGGCTTGTATTTTGCTATTTCGCTCGGTTGAGCTTTCCTCCACTGCGTTGGAGCGTTTTTCGCACCTGTTTAGTGCGCCTTTTGTTTTGTTCGCCTTCGTGCGTAATTTCGCCTTCGGGCAAGTCTGTTCGTATTTTTCCTTGTTGGAAATTGACTAAAGTCTTTTGGACTATACTTCGGTGTCCTGCGTTTGATTCCACCACTACACCCACCTACAGCATTCGTGACAGAATAACACACCCTGAAGAATGGAATCAGCAGGAGCCGCAGCAGCCCAGGCGACGCTGGAGGACAAGGTCCGGGAACAAAGTGACCAGATCCTGCAGATGGGGACCGCACTGCAGGAGGTGATCACCACCATCCGAGGCTGGGGGACGCCTCCACCGCCATCCTCCCTGCCAGCACCATCGGCCAGTCAGCCCATTCCCGCACCGGAACCCCGAGGAGTCCGACTCTCGCTCCCGAGGGCCTACGATGGGACCGCGGCCGGGTGTCAGGGATTCCTTCTCCAGGTGGAGCTGTACCTGGCCACCGTGCACCCGGCGCCCTCGGGACATGAGAGCGTGTCCGCCCTGATCGCCTGCCTTTCCGGGAAGGCGTTGGAATGGGCCAACGCGGAGTGGAGGAGGATCGACGCGGACACCATCACATACGACGAGTTCTCCCGCCGCTTCAGGGCGGTGTTTGACCATCCCCCGGAGGGGAAAGCGGCGGGGGGAGCGTCTGGTCTTCCTCCGGCAGGGGAGGAGGAGTGCCCAGGAGTTCGCCCTCGAATTCCGTACTCTAGCGGCAGATGCAGGGTGGAATGAGCGGGCTCTCGTCGATCACTACAGATGTAGTCTACGAGAGGACGTCCGTCGGGAGCTGGCCTGTAGGGACACCAGCCTCTCGTTCGACCAGTTGGTCGACATGTCCATCAGGCTGGATAACCTGCTAGCTACCCGCGGACGTCCCGAGGGGGGTCCGTCCATTTCACCCTCCAGCGCCTCCGAGCCGTGCCCCATGGAGCTCGGGGGCGCTGGCGCTAGAGAGAGGAGGGGTCGGCTTACTAGGGGATCCATCTCCTGCACCAACTGTGGTCGGGGAGGACACACCGCGGCTAGGTGCTGGGGATGGCCTCCTAGGGGAGAGGACGACAGGTCCCGCACTGGGGATTCCTTCCAGGTGAGTACGCGCCCCACTCACCCAGAGCTCTCTGTTGCACATTTCTGTATACCTGTGAGTTTTCCACAGGTAGCACCTCATTCCCAGCATAAGGCGCTGGTAGATTCAGGCGCGGCTGGGAATTTTGTTGATAAGAAGTTTTGTTTAGCCTTAGGGATTCCCCTTCTTCCTGTTGATGTCCCTTTCCCCGTTCATGCCCTAGATAGCCGTCCGTTGGGTGCGGGCTTGATCAGGGAAGTCACTGCGCCACTTAGGATGTGTGCGCAGGGGGGTCATCAGGAGATGATTCAGCTATTTCTGATTGACTCGCCTGCGTATCCGGTGGTGCTGGGCATGCCCTGGTTGAGTACCCATAACCCATCTATTTCGTGGCAGGAGAGGGCTCTGATGGAGTGGTCTGCCCAGTGTGTGGGTCGATGTTTGGGCGTTTCCGTAGGGGCTACCTCGGTGGAGAGTCCAAACCAGGTGCCCGCATTGCACGTTCCCCCTGAGTATGGGGATTTGGCTATCGCGTTTAGTAAGTCGAGGGCGACGCGGTTGCCACCCCATAGGCAGGGAGATTGTGCGATAGACCTCCAGGCAGGAGCTGCGCTCCCACGGAGCCATGTGTATCCTCTGTCTCAGGAGGAGAAGAAAGCTATGGAGACTTACATAGACGAATCTCTGAGACAAGGATACATACGGCCTTCCACTTCCCCTGCGTCCTCAAGTTTCTTTTTTGTGAAGAAGAAGGATGGTGGTTTACGCCCGTGCATCGATTACCGTGGTCTCAATCAGATCACGGTGAAGTACAGTTATCCACTCCCGCTGATTGCGACCATGACTGAGTCCTTGCATGGGGCGCGTTTCTTCACTAAATTAGATCTCAGGAGCGCGTACAACTTGGTGCGCATCAGGGAGGGCGATGAATGGAAGACAGCCTTTAGTACCACCTCGGGCCATTACGAGTATCTTGTCATGCCATACGGGTTGATGAACGCTCCGTCAGTTTTCCAATCATTCGTGGATGAGATCTTCAGGGACATGCAGGGGCAGGGGGTCGTTGTGTACATAGATGACATTCTCGTGTACTCGCCTACCCGTGTCGAGCATGTGGCCCTGGTGCGCAGAGTGTTGCGGAGGCTGGTGGAGCACGACTTGTATGTTAAGGCAGAGAAGTGTCTGTTTTTCCAGGAGTCGGTCTCCTTTTTGGGGTATCAGTTGTCTGCGTCAGGGGTGAAGATGGAGGTAGACCGGGTGTCAGCCATGCGTAATTGGCAAACACCAACCACTGTGAAGGAGGTGCAGCAGCTTTTGGGGTTTGCGAATTACTACCGGAGGTTTATCCGGGGTTTTGGACAGGTGGCAGCTCCCATCACGTCTCTTTTGAAGGGGGGTCCGGTGCGTCTGCAGTGGTCTGCCGAGGCGGACAGGGCGTTTGGGAGGCTGAAGGACCTGTTTACCTCGGCCCCGGTGCTGGCGCATCCGGATCCCTCTTTACCATTTCAGGTAGAGGTGGACGCGTCTGAGGCCGGTATAGGAGCCGTGCTTTCACAACGGTCAGGCGCGCCACCTAAACTCCGCCCCTGTGCCTTTTATTCCAAGAAGCTCAGTCCGGCGGAGTGAAACTATGACGTAGGGGACAGGGAGCTGTTAGCCGTGGTACAGGCCCTAAAGGTGTGGAGGCACTGGCTTGAGGGGGCTCAACACCCTTTCCTCATTTTGACGGACCACCGTAACCTGGAGTACATCCGGGCAGCGAGGAGGCTAAACCCTCGGCAGGCAAGATGGAATATGTTTTTGACCCGGTTTACATTTAAGATCACGTACATCCCTGGGTCACAGAACGGTAAGGCAGATGCGCTGTCTCGGCGGTATGACACGGAGGAGAGGTCCGTGGAGCCCACTCCCATACTGCCGGAGTCGTGTCTGGTGGCACCGGTAGTGTGGGAGGTCGATGCTGAGCTCGAGCGGGCGTTACGCACCGACCCTAGTCCACCGCAATGCCCGGAGGGTCGGAAGTACGTTCCGCTCGAGGTTCGGGATCGATTGATCTATTGGGCTCACACGTCACCCTCCTCTGGACACCCGGGTATCGGCCGGACAGTGCACTGTCTTAGTGCCAAGTACTGGTGGCCCACGTTGGCAAGGGATGTGAGGGTTTATGTTTCCTCCTGCTCGGTGTGCGCCCAGTGTAAGGCGCCTAGACATCTGCCTAGGGGTAAGTTACTACCCCTGCCCGTTCCACAACGACCATGGTCCCACCTCTCGGTGGATTTCCTTACTGATCTTCCTCCTTCACAGGGGAATACCACTATACTGGTCGTTGTGGACCGGTTTTCTAAGGCCTGTCGTTTGCTCCCCATGCCGGGCCTTCCTACCGCCCTGCAAACTGCCGAAGCCCTATTCACCCATGTGTTCCGGCACTACATCGTACCCGAGGATATTGTGTCTGATCGAGGTCCCCAATTTACCTCCAGAGTCTGGAGAGCTTTTATGGAGCGGTTGGGGGTCTCGGTGAGCCTCACCTCGGGTTACCACCCGGAGAGTAATGGGCAGGTGGAACGTGTGAACCAGGATGTGGGTAGGTTTCTTAGAACATACTGCCAGGACCGGCCGGAGGAGTGGGCAAGGTACGTTCCCTGGGCCGAAATGGCCCAGAATTCCCTACGCCATTCCTCCACTAACCTAACCCCTTTCCAATGTGTGTTAGGTTACCAGCCGGTTCTGGCACCTTGGCAGCAGAGCCAGATCGAGGCTCCTGCGGTGGATGAGTGGGCGCGGCGCTCGGAGGAGACATGGAACGCTGCACACGTCCACCTGCAGCGGGCCCTCCGACGTCATAAGGCGAGCACCGATCTCCACCGCAGTGAGGGACCGGTGTACGCACCTGGTGATCGAGTCTGGCTCTCTACCAGAAACCTGCCCCTCCGCCTGCCCTGTCGGAAACTGGGTCGGCGGTTTGTAGGGCCATTTAAAGTCCTGGGAAGGTTGAACGAGGTGTGTTACAAATTACAACTACCTGTTGAATATAAAATTATTAACCCCTCGCTCCATGTGTCCCTTCTCAGGCCGGTGGTAGCTGGCCCACTCCAAGAAAGTGAGATCAGGGAGACTCCTCCGCCCCCATTGGACATCGAGGGGGCACCGGCGTACTCCGTGAGGTCCATCTTGGATTCGAGACGTCGGATGGGGGGTCTCCAATATCTAGTGGAGTGGGAGGGGTACGGTCCGGAGGAGCGGTGCTGGGTGCCGAGGAGAGACATTCCTGACGGAATTCCATCGTGGGCACCCGACGCACCCTGCTCCGCGTCCTCCGGGTCGTCCCCGAGGCCGGAGTCGGCGCACGTCTGGAGCCGCGCGTCAAGGGAGGGGTACTGTCACGGTTTCGGCCAAGGCTGCCTCTCTTCCTTGTTCGGGCAGGCTTCGGCGTTCGTTGTCTCCGGAATACTAGCTGCCACCGTTGTATGTTTCATGTTCGTTTGCTTTTGTCTGTTTGTTGTGACACCTGTTCTCGTTTAGCGTAATTAGTGTCCTATAAGTTTCTCGTTGTGTTTGTCTAGTGTTGTGTGTTATTGATTTAGGTCTGTCGTGTGTTGGGCTTGTATTTTGCTATTTCGCTCGGTTGAGCTTTCCTCCACTGCGTTGGAACGTTTTTCGCACCTGTTTAGTGCGCCTTTTGTTTTGTTCGCCTTCGTGCGTAATTTCGCCTTCGGGCAAGTCTGTTCGTATTTTTCCTTGTTGGAAATTGACTCAAGTGTTTTGGACTATACTTCGGTGTCCTGCGTTTGATTCCACCACTACACCCACCTACAGCATTCGTGACATAGACAATTAGGCTACAATTGATTTTGTTATAATGTTTGAGCATAAGAATATAGCATTAGCCATGTCAAAATGTGTAGAATTGCAGGAAATTTGCTTAAAATGGCTACATTTTCCCTCAGCTCCATGGCAAAAAGTATAGAATTGCTATAAATTGGCTTTAAAACTAAATTAGCTTAAAACTGCTAATTGTTCTTTCAGCTCCATGGAAAAATGTGTAGAATTGCAGGAAATTAGCCATAAAACTGCAACATTTTCTCTCCACTGCCAAGATGAGGGCCTCAAATGTTCTTGCCCAGGGCCCAGACAGAATTCAGCCCATTGCCATGCCCCCTGTCACGCCCACCACCTAAGACCCTTTTTGATACAGAAAAACCCCTGCATTGTTACAAATAATTTCATTATTATATAGTAAATGTCTTAAAATTGGTCACAAGAGCCCATACTCAAATCTACATTCAGTTGAATGTTTTGAAGAAACATTATATTATTAATATATTTTTAACTTTTCTTTGGTCTGTGTATGTTTTTTCACCGCTCAACACTTATGGGGGGGGGGGTCGTGACTCAAAAGACACCTCAATTGGTGGGTCACGAAGCCAAAAGGTTTGGGAACCCCTGTCCTAGAGTATGACATCTAACCGTCTGACACACTTCAATATCATAAATATTCACCCTATGTAGATTGCAGACAGCTTTTCCAGCCTCTGATCGTTCCTGGCAGATGCACTCTGACAGTAAATCGCTGCCTGGCCTGAGGGCTAGCAATGCTTCCCGATGATGGCCTCAGTAATCACATTAGAAATACAACAGGTGTAGACTAACAGTGAAATGCTTGCTTACAGGTCCTTTTTCAACAATGCAGAATTAACCTCTACGAGATCAGTGTCCCTTATATGGGACGGTTGAGCTAATGTGCGCTAATGTGATTAGCATGACTGTTGTAAGTGACAGCAAACTTTCCAGGACATAGACATGTCTTATATGGATAGAAAACTTAAATTATTGTTAATCTATCTGCACTGTCCAATTTACAGTAGCTATTACAGTGAAAAAATACCATGCTATTATTTGAGGAGAGTGCACAACAACAAAAACTTATCACGGCAACTGGTTTGATACATTCACCTCTGAAGGTAAATAATGTACTTACATTCAGTAATCGTGCTCTGATTTGTCATCCTAAGGGTCCCAGAGATAAAATGTAGCATAGTTTTGTTTGATAAAATCAATTTTTATATTCAAATGTAGGAACTGGGTTCTACAGTTTGAACCCCTGCTGTCTCTGGCTCCACACCCACCCCGCCCGGCCATCTAGATGTGTGAAAGTTAGTGTATAAGCTAATGATCCATCATGTATGACATTCCTGGGAGTGTGTAAACTTACATTTTGTATTGCCATATCATTATTGTATGTTCTCTACAGTTATGTACTTGAAAATGTATCAATTGACCAATTCGGGACATTTGGGCAGACTTGACACAAAATAGTCCAGTATTGCAATGCTTCACTGGATCAATCTGAAACTTTGCACACACCCTGCTGCCATCTAGTGGCCGACATCTAAATTGCGCCTAAACTGCAATTTCAAAGATGATGGAACAAAACAATAAATAGAAAACGCATGTTTTTTTGTTTGTATTATCTTTTACCAGATCTAATGTGTTACATTCTCCTACATTAATTTCACATTTCCACAAACTTCAAAGCGTTTTCTTTCAAATGGTATCAATAATATGCATATCCTTGCTTCAGGTCCTGAGCTACAGGCAGTTAGATTTGGGTATGTCATTTTAGGCGAAAATTTAAAAAAGGGTCCGATCCTTAAGAGGTTAAAGAAAAAAATTATAATTGTGACACGAGGAATAAATACACAGTGAATAAAGAATAACAATGATAAGTAAAAAATAACATGGCTATATACAGGGATTACCAGTACCAAGTCTATGCAGGGGTACGAGGTAATTGAGGTAGCTATGTACATATAGGTAGGGTGAAAGTGACTAGGCAACAGGAGAGATAATAGACAGTAGCAGCAGCGGGTAGCCATTTGATTAGCTATTTAGCAGTCTTGTTTAGCAGTTTTATGGTTTGGGGGTAGAAACTGTTCAGGGTCCTATTGGTTCCAGACTTGGTGGACTGGTACCACTTGCCGCGCGGTAGCAGAGAGAACAGTCTATGGCTTGGGTGGCTGGAGTAAATTTTTTGGGCCTTCCTCTGACACCGCCTGGTATAGAGGTCCTTAATGGCAGTGATGTACTGGGCCGTACTCACCACCCTCTATAGCGCCTTGCAGTTGCCGTACCAAGCGGTGATACAGCCAGTCAAGATGCTCTCAATGGTGCACCTGTAGAACCTTTTGAGGATCTGAGGGCCCATAGCAAATCTTTTCAGCCTTCTAAGGGGAAGAGGCACTGTCGTGCCCACAACTGTGTGTGTGTGTGTGGGGCATGTTAATTTCTTGTAATGTGGATATCAAGGAACTTGAAGCTCTCGACCCGCTCCACTACAGCATCATTGATGTCCTTGCCCCTCTGTTTCCTGTAGTCCACGATCAGCTCCTTTGTCTTGCTGACGTTGAGGGAGAGGTTGTTGTCCTGGCAGTGTCTCTGACCTCTTCCCTATAGGCTGCCTCATCGTCGTCTGTGATCAGTCCTACCACCGTTGTCGTGGGTGAACAGGGTGACTAAGCAAACACCCCTGAGGGGCCCCCGTGTTGATGGTCAGTGTGATGGATATGTTGTTGCCTACCCTCACCACCTGGGGGCGGCCCGTCAGGAATTCCAGGATCCAGTTGCAGAGGGAGGTGTTCAGTCTCAAGGTCCCAAGCTTGGTGAAGAGCTTGGAGGGGACTATAGTGTTGAATGCTGAGCTGTAGTCAATGAACAGCATTCTTACATAGGTATTCCTTTTGTCCAGGTGGTTGAGGGCAGTGTGGAGTGCAATAGAGATTGCGTCATCTGTGGATCTGTTGGAGTGGTATGCAAATTGGAGTGTGTCCAGGGTGTCTGGGATAATGGTGTTGATGTGAGCCATGACCAGCATTTCAAAGCATTTCATGGATATAGATGTGAGTGCTACGGGGTGATAGACATTTAGGCAGGTTAACTTGGCGTTCTTGGGCATGGGGACTATGGTGGTGTGCTTGAAACAAGTTGGTATTACAGACCAGGTCAGGGAGAAGATGTCTGTGAAGACACTTGCCAGCTGGTCAGCACATGCTTTGAGTTGTTCTCTGATGACAGGTATCCTACTGCCTACTGGTGCTATAGAAATGGACTGTGTGTGTGTTTACATGGAAATTGTTCCATGTTTTTCCAGGACCTTACATGTTCTATAAGGAGTGTGTGTGTGGGGGGGGGGGGGGGGGGGTGTATGCTGGATAATTGGATATCCTATTGCAGAAAAGTGCCCGGCTGTGCCATTAATTATATTTTACAGTATTTTACACTGTAAGCATTTTAAAATGATATTCCTCTACCATCTTGAATCATAATGTTTCGACAGGTAGCTTATGCGACACCAGTGCTGTCCCTGTTGTTGAACAGGGAACTGCCTGCAGGAATATTCATATTTTAATCACCAACATCGACAACTACAGCAGTCACATGATCAGACAGACAAACATGAGTGGTTTGGCATAGTCAGTGTGAAATTATGCTGGAGGTGCTGAGGTAGGACCAGATGGCCATCAATATGCTCTGCCACCTGGGAATAGGCAAGGACCATCGTCCCCTAATCCTGGTCGCACATCAGCCGGAAGAAATGTATGATCCTAATGCAAAGAGCAACGGGCAGTTACAGTACAGCCCACTACAGTAGGTATGAAAACATCATGAGGGGTTTTCACCCCAGTCTCTGTAGCTGTGAAGAGGAAGATGTAGAACGTGGGGCCATTTACTGTATGGACCTTAGTGCCATGTCTAAGACTATCTTTTGTTGAGAGTGAATTGTAATAATATTAAATTGGATGTGCAGTTAGATGAAACTGACTGTGATGACTACACAGAAAGTGGAGAATTCCTGGCCGGTCTGGTCTTAGCAGCGTTATATTGTATCTCAGAGAGGAATTGTTGAAGCAAAACAAGGCAATAACTGTGGTACACCTGTAATGCATGCACACACACACACACACACACACACACACACACACACACACACATGCTTATTTTACTATCCTTGTGGGGACCAAACAATTGATTCCCATTCAAAATCCACTGCCCTAAATCTGGGTTCTTCTCTGTGGGGGTGGCTTGCTGTATACACAGCTAATTGTTACCAAGGGACTCATGGCATGCTTTCTCTCTCTGCCTAGGAGAATCAAGTGTTGGTCCTGTATTTCATCTGTTTGTAATCAAGTGTTTAAATGTGTGATTTGAATGTTGTTATGTATCCCATTCATACCTGAATTGTGAGTGTATAGGTGTGCTTTGCATCAACCTCCAATCCAGATGATTTTTGAACAATCATTAGTGTTGATCGTGAGGGACTAACACAGAAATGAGTCCTGCCGAGACCAAGTTGATGAGGCAATTTGTTGTGCCAACGCCTGTTGGGCATTCTGAGAGTAATGTTTCATTACAGCTCCATTCTCAGTTGCTCCACAGTGCAGAAAGCACACCCTGCCTAAAGTTAATGTTCCAACACAACACATAGCCTACTGTATGTACTTCCTAAAATACAGCTATTTTCAATGTGAATGTTCTTTTGCTTGGTGGATGGACTCTTTAGGCTGATTTAAAGACGTCCGCCAGACATTTTTTTAACTTTTACTGTTGAAAAGCGATATCCCAAGGATAAATATAGTAAAGTACCCACACTAAAGGGTAAAAAAATATGTTTGAATCAAAATAGTGTTTTTTAGACACAACTGCAAACTTCAAGGAGTAGGGAGGGCATTGGTGGGAAGTCATGCTATGTCATGCTTTACCTGGACCATCTATTGAGATGTGCCTTTTGTTAAGTAAATCAGGTGTTAAATTAGTTGAAAAGGAGACTGGAGTGCCACTTTAAGCCTATGTCCCTAGAGTGAGAAGATCTAAACATAATGTGTACTCCAACTGATATATTAGTCTCAGTCAAGTGATGCTGCTGATATGTTAACCAGCTGTTATGTTTTACCAGCCCTCTAAGACTTAAATGTCATTACTGTTCAGTACACATGATAATACATGTTTAACAACATATTACACAGCAGAATCAATTCTGACTACACTGTGTACTTAGGCTCCATTCCATAAAATGATTGTATTAATAGGTGCAACAAAAGTCCCACAGTACGTGTCAGATAGATACCGGTTCTCTCTCTCTCTCTCTCTCTCTCTCTCTCTCTCTCTGCCTTCCCTCATCTCTACCCTTATGTCCAACTCTCTCTCTCTCTCTCTCTCTCTCTCTCTCTCTCTCTCTCTCTCTCTCTCTCTCTCTCTCTCTCTCTCTCTCTCTCTCTCTCTCTCGCTTCTCTCTCTCAATTTCAATTTCAATTTAAGGGCTTTATTGGCATGGGAAACGTATGTTAACATTGCCAAAGCAAGTGAAGTAGATAGTAAACAAAAGTGAAATAAACAATAAAAATTAACAGTAAACATTACACTCAGAAGTTCCAAAAGAATAAAGACATTTCAAATGTCATATTATGTCTATATACAGTGAGGGAAAAAAGTATTTGATCCCCTGCTGATTTTGTACGTTTGCCCACTGACAAAGACATGATCAGTCTATAATTTTAATGGTAGGTTTATTTGAACAGTGAGAGACAGAATAACAACAACAAAATCCAGAAAAGCGCATGTCAAAAATGTTATAAATTGATTTGTATTTTAATGAGGGAAATAAGTATTTGACCCCTCTGCAAAACATGACTTAGTACTTGGTGGCAAAACCCTTGTTGGCAATCACAGAGGTCAGACGTTTCTTGTAGTTGGCCACCAGGTTTGCACACATCTCAGGAGGGATTTTGTCCCACTCCTCTTTGCAGATCTTCTCCAAGTCATTAAGGTTTCCAGCTTGACGTTTGGCAACTTGAACCTTCAGCTCCCTCCACAGATTTTCTATGGGATTAAGCTCTGGAGACTGGTTAGGCCATTCCAGGACCTTAATGTGCTTCTTCTTGAGCCACTCCTTTGTTGCCTTGGCCGTGTGTTTTGGGTCATTGTCATGCTGGAATACCCATCCACGACCCATTTTCAATGCCCTGGCTGAGGGAAGGAGGTTCTCACCCAAGATTTGACGGTACATGGCCCCGTCCATCGTCCCTTTGATGCGGTGAAGTTGTCCTGTCCCCTTAGCAGAAAAACACCCCCAAAGCATAATGTTTCCACCTCCATGTTTGACAGTGGGGATGGTGTTCTTGGGGTCATAGGCAGCATTCCTCCTCCTCCAAACACGGCGAGTTGAGTTGATGCCAAAGAGCTCGATTTTGGTCTCATATGACCACAACACTTTCACCCAGTTCTCCTCTGAATCATTCAGATGTTCATTGGCAAACTTCAGACGGGCCTGTATATGTGCTTTCTTGAGCAGGGGGACCTTGCGGGCACTGCAGGATTTCAGTCCTTCACGTCGTAGTGTGTTACCAATTGTTTTCTTGGTGACTATGGTCCCAGCTGCCTTGAGATCATTGTCAAGATCCTCCCGTGTAGTTCTGGGCTGATTCCTCTCTCATGATCATTGCAACTCCACGAGGTGAGATCTTGCATGGAGCCCCAGGCCGAGGGATATTGACAGTTCTTTTGTGTTTCTTCCATTTGCGAATAATCGCACCAACTGTTGTCACCTTCTCACCAAGCCGCTTGGCGATGGTCTTGTAGCCCATTCCAGCCTTGTGTAGGTCTACAATCTTTCCCTGACATCCTTGGAGAGCTCTTTGGTCTTGGCCATGGTGGAGAGTTTGGAATCTGATTGATTGCTTCTGTGGACAGGTGTCTTTTATACAGGTAACAAACTGAGATTAGGAGCACTCCCTTTAAGAGTGTGCTCCTAATCTCAGCTCGTTACCTGTATAAAAGACACCTGGGAGCCAGAAATTTTTCTGATTGAGAGGGTGTCAAATACTTATTTCCCTCATTAAAATGCAAATCAATGTATAACATTTTTTACATGCATTCTTCTGAATTTTGTTTTGTTATTCTGTCTCTCACTGTTCAAATAAACCTACCATTAAAATTATAGACTGATCATTTATTTGTCAGTGGGCAAACGTACAAAATCAGCAGGGGATCAAATACTTTTTTCCCTCACTGTACAGTGTTGTAACAATGTGCAAATAGTTAAAGTACAAATGGGAAAATAAATAAACATAAATATGGGTTGTATTTACAATGTTTGTTCTTCACTGGTTGCCCTTTTCTTGTGGCAACAGGTCACAAATCTTGCTGCTGTGATGGCACCCAGTAGATAAGGGAGTTGATCAAAATTGGGTTTGTTTTCGAATTCTTTGTGGATCTGTGTAATCTGAGGGAAATATGTGTCCCTAATATGGTCATACATTTGGCAGGAGGTTAGGAAATTCAGCTCAGTTTCCACCTCATTTTGTGGGCAGTGTGCACATAGCCTTTCTTCTCTTGAGAGCCAGGTCTGCCTACGGCGGCCTTTCTCAATAGCAAGGCTATGCTCACTGAGTCTGTACATAGTCAAAGCTTTCCTTAAGTTTGGGTCAGTCACAGTGGTCAGGTATTCTGCCACTGTGTACTCTCTGTTTAGGGCCAAATAGCATTCTAGTTTGCTCTGTTTTTTAGTAAATTCTTTCCAATGTGTCAAGTAATTATCATTTTTTTTCTCATGATTTGGTTGGGTCTAATTGTGTTGTTGTCCTGGGGCTCTGTGGGGTCTGTTTGTGTTTGTGAACAGAGCCCCAGGACCAGCTTGCTTAGGGGACTCTTCTCCAAGTTAATCTCTCTGTAGGTGATGGTTTTGCTATGGAAGGTTTGGGAATCGCTTCCTTTTAAGTGTCACGACTTCCTCCGAAGCTGCCTACTCTCCTTGTTCGGGCAGGCTTCGGCGTTCCTCGTCACCGGCCTTCTAGCCAGTGCTGCTCCATATCTCATAATTCCATTTGTTTTGTCTTGTCTATTACACACACCTGGTTCATATCCCCTCATTAGTACGTGTATTAGTGTTCCATCTGCCCCCTTGTCCTTGTGGGTGATTGTTTATTGTGAGTAGATAGTAGCTCGGTTGAGCTCAGTCTATTTTGAATTGCCAGGGTATTTTCCCTGTGCGCCTGTTTGTTCCAGTGCGCCTGTTTTGCGCACTGGACTGGTTAACGCTGTATTACGGAATAAACTCTGTATACTGTGTCACGATCGTCTATGAAGTAGGACCAAAGCGCAGCGTTGGTAGCGAACATATTGACTTTAATGCAATACACAAGAATACAAAACAAAACACGATCATGAAGTCCTCAGTGACAACGACTGAACATAGAACAAAAACCCACAAATACCAGGTGAACACAGACAGTTTAAATATGGCTCCCAATCAGAGATAACGAGCCGACAGCTGACACTCGTTACCTCCGATTGGGAGTCATTTGACCAAACACAACCAATGACAAACCAACCAAACAAAACACAACAAAACGAACACACCCTGGCTCAACATACAAAGTCCCGGAGCCAGAGCGTGACAGTACCCCCCCCCTAAAGGCGCGGACTGCGACCGCGCCTCAAAAACCCCAAACAGGGGAGGGCTGGGTGGGCATTACTCCTCGGAGGCGGCTCCGGCTCCGGGCTTGACCACCACCCTTCTTCAATCCCCCCGTAGCGCCCCCAGTCCGATCTGACCCAGCTGGTAGGATCTGGACTGACGACGCGCACCCCTGGCTTGGCGCTTGAGGCAGGAACGGACCGGACCTGACAGACGATACGCACCCTAGGCTTGATGCGTGGAGCCGGAACGGGCCTCACCAGGCTGACGACTCGCATCCCTGGCTTGGTGCGAGTAGTAGGAATGGGCTGGATCAGGCTGACGGCTCGCACCCTTGGCTTGGTGCGAGTAGCAGGGACGAGCTGAACCAGGCTGACGACTCGCACCCTTGGCTTGGTGCGAGTAGCAGGAACGGGCTGGACCAGGCCGACGACTCGTACCCCTGGCTTGGTGCGAGTAGCAGGAACGGGCTGGACCAGGCTGACGACTCGCACCCTTGGCTTCGTGCGAGTAGCAGGAACAGGCTGGACCAGGCTGACGACTCGCACCCTTGGCTTGGTGCGAGTAGCAGGAACAGGTCGGGCTGGGCTGGCGACGCACACCGTAGGTTTTGTGCGTGGAGCAGGAACAGGCCGGGCTGGGCTGGCGACGCACACCGTAGGCTTTGTGCGGAGAGCAGGAACGGGCCGGGCCGGGCTGGCGACGCGCACCACAGGTTTGGTACGGGGAGCAGGAACAGGCCGGGCCGGGCTGGCGACGCGCACCACAGGCTCCATGCGAGAAACAGGAACAGACAGGACCGCACTGAGGACACACACCCCTGGCCCTACACGGGGATCAGGAACGGGCCGGACCGGACTGGTAACACACCCCAGTACCCTTCGCCGTGCCTCCACACCTTCCTTCCCCTTCGTGACCAGTGGCCCCCTTAACCTGGCGGCCTTTTCTGCCAACCTACTGCACTCCTCTAACCCGTACTCCTGCTGCCCCGACGTCGTGAGCCCCCCCCTAAAAATGTTCTGGGGGTCTCTCCTCTCCGTGGACCAGGCCTCTATAGTCCTCTCCCAACCTTCGCTCTTCTGTCTCCACCACTCGTCATCCAACTCCTGGAAACGCTGCTTGGTCTCGTTGTGGTGGGTTTTTCTCTCACGATCGTCTATGAAGTAGGACCAAAGCGCAGCGTTGGTAGCGAACATATTGACTTTAATGCAATACACGAGAATACAAAACAAAACACGATCATGAAGTCCTCAGTGACAACGACTGAACATAGAACAAAAACCCACAAATACCAGGTGAACACAGACAGTTTAAATATGGCTCCCAATCAGAGATAACGAGCCGACAGCTGACACTCGTTACCTCCGATTGGGAGTCATTTGACCAAACACAACCAATGACAAACCAACCAAACAAAACACAACGAAACGAACACACCCTGGCTCAACATACAAAGTCCCGGAGCCAGAGCGTGACATACTGTGATTTACCCTCCTGCACTTGACTCCTTCAAATCACGCATCACATTAAGTGGTTATAGAATTTAATGACTATTTTCTGGATTTTGATAATCAGCGGGTATCGGCCTAATTCTGCTCTGCATGCATTATTTTGTGTTTTTTGTTGGACTTGGAGGATATTTTTGCAGAATTCTGCATGCAGTCTCAATTTGGTGTTTGTCCCATTTTGTGAATTCTTGGTTGGTGAGCGGACCCCAGACCTCACAACCATAAAGGGCAATGGGTTCTATAACTGATTCAAGTATTTTTAGCCAGATCCTTTTGATGGCATAGAAGGCCTTTCTCGCCTTGTCTCTCAGATCGTTCACAGCTTTGGGGAAGTTACCTGTGGCGCTGATGTTTAGGCCGAGGTATGTATAGTTTTTTGTGTGCTCTAGGGCAACGTCGTCTAGATGGAATTTGTATTTGTGGTCCTGGCAACTGGACCTTTTTTGGAACACCCATTATTTTGTCTTACGTTTTTCGAAGCACCCTTATTACCCTCTTTGTCTTACTCTTCTTCTTTCCTCTCTAGTCAATGTCCTTCTCACTCATCTCTACCCTCTGTCCAACTCTCGTCTCTCTCGCACTTCTCTCTCTCTCTTGCCTTCCCTCATCTCTACCCCTCTGTCCAACTCTCTCTCTCACTCTCTCTCTCTCTCTCTTTGCCTTCCCTCATCTCTACCCCTCTGTCCAACTCTCTCTCTCTCTCTCTCTCTCTCTCTCTCTGCCTTCCCTCATCTCTACCCCTCTGTCCAACTCTCTCTCTCTCTCACTCTCTGCCTTCCCTCATCTCTACCCCTCTGTCCAACTGTCTCTCTCTCTCTCTCTCTCTCTCTCTCTATTCCACTCTCTTTCTCTTACTCTTTTTTCCTCTGCCTATTGCACATGAATAATTGAAGCTAATTTCAAGCATTCCATTTTTAGAGAAATATCGAGTCGATTGGGGCTTCATTCCTCTCCTTTCTTTTATTCATGTGGATCACATTTATTCTCATCAGCTGGTATTTTTATCCCTTTATGTGACACATAAATGTGGAGAGTTTGGGAGGAAAATAATAAATGGATATATTTAAGTTTCTGGAAGATATTAAAGTTTGTTGTGTCCTCAAAAGTAGAATTTTTAATTAAATAGAGCTGAGCTAACATATGTAATCAATCAGGGAATGACAGACCGGAAAGTACTAATCTCTCATACAGCAGCTAGTGCCAAACATACTGTATTACCCCTCACTCTGTCTGAGATGTGATGAATCCAATGAACAGGAGACTGTATAAAGAGCAGCCCTCACCTTACCCCTCATCCCAAATCCATTATCTCACCACAGGAAGGACTTGGCTCAGTTTGGGATTATTATTTTTTTACCTTTAGCTGTGAGAGACACAGGCTGGCATGCTCTCCACTGGAGCAGGTCTGAGGATAGAAGCGTGCCTGCCTGTCTGCCTGCCTGCCACCGACCATGACTCACTCTCCAATCACTGTCAAGTGCCTCTGGGAGAGTGGAGGATAGTGGAGGATATCTCAATACTCCAAAAGACTCTCCCCGTCATAGGTGTCCACTGGCTCCTCTTCACGGTCCAAATGGACACACTGATTATCAGCTCTACTACTGGGTATGAGGCATCCTGCTACTTTATCAAGCATGAATGATTTTACAAGCATGTCCAATGGTGCCAAGGCAGGCCAATCAGAAGTGCTGGTATGGTGTCACTCATACGGTTGTACTAAAGTTTGTTTATCGAGGCCAGGCTGGGTCTCTAAACTCTCTGCATATTTAACTTTTGATATTGTTATATAATAAAGGCCAAACTACACAAACTGTAGTTAACTCAAGCTGTTACATAACACTAACGCTCCCTTTCTTTAGTTGGTAATGGACTTTCTGAAAGTTATTTTACCCATCCAAATTACATTTATGCAGATAGCCAAAAGCAAATCCTGGAGGTTTTTTATTAGATCACTCACAGTTTGCGGGTATACTGTGTTAAAAGGATTATTCACCACTCAATAGTTAAAACGCTGTGATGGAAATTAAGGGCTTTGCTCCAGCTAGCTAGGGGAAATCCTCTCAGTGTGGATTCTCTCTCTTCTCTCTCGCTGTCTGTACTGGTACTCCCAGTCAACTGCAGTCAAAAGGAGCACATGAAATAGAGACACAGGCACACAGGATATGTTTATCGTGCTCATTAGGGCCGATGCATGGGGTTCCATATGTGTACATACGGTGATTCAGGGCTCTCCGCAGGCAGGGCACCGCTGTGAGCTTGGCAGGGGGAAGGTTGGCAGGGGGGTGTAGGGAGGAATCAGGCGCCACGCTGCCCCACTTCTGTATGCCCCACAACCCCCATGGGTCCCACCTCACCCACCACAGGCAGAAAATACAGCTTTGAAATCCAGAGTAGCGTAAATGGAACATGTCTTAAATATCATCATATAGTAGATTACCCCAGAAACTGTGTGTGCAGTGCAGTGATGACAAACTCCACCTCATAGGGATAGAGCTGAATATTATTTGACTTTTAATCATATTTAAATCCGTTGCGATCAAATTAATGATCAGGTTGACTCTCAAATATTTTATGACGCTGATTGACAATGATGTTCCTGTCCTTTAGTGTGTGACGTGTAAACAGAATAGCTGCTCTTGTCATTTCTCTGCCTGCCTGGGTGAAGGGGCTGAATCCTCCCTGGTCTGACAGTGTGACAAGTCTGACAGGCACACGTGTGACTGGCAGGCCTCTCTCTGTGGCCCTGCGGTGCTGCTGACACAGTGAATTAAGAGCTGAACTACAGAGTTGCACCATCCATTAGATCATCAGTCTGTGGCCATTTTACCTTCTCTCAGAGAAGTAGAGCAACGTGAAGCTCAGCGGACCTGCCACAGTCAAACTAAACACTTATTCTATTGTATTCTACCAGTCAGTGTTTGGCTCTTCTAACGGCACCTCTCTGTTGGTCTTATCCTCATCTTGCAATCTCTCTGCATTCTGTTCCAGCTTCAAATGAAGCACCAACTTCAATAGAGACACATTCAAACCTCTGGAGGCGTTGGCTAAAAAACACTCCTCTACTTCCACAGTCCCACATTTTGCTCTCACTCTTGTACTCGGTGAGGGGAGTGTTTTTGTTAAATGCTCCAGTAGATTTTCACACTGTATACTGTTTCTGTGTTGGACTCGCAGCCACTGATGCGTGGGCCTGCAGACTACACATGCTGTCTCCTCAGAGAAAAGCCACAGGGAAGAGGGGCTTGAGGAAGAAAGTGAACAGATAAACAACACAGGAGAATATAGTGACACATTCAATGTTGGGTCAATCATGACAGTGGATGGCTGCTTTTTACAGCTGACAGAAAGACAGTGTAGTGTTAGCCTGGAATAAAAAATTAATATTGCTGTGTTTCACTATTGTCACAGAATAAAGTCGTGGAGAGACAGTGTTGATCATGTAAAACGCTTTCAGCAATTTAACATATCACCATCTGCTCTCCTTTTCTTTCTGTTTTGATGACAATCTGAGGCATGCAGATGAGTTTTCCTCAAAATAGCATTTGAATAATCTCCATGTAGCATATAGAACAAGTCATCAGGTCAGGATAACATTGGTCTGTAAGGTAATGATGGACTGTGGTGTTCCTGGAGTGTTGGAGGGTCTCATTAATTGCCTGTCTGATGAGGGTGAAGCAGGGATGAGTCACCCGCCCCAAATGTTAATCATCACAGCCAACTGATCTTCCCGGAGAGCCCTCAGAGGGCCAGACTATTTGGCCTGGGTTCAGAACATGGACCTGCATCAGAATAGCTTTTCCCCGCCAGGATTCACTGACAGCTCACCCAATTGGAACCGTTCTGTATGGTTTTGCTTCTTGTGTTTCTCGTTGTCAGAAAGCCACAGCTCAATGGCGGAATAGGCGTAGAGACTAAAGAAACAGGAAGAAATACAACCTGGCCTGAAGATTAGAATGTTCTCAATCATGTATCCTTTTTAAACTATTGTCCCAGAACACAATATCACTATACATGATCCATGTTGCTAAGCCAAGTTATAAGTTCAGAGAGGATTGACTACAGTTTTCTGACAACCAGTAGAATATAGAAAATACATATAATAGAACATAACCAGAATATACATAACCAGTTCGAACATACAGGTAACTGCCAAAATAAAGGAAACACTTGAGGAAATGAGGGATACAAAGTATATTGAAGCAGGTGCTTCCACACAGGTGTGGTTCCTGAGTTAATTAAGCAATTAACATCCCACCATGCTTAGGGTCATAAATGCCCAGTTTGTGATGTGGTGGTGTTGAAGGAGTCAGGTGCAGGAGGGTAAATCACAGAAAAACAGGCTTTAATCCGCAAAATACAGGTTTACGCAGAACTGTGTCAAACACACTCCAGGGCACAAAACAGGTGCACTAGAAAATACAAGGCACACGGGAAAATACTCCCGTTGAACAAAATACTTGAGCTCCACCGAGCTTCACTAACCTTCACAATAAACAATCACCCACAAGGACAAGGGGCAGAGGGAACACTTTTACACAGACTAATTAGGGGATTAGAACCAGGTGTGTGTGATAACGAGACAAGACAATTGTGATGATGATTGGGGCGGCAGTGGTTAGTACTCCGGTGACGACGAACGCCAAAGCCTGCCTGAACAAGGAGGGGAGGCAGCCCCCCCCCCCAACACGCCGACCCCGGCCTCTGGGACGGCAAGGAGGACACGGAGCACGGCGAGCTGAATGGCGACGGTGAAATCCCGCAACAGGGAGGGATCTAGGATATCCCTCACCGGGACCCAGCACCGTTCCACCGGACCGTACCCCTCCCACTCCATGAGGTACTGAAGGCCCCCCACCCGACGCCTCGAATCCAGGATGGCCCGGACAGAGTACGCCGGGGCCCCCTCGATATCCAGAGGAGGTGGAGGAACCTCCCGCACCTCAGACTCCTGGAGCAGACCAACCACCACCGGCCTGAGGAGAGACACATGAAACGAGGGGTTAATACGGTAATCAGGGGGAAGTAACAACTATACATACAGGCGGAGGGGCAGATTCCGGGTCGAGAGCCAGACCCGATCCCCCGGTACGAAAACCGGGGCCTCACTGCGGTGACAGTCAGCATTGGCCTTCTGACGACGCACGGCGCGCTGGAGGTGAACATGGGCAGCGTCCCACGTCTCCTCCGCGTGCCGAAACCATTCATCCACCGCAGGAGCCTCGGTCTGGCTCTGGTGCCACGGTGCCAGAACCGGTTGGTAACCCAAAACACATTGGAATGGTGTTAGGTTAGTAAAGGAGTGGTGGAGAGAGTTCTGGGCATATTCTGCCCATGGCAAGAACACTGACCACTCCTCTGGCCGGTCCTGGCAGTAGGACCGCAGGAACCTACCCACAGCCTGATTTACTCATTCCACCTGCCCATTTGACTCGGGATGGAACCCAGAGGTCAGGCTGACCAAGACCCACAGACGTTCCATGAACACCCTCCAAACCTTGGACGTAAACTGGGGACCTCGGTCGGACACGATATCCTCTGGCACCCCGTAGTGCCGGAAAACGTGAGTAAACAGGGCCTCCGCAGTCTGCAGGGCCATGGGGAGACCGGGCAGAGAAAGGAGGCGGAAGGACTTGGAGAAGTGGTCCACAACGACCAGGATGGTGGTGTTACCTTGGGAGAGGGGAAGATCAGTCAGAAAATCAATACTAAGATGAGACCATGGTCGTTGTGGAACTGGTAATGGTTGTAGCTTACCCGTTGGGAGGTGCCTAGGTGCCGTACTCTGGGCACACACCGAGCAGGAGGAGACGTACACCCTCACGTCCTTAGCCAAGGTAGGCCACCAGTACATTCCGCTCAAGCAGCCCACTGTACGGCCGATACCTGGGTGACCAGAGGAGGGTGACGTGTGTGCCCAGAAGATCAGACGATCACGGATAAGAGCAGGCACGTACCGCAGCCCAGCTGGACACTGCCGTGGAGATGGATCTGTGCGTAATGCCTGCTCTATATCCGCGTCCATCGCCCATACTACCGGCGCCACAATGCTGGAGGCCGGGAGTATGGGGGTGTTGTCTCTGGGCCTCTCCTCTGTGTCATACAGCCGGGACAGTGCATCTGCCTTCACGTTCTTCGTACCCGGAATGTATGATAGTGTAAAATCAAACCGGGTGAAAAATAGGGCCCACCTGGCCTGGCGAGGATTCAGCCTCCTCGCTGCCCGGATGTACTCCAGGTTACGGTGGTCCGTCCAGACGAGGAAAGGGTGTTTCGCCCCTTCGAGCCAATGCCTCCACACGGTCAAGGCTTGGACAACAGCTAACAGCTCCCGATCACCAACGTCGTAGTTCTGCTCCGCCGGGCTGAGCTTCTTAGAGAAGAAGGCACAGGGGCGGAGCTTGGCTGGCGTGCCCGAGCATTGAGACAGGACAGCTCCTATCCCAACCTCGGAAGCATCCACCTCCACTACGAACGGTAGTGATGAATCAGGGTGGGCCAGTACTGGGACTGAGGTGAATAGACCCCGCAGTTTGCTGAAGGCCAGGTCAGCCTCAGCAGACCAGCGGAGCCGGGACGGCCCACCCTTCAACAGGGAGGTAATGGGAGCTGCGACCTTGCCAAAGACCCGTATAAACCTCTGATAGTAGTTGGCAAAGCCAAGGAAGCGCTGCACCTCCTTAACCGTGGTTGGAGTCGGCCAATTACGCACGGCTGAAATGCGATCTCCCTCCATCTCCACACCTGAGCTGGAAATGCGGTATCCAAGGAAGGAGACGGACTGCTGGAAAAACATACACTTCTCTGCCTTAGCATAAAGGTAATTTTCCAACAGTCGGGCCAGCACCTTGTGAACCAGGGACACATGCTCGGCGCGCATAGTGGAATACACCAGGATGTCATCGATGTAGACCACTACACCGCGACCAAGCATGTCCCGAAACACCTCGTTCACAAAGGACTGGAAAACTGAGGGATCATTCATCAAACCATAGGGCATCACCAGGTATTCATAATGCCCCGTGGGTGTGCTGAATGCTGTCTTCCACTCATCTCCCTCTCGGATACACACCAGGTTGTACGCACTCCTGAGATCTAATTTGGTGAAGAAGCGTTGATTCAATCACCGAAGGAATGAGGGGGAGAGGATAACTAAATCTTATCGTCTCCCTGTTCAGTGGTCCATAATCAATGCACGGGCGCAGACCTCCGTCCTTCTTCTTCACAAAGAAGAAACTCGAGGAGGCGGGTGAAGTGGAGGGACGTATATACCCCTGACGCAGGGACTCGGTGACATAGGTTTCCATAGCCACCGTTTCAGTCTGTGGTATATATGACTCCTGGGAGGTACAGCGTCTACCCGGAGGTTTATCGCGCAATCCCCCACCCGATGAGGTGGTAATTTAGTCGCCTGCGTTTTAGAGAACGCTTGCGCCAGATCGAGGTATTCAGGGGGAATGCGCACGGTGGAGGTACTGTCTGGACTTTACACCGTGGTTGCACCAACTGAAACATCTAGACACCTACCCTGACACTCTCGCAACCACCCCGTGAGAGCCCTCTGCGGCCATGAGAAGGTGGGGTTGTGGAGTGCTAGCCAAGGGATACCTAATACCACAGGGAAAGCAGGAGATTCAATATTCTAAAAAGTAACCTGCTCAAAATGAGTCTCCTGGGTGATCATGGTGACTGGTATTGTGACTTCCGTAACAAACCCAGACCCTATTGGTCGACTATCAAGTGCTCTGATGGGGAGTGGAATGGATAGGGGAACCAATGTTATGCCTTGACGGCGTGCGAATGCTCTGTCCATAAAGTTCCCAGCTGTGCCTGAATCGACTAGCGCCTTACACTGGGGAACTACCATGAGATCGGGAAAGTGGATAGGTAGGGTACAGTGTGCAGCAGAGGGCTCTGAACAAGTGTGGGTGTTCGATACCTGGGGTGATGTGTGAGTGCCCTGCCTTCCGCCTCCCGGCCCAAAAGAACGTTGACTATGACGTGTGGTGTATTGTCTCTTCGTGCCACCAGAGTGGCACTGTCGCTGTCCTCCTCCGCTCTCTCGGCCGGCGGCTCCACCCAGCTCCATCGGCTCGGGATCCGAGTCGTCCGGGGTGTAAACGGGCAGACCCCAACCAGGACGTCCTCTGGCTGCCAGCAGGTTGTCCAAACGAATGGCCATGTCCACCAGTTTGTTGAAGGACAACATGGTGTCTCGGCAGGCTAGCTCCCGTCGGACGTCCTCCCGCAGATGGCACCGGAAATGGTCGATCAGGGCCCACTGCCAGCATCCGAAACTCCAACGCAAAGTCCTGCGCGGTCCTTGTCCCCTGCCACAGATGGTCCCATCAAACGCCCGTGGTTGGGCTATCTGGATCCCTCCGGGTGCTGGGGTGTAGGTGGCTGGATCCGGTTGGCCAGCTGGTCTCGACAGATCGGGTTCTCTCCTCTCCAGGCGTTGGACGACCTGAAGAACCCGATCCATCACTTCCCCCCAAGCTGGCCAGCATCGTGGAATGCTCCTGGACCCGTGCCACGACTCCAGGCATGCGCTCTTCTCCCGCTGACTCCATATTTCGGGTACGTGATTCTGTGATGTGGTGGTGTTGTAGGAGTCAGGCTAGGAGGGTAAATTACAGAAAAACAGGCTTTAATCCGCAAAATACAGGTTTACGCAGAACTGCGTCAAACACACTCCAGGGCACAAAACAGGTGCACTGGAAAATACGAGGCACACGGGAAAATACTCCCGTCGAACAAAATACACAAGCTTCACTAACCTTCACAATAAACAATCACCCACAAGGACAAGGGGGCAGAGGGAACACTTATACACAGACTAATTAGGGGATTAGAACCAGGTGTGTGTGATAACGAGACAATACAATTGTGATGATGATTGGGGCGGCAGTGGTTAGTACTCCGGTGATGACGAACGCCGAAGCCTGCCTGAACAAGGAGGGGAGGCAGCCTCGGCCGAAGTCGTGACACAGTTGCCCATTATTTTGGCTACCATGGCTAGAAGAAAATATCTCTTTGAAAGAGGGGTCTCAAAGGAGCATAGGGGGTTTAAAGGGTGTGGGTGTGTGCCACCAGATCTCAGCCACCAGATGTCAACACAATTGAACACTTATGGGAGATTCGGGAGTGGCGCCTAAGACAGCATTTCCACCAACATCAGCAAAACACCAAATTAGGTAATGTTTTGTGGAAGAATGGTGTCGCATCCCTCCAATTGAGTTCCAGACATTTGTAGAATCTTTGCCAAGGTGCATTGAAGCTGGCAGCTGGTGGTGGCCCAATGCTCTATTAAGACACTTTATGTTGGTGTTTCCTTTATTTTGGCAGTTACCTACACATAACCAGTTTGAATGTTTTGATATCAAGTCTGGGATTCATGTTGGCAGACAAAGGTAAATGGAGATTTTCAGGTAAAGAAAGTTATACTATCTGACAGATACCACAAAAATGTATCTCTCTCTCTCTCTCCCTCTCTCTCCCTATCTCTCTCTCTCTCTCTCTCTCTCTCTCTCTCTCTCTCTCTCTCTCTCTCTCTCTCTCTCTCTCTCTCTCTCTCTCTCTCTCTCTCTCTCTCTCTCTCAATGTCAGAGGGCAAAAATTACAGTGGGAACTAAGTACAGAATCTATCAGAGGTGAAATAACATTCAGTAAACCTATAATGGCTTAAAACTGCTTACCTCTACCTGGTACAGTGCTCATTTTCGAATTTGCCGAAAGATACATTAACTTAAAGTGGAGGCAGAGGGAAGGCGGAAAGAGAGCCCTGAAGCTTTTAAGCTCACAATAATCATGGTAATCGATGCTGCAGTCAGACTGAAACATGAGAATAAGCTAAGATGGTTATTCCCATGCTCTGATGCGGTACCAGAAATGGAGTTACCAACAAATGCACATTTGTAAATCTATGTGCTTTTTTCATTGAGCAACCTTTTGGATTTAAACTTTTTTAAATTGTCTCTGCGATGCTGTCACATACAGTGCATATTCACTGGGAAAATGGAGGAGCGAGCATCTCCAGAACAGAGCAGTGCTGTAGGCTTTACTTGAAAGCCTGATAGATGTTGAGTTCACAGCCCAAGCAGAGCAGCACTGTGTTAGAAGAACTGTGGAAACTAGGCCATGGAATCCCATTACAGACACACTGACCATGCTTTGGCTGCCTGGGACTATGGTTACAGATGGAGGTTAAAGAATTATATGATTTAGCCAAGGTGCAAAATCGTATCTGGGCGGTGCAAAATCGTATCTGGGACACATCAGAGTCAGATTTAGAATCAGAATCACCTTTATTCACCAAGTACATTTACACATAATCAGAATTGTACTTGGTGATATGGTGCTGCTAGTGATAGACAACATTTCATGTTAGAGACAGAATACAGACAACAGAGTTTAAACAAAGTTTACATACAGTACCAGTCCAAAATTTGGACACACCCACTCATTCAAGGGTTTTTCTTTATTTTTACTATTTCCTACATTGTACAATAATAGTGAAGACATCAAAACTATGAAATAACACATATGGAATCATGTAGTAACCATAAAAGTGTTAAACAAATCAAAATATATTTTATATTTGAGATTCTTCAAACAGCCACCCTTTATGACAGCTTTGCACACTCTTGGCATTCTCTCAACCAGCTTCACCTGGAATGCTTTTCCAACAGTCTTGAAGGAGTTCCCACATATACTGAGCACTTGTTGGCTGCTTTTCCTTCACTCTGCCGTCCGACTCATCCCAAACCATCTCAATTGGGTTGAGGTCGGGGGATTGTGGAGGCCAGGTCATCTGATGCAGCACTCCATCACTCTCCTTCTTGGTAAAATAGCCCTTACGCAGCCTGGAGGTGTGTTGGGTGATTGTCCTGTTGAAAAATAAATGATAGTCCCACTAAGCCCAAACCAGATGGGATGGCGTATTGCTGCAGAATGCTGTGGTAGCTGTGCTGGTTAAGTGTGCCTTGAATTCTAAATAAATCACAGACAGTGTCACCAGCAAAGCACCCCTACACCATAACACCTCCTCCTCCATGCTTCACGGAGGGAACTACACATGCGGCGATCATCCGTTCACCCACACCGCGTCTCACAAAGACACGGCGGTTTGAACCAAAAACCTCCAATTTGGACTCCAGACCAAAGGACACATTTCCAGCGGTCTAATGTCCATTGCTCATGTTTCTTGGCCCAAGCAGGTCTCTTCTTCTTAATGGTGTCCTTTAGTAGTAGTTTCTTTGCACCAATTCGACCATGAAGGCCTGATTCACACAGTCCCCTATGAACAGTTGATGTTGAGATGTGTCTGTGACACTGAGTCAATTTCTGAGGCTGGTAACTCTAATGAACTTATCCTCTGCAGCAGAGGTAACTCTGGGTCTTCCTTTCCTGTGGCTGTCCTCATGAGCGCCAGTTTCATCATAGCGCTTGATGGTTTTTGCGACTGCACTTGAAGAAACTTTAAAAGTTCTTGAAATGTTCCGTATTGACTGACCTTCATGTCTTAAAGTAATGATGGACTGTCGTTTCTCTTTGCTTATTTAAGCTGTTCTTGCCATAATATGGACTTGGTCTTTTACCAAATAGGGATATCTTCTGTATACCCCCCTACCTTGTCACAACACAACTGATTGGCTCAAACGCATTAAGAAGGAAATCAATTCCACAAATTAACTTTTAAGAAGGCACACCTGTTAATTGAAATGCATTCCAGGTGACTACCTCATGATGCTGGTTGAGAGAATGCCAAGATTGTGCAAAGCTGTCATCAAGGCAAAGGGAGGCTATTTGAAGAATCTCAAATATAAAATATATTTTGATTTGTTTAACACTTTTTTGGTTACTACATGATTCCATATGTGTTATTTCATAGTTTTGATGTCTTCACTATTATTCTACAATAAAAATAAAAAAACTTGAATGAGTAGGTGTGTCCAAACTTTTGACTGGTAGTTTACATTATATACAGCTAGGTAGAGGGAGCATAGAGCTATAAGAGTATGAGCAGATATACAAATGTACAGTGGGTATACGGTTGATATACAGTGGGTATACGGTTGATATACAGTGGGTATACGGTTGATATACAGTGGATGTACACATTTACAGTATCAGTATGAATATACTGTACATTTTGTGATAAACCCAATGTGTTCTGTTTGCTCAATACCCCTAGCTAGACTACAGTTTTTTCTGGAGCTACTGCAACTTATCATGCAGATTCTACAAAAGGGACTGTATTTTGTGCCAAGACGACAGTACAACTGTTTTTAGAATTAAATATCTGCAACCCCCTATGATCTTGTGCACAGCAGGGTCCATCTAAACGTGCTTTGCGTAAAATAAGTATGCATACTATTAGGTGATTTTGAATCTCTACAGAAATGAAACTCTATATTTTCAGCTCACTCTGGTTTAGGTAAAAGCTGCCCAACATTACTCAATATCGCATTTAGGGGATGGGTTCTCTCTACTATGAAATTATGGGCCTCATTTCCACAGTCTGACAGCATCATCAGCAAACACTACTGCTCTGGGGAGACTTTGACATTTCACATTTCCAAGTCACATATTTGCCTTTTTCTCTCTTCCATGTCCTTAATTCCTGGTGCATTAACAGTTTACCCGTGTTTTGGAGAAAAATATTCAAATTCCTTTCCTGTAATATGTCCTTAAGCAAGGGCCTTTGTAGAGGGAAGTTACAAGATAATTGGGATGTTCAAAGTCCTGAGGCAGGTATTGCCAAGCCGTTCGCCTGCAAACTAACTCACTGAATTACAAGCAGCTGTCACGCTCAGATAGGACTAGCAGAGAGAGAAACACAAAAATGACATTTCACTTCACTTTGAAATATAGTGGCAGGATATTAGATCACAAAGCGTGGCTCTTGTCTCAGTGGGTAGAGTCTTCATTTATGTAGGGGGGTATTGCTCCAGTAGAAAATTCCACCTCCACTGACATTATAGATTGTTGTTTTTGTTCTCCCCTGAAGTAAAATAATAAAAGATGCATAAGCAACTATACATTTGAGCATTTGGTTACTGCTGTGCTGCTGGCCGTAGCCAGCACTGGATAGGGAATGCTATCTGCAGAGACAATCATACTGTACAACGCTGAGTGGGGCCAGGATGGTATAAAAGATAGCTAGCTAGATATTATAACTATAATACATCTTCCAAACAACATTGCACATTTATTTCATCGTTATACCATCCCCCCGATCACACAGATAGGCTACAGGGCTGTGTTAAAGGGAGGCGGCGGCTGCTGCATGTAACAGATCCTATTATAAAACACTTGTTTTCACTCTCAGATTCAATCAAAGAGCCTCCCTGCCATCAAATATCTCCAGGTTAATTTATGGTTATTAAAGGCCATTAGAGGATAATAATGGGGAGATGATGACACGGTGACAACGGCCAGTGCCACTGATACCTTCCCCTCTGTCTGTCAGGTGAACGAGGAGCCAGCCATCCCCCGGGCACCGGGGAGGGGATAGACACAACCTCATCTGAGGTGAGCGATGCTAGTGACTCTAGTGCCCTGTGGCTCTACGTGATGAGGCTTCCCTTTCCCTGTCACATGTGTTGCTGCTCAGGCTGTTCAATGGGGTTTGGTTTCCAACCATATGAGTGTGCAGGAACAACACTGTTTGTGAAAGTGGGTAGAATGTCACCTCGCAAGGAAATATGAGGTTTTAAAACATTGTTCTGAACTCAATATTGAATCCAGTGTTAGTGGGTTTTCTGAAAATATTAGGTTGCTCCTTTCGCTCCCATATACTGTAAAGCACATTCTGCACATTGGTACATTGGTTCTGGTGTTTTCATGTTGCTCTCAGAAAGCAGAGTGGGTTCCTAATAGTATCTATATATCACTGAGGAAACCAGTGGAAGCTTCCTCTAGTGATGCACTGGTACGGCTCTTTGGCTCTCTCAGAACAGGCATTTTCTATTTGTTTCCCTGTTGTCAGTGCAGCATCCTCTCCTCTTAAGAGCTTGTGAATGTTCTAGTAACACTCTGGAGGGCCAAACATAGGATACAGGTAACAGGCACAGTGCTGCATAGAGGAGGACTGTCACGCTCTGGGGGAAGGGAATGGGACCCCATTGATACATGAAGCCATAAAAGCCTTCACTCTAACAAGGCAGCAGCCACGACAGATAATCCATGTGTGTTTCAAAGGTCAAAGGCCCTTAGCTCACTGATTGCTTGTGTGCTTCTAGACATGTTAGGAAGATGGAAGACAGCATCATTTTGGGATGTGGCAAGTGTGTATTGTTCTATGACAGGGACTGCGGCGATGCAGTGTTGTCAGATTGTGCATGGTACCTTTTCATGAGAGTCGTTTAGTATGAATTAAGAACAGATTGCTTCATATAATAATTAATTAGTCAAGAATGAATTACACATCCTGTGTTTGTGTTTTAGCTTGATAAAAATAAAAATGTACATATATGTTGTATATTTATTTCTGATAGAAATCAGACTTGGATGTAAAGATGTTGAGCTACCACACAATGAAAATAACAACTGCCTGTAACTGATTCTGACTCAGCTGTTGTGAGTACTTTGTCTCATAGCAGCATTCATGTTTCACCTCTCAGCCACCCCAGATGGTTGTTACTATTTATGTTGAACACATCACGTCAAAGCGTACCCATCTGAACCAGCATGGCCTTCCATCACTCCCTCATCTCCCAGACAGGGCTAATGATGACAGAGAGTGGGCTTTACCGACTGCAGCAGCTAAATGGTTATCAGTACAGAGGGGCTGTGATCATCTGATGCCCACACAGAGAATCTATCTGTGTGCATCTTCCCTTTCCTTCTCAAAATAGAACAATTCTATTCGGGGCTCTCCCTCAAGACAGCCACCCTGTTGTCAAACACTCTGTTGTCTTATAGCACTTTCTCACATTTCAGTAGTGTCACGTTCGTTTAAAGAAGGGTCGGACCAAGGCGCAGCGTGATATGCGTACATGTTTATTTAATGATAAACACACGACAAAACAACAAAGGAAACGAAACGTGAAGTCCAAAGGTACAACACAACAAACCTTACACGGAACAAGAACCCACAACTAGACAGTGCCAAAAGGCTGCCTAAGTATGATTCCCAATCAGAGACAACGAGCGACAGCTGCCTCTGATTGGGAACCATACCGGCCAACATAGAAATACAAATCTAGAATATTCACACCCTGACCAAACTACCTAGAGTTCTGTAGGCCAGGGCGTGACAGTCCGGGTCGGACTGGGAACACGCACCACTGACTTGGTGCGAGGAGCAGGAACAGACCCGGCAGGACTGGCGACGCGCACCACAGGCTTGGTGCGAGGAGCAGGAACAAGCCGGGCCAGACTGGGAACACGCACCACTGGCTTGGTGCGAGGAGCAGGAACAGTCCGGGCCGGACTGGGAACACGCACCACTGTCTTGGTGCGAGGAGCAGGAACAGGCCGGGCCGGACTGGGAACATGCACCACTGGCTTGGTGCGAGGAGCAGGAACAGGCCGGGCCAGACTGGGAACACGCACCACTGGCTTGGTGCGTGGAGCAGGTACGGGGCGTACCGGACTGGGAACCGGCGCTGGAGGTCTATGACTGTCTCCGTCCTTTACACTCCGCGCCCCGTCCTCCTCCAGTGAGGACTCCTCCTTGAGCTCCCACGAGTGCAGTGGTCGGGGCTCCTCTCTGTCGCTCCCCAACCACCCTTTTAGCCCCCCCCAAAACAATTATTGGGGCTGTCTCTCCTTCTCCACCCTGATCCCTTTCAGGACCTCCATCTGCCTTGCCAGATCCTCTCTTATCTCCCGCCAAGTCCATACTCTCTGCTCCTCCACCTGTGTCCAGGGTGTCTGCTGCTCCTGGGCACGCTGCTTGGTCCTCGTTTGGTGGGTTCTTCTGTCACGTTCGTTTAAAGAAGGGTCGGACCAAGGCGCAGCGTGATATGCGTACATGTTTATTTAACGTTAACCACACGACAAAACAACAAAGGAAACGAAATGTGAAGTCCAAAGGTACAACACAACAAACCTTACACGGAACAAGAACCCACAACTAGACAGTGCCAAAAGGCTGCCTAAGTATGATTCCCAATCAGAGACAACAAGCGACAGCTGCCTCTGATTGGGAACCACACCGGCCAACATAGAAATACAAATCTAGAATATTCACACCCTGACCAAACTAGCTAGAGTTTGCTAGGGCGTGACAAGTAGCTTGGCTTTACCTCAGAAACAGAGGGAAAGAGTGCAGATGGATGCAACTTAGAAGTGAGACTCACTTGACTGATTGTGATTTTAGCTCAGATGAAGGACACATCCACATGTTGAAGTGGTGAAATGTGAATAAAAAATGACTTTCTTGCAGTCATTTGCAAATCTCTCTGACTGTCACCATGTTGCAAGTGCTAACCATGCAAAACGGACACATCCAGTACAGTAGCAGCAGGGCAACTCTTCCTCCTAGTGCAGTATATTGCTCTTGATCTTTCAGACAGTTGTAGGGCTGCCACCAATCCCACCTCTAATTCGTCTGTTGTTTTTGATTATTCCACATGCAAAAAGGGTTGACTATAGCGTTTCTTCCCCAATGACAAGCAGGGCTAAAGTCAGGGGACCTTATTAGACCACAGACCCTCTGGAGTCCCACTGGTACTCAGGATGTAGATGGTATGAGATTTGTTTGTTTGGCCTAAGTGCCTCGAAGACTAGCTGTTGTTTTCAATAGATGTTGGACTGCGGTTTTAGTGAATGAGATCCAAAGCAATGGCTGTGTTGATCTTGATATAGGGTGTTATAGGGTTACTTGTTTCTATCCTGAAATGGCTAATGCTTTTCAAGGACATTCGTCATTGCAGATAATTGTGTCTCTTGAAATTAGTCACTATATATGGGCGACGTAGTTTTAAAAGTGCACCATTCATTCTGACTGATGGATTCGAATGTGTTTCTGTGTTGTCTGCACTCATGTCCTTACCAACCCATTGAGTCTGTAACAACAGATAATTGCATGGGAGGATCTTTTTCTGTCCCCCTTGTCTCACATTGAGAGAGGAATAACCTGGTGAGTCACTCAGGGAAGAGGACGGTCAAGGGCTTCTCTATATCTGGTCCATATGTTGTTGACAGAGTACATTCAAGCTCTAATATTTCCTATTTCTTGCTTCATCCTCTGCTTTCTACCAGTATTTGTGTTGTTTCTCTGTTTTTCAAAGGGACTACTGACTAGATTATCCCTCTCTACAGGCCTGATCGGTCATTGTAAACTGAGTCTGTCTGTCTCTCTTCCCATGCAGGGAAGTGTATTGTGTATTCTTGTGTATTTTGTGTATTTTATTCCTCTTGTGTTTTTATTTTCTTATTTTTAACTCTGCATTATTGGGAAAGAGCTCGTAATTAAGCATTTCACACTTGTTGTATTCGGAGCATGTGACAAATAACATTTTATTTAATTTGAATTCAACAAACTTTTAATTGCTCCGTTCCCCTTGTCTCTATGCATGTTGCCATGGAAACTAGAGCCCATGTAGACCCTCCCCTTATTTCCCATTCTCCCACTACATTCCTATATTAGTCTCTTAAACAAGAGAGCTCCAACTGGCCCAAGCAGGGAGCTCTACCTGGCCCACGCGGGGAGCTCCAACTGGCCCATGCAGGGAGCTCCAACTGGACAAGCAGGGAGCTCCAACTGGCCCAAGCAGGGAGCTCTACCTGGCCCACGCAGGGAGCTCCAACTGGCCCATGCAGGGAGCTCCAACTGGACAAGCAGGGAGCTCCAACTGGCCCAAGCAGGGAGCTCCAACTGGCCCAAGCAGGGAGCTCCAACTGGCCCAAGCAGGGAGCTCCAACTGGCCCAAGCAGGGAGCTCCAACTGGACAAGTAGGGAGCTCCAACTGGCCCAAGCAGGGAGCTCCAACTGGACAAGCAGGGAGCTCCAACTGGCCCAAGCAGGGAGCTCCAACTGGCCCAAGCAGGGAGCTCCAACTGGCCCAAGCAGGGAGCTCCAACTGGACAAGTAGGGAGCTCCAACTGGCCCAAGCAGGGAGCTCCAACTGGAAAAGCAGGGAGCTCCAACTGGCCCAAGCAGGGAGCTCCAACTGGCCCAAGCAGGGAGCTCCAACTGGCCCAAGCAGGGAGCTCCAACTGGCCCATGCAGGGAGCTCCAACTGGCCCATGCAGGGAGCTCCAACTGGACAAGCAGGGAGCTCCAACTGGCCCAAGCAGGGAGCTCCAACTGGTCCAAGCAGGCAACTCGCATTCCCATTAACACTTAGACCATGTGGGTCCTGGTTCTGAATCACACACATTCACACTGGGGCTTTTCCTGCGGATTTCAGGGACAGTAGGACAGCAGGCTGAACAGCCAATCAAGCTGCAGCTAATTAGGTCGTAGGCTCAGAATGTTGAATGACTGCTGAAGTTACTGGCAGGAATGGCTTAGTGGGTAAGAGCGTTGTGCCAGTAACCGAAAGGTCGCTGGTTCTAATCCCCGAGCTGACTAGGTGAAAAATCTGTCGATGTGCCCTTGAGCAAGGCACTTAACCCTATTTGCTCCTGTAAGTCGCTCTGGATAAGAGCGTCTGCTAAATGACCTATTATTTATTAATTTTATTATTAACAATGAAAACTGCTGCTGCCCGGCCTGTGGCAATGTGAATGTACTGTGTGTCTCAGACTCACTCCTAAAAGTTTGGCCTGTCGCTGTAACAATGTCTGAATGAGATGTTCGTAAGAAATGTACTTTTCAGCGTTCTGAGTTCTTTAGAAGCAAGGTTCAAGGGGTCACAGTCTTAGCTGTGGAAACACGGCTGAGGGTTATTTTACAGAAGCCCCCCCACCCTTGCAAAGGAGTTCTCCAATGCTACAGTGCAGGATCATTTCCTCCTGATTTTAACCTACAGTTAAACAACCACAACCCAAAGACTCTCATCAGAACAATTTAACAAGGACGTGGTAGAATATGGATTTTCACCTTCAGGAAGCTTAAATCCCAAACAGGATTTGAGTGATTATGCTTTGTTTTCTCCACACTGAAAGATTAATTTTTGGTGCGTTTGCAGTACAATCCAGGCTCTCTAGTGATCAAAAGGATTAAATTAGCTATGTTGGTAGAGGAAAAGGGCTTCAGTGAGGTGTAAAATTATCTCCTTGGTAACAGGAACATAGTCATAAAACACTGAAACATACACATAAGAGAAATGTATCCTGCTGAGATATTTCATAGGACTATTTCAAATACACATTCATTAATGAATGCATTTCTGTTTACAAGCCATTGTACAATGTTGATATATCAGCTGTATGTGTGTATTTGGCCTTTCCAGTCATTGCTTGTGCTGCTGTAGCAGCTACGAATCCAGGAGAGGCTCCCTAACACCCGACGCCCCCTCATCATGACCAGGCCTGCAGCAGCCCCCCTCTGGTCCATAGAGGGTACAGTGAGACCCTCTCCATCCAAGCAGCCGTCACTCATACCTGCATCCCCAGAGAAGAGCAGACCAGCTGGAGCCAAGCTAGACATCGGCTTGCTATTCACACAGTGTGATGCCTGGCTGGTACTAGGAATAAGGGGGGTGGTGGGGGGTTGGCTTATTTAAGAATGGTCTTATCCAGAGCGACTTACAGTTAGTGAGTGCATATATTTTTCATACTGGCCCCCCGTGGGAAACGAACCCACAACCCTGGCGTTGCAAGCGCCATGCTCTACCAACTGAGCTACACGGGGCCCCATACATACAGTTCATTGTGATGGCTTTGGGCTGTTGGAAAGTATGCACTAATCCAGCATATAAAGATATCCAGAGCAAGTTAGAAGAATGTATTGGGACCGGTGAACTCTCACTGCACTGAGTTTACACTTATCCGATATACACTTTTTCATATTGTTGGGCTCTGTTCATATGTTAATTAGGCAGTAAAGAGAACCTCATTCAGCAGAAAGTAGGTCAGAAAACAGTCTTAAAGTACTCAGATTGGCCATCATGACTTTCACAGCCATAAATGTCTTTGAACAATGACCAGTGTGTCTGTGGTGGTGACGGCTGTTGAATCATTAATGCTCTATTATACATTTTTAATCAAGGCCTCATTTTGGGAGACTTTTCTGGTTTTATTAGCTTATTATTAGCTTGTCTGGCACCATTTACGGATATAAGGTAGTTAGTATTAGTCACAATTTGAGTATGCTCTTGTCATGACCGGTATTTAAAAACGTCCTGGTAAGTGGAAATGTATTCCTTCTCATCTCCAGTAATAGCACCCAGTCATTGTTTCAACTGAAACCACTGTTTCAATGAGGTAGAAACTACAGTTGGGAATCTAAGCCACACAGCATATACAGTACCACAAGTCCTGATAGTGTTTCTGTGTTGATAATAAGTTGAGCACTTCACTGTAATGGCTGGTCAGGGAGCGTCACAGGGTAGCTGGCTGAGTGGCCACTACCCTGACAGCTGCATGGGCCCTCAGTAGCCTCACAGATAAGAGGGACGGATGACAAAGGGCCCCAGCAGACACACACACTCAGGCACACACACACACACCTCTTCCCCGATTGCCGTTTAAAGAGCTCTGTGTGGAGGGGCAAAGGACTGTTATCGCCGGCTTGCAGGAATGTTCAGCTCTCAAAAGCCCTCCACACCAAGCTGCAAATACCATTAGCTTCCACAGCGAAAATATACTTTGGGTTTCTGTACCCCTGCCAAGTACTTCGTGCCCACTGTCATCCTATAGGGAGATAATGAGCTTTTTTCAATGCTGTTATGGAGTCCAAGGTCCATTATTTAACAAGAACAAAATAACCAAATCCTTTCACTGTTGTCTCTCTCGGGGTGTGTGGAGTGGCATTGTATTGTAGCAAATTGAGATGATTTCATAACTTATTCCCCATTGTTTTGTCTCAAGGTTTGTATTCAAACACAGGAAGGCAGTAAATCTAGTTGGACTGATAGTGCCGTTCTAAAAGACAAGAATGTAACTGTACTGTAAAATCCTTGTTTCTTCTCTCTGAAAATACAGAGTTGATGTGGTATCTCTTTGCTCTCTGTTTCTCTCTCTTTCTCTGTCTCTCTCTCTCTCTCTCTCTCTCTCTCTCTGTCTCTCTTTCTGTCTCTCTCTCTCTCTCTCTCTCTCTCTCCAACTGCACAGTCTGTATAGAGAGGTAGTCATTTGTTTTTGTTTAATAATTCATATGAAGTCACTGATGGTGAGAGAATTGTAATTGTCTTGCCTCACTATTCCTTCTCTTCTCCACTGTCTGAAACATTATTGGACTATTATTAAATCCATACGCATCTCAAATGTGTTGCTCAGGTATATTAGATTTATGACTCAGAGTGTCTGAGTCATCTATTTAATACTTAGCCGGTTGGCAAGGAGATGATTGCCTTTGATTGTGAGGCTTGCAGAAGAGTAAATATAGCAACTTATATTGTCTTCTCAACACTCCTTCTAGCCAGATACAGACCTGCTGTCTTCTCAACACTCCTTCTAGCCAGAGACAGACCTGCTGTCTTCTCAACAGTCCTTCTAACCAGAGACATACCTGCTGTCAACTCAACACCCCTTCTAGCCAGAGACAGACCTGCTGTCTTCTCAACGCTCCTTCTAGCCAGAGACAGACCTGCTGTCTTCTCAACGCTCCTTCTAGCCAGATACAGACCTGCTGTCTTCTCAACACTCCTTCTAGCCAGAGACAGACCTGCTGTCTTCTCAACACTCCTTCTAATCAGAGACATACCTGCTGTCTTCTCAACACTCTTTCTAGCCAGAGACAGACCTGCTATCTTCTCAACACTCCTTCTAGCCAGAGACAGACCTGTTGATGGGTCTACTGAGTTATGATTGTTGCTCTCAAAAGGCGATAGTTTTAAACCATCAGGCCATCAGACCAGAGACACAATGGTTGTAGGGGCTGGTTGTTGAAATAGTGAGCAATATTTGTACTTGTTGTGAAACCATGTATCCTTTATTATACTGTCCTTGGCGTGTGAGTTGGGATTGGCCAGAATACTGCACATCTCTATAGTTGTCGTTGTGAGGGCAGAGATACACAGTACTGAGGCATGCCATGCAACTGCAACCTGCTGCAACCACTTAGGAGAGGAGGCAGTTGGCTTTTGGTGCGCTCGCTCGCTCAGAGCTGAATTTCTGAGGCTAAGGAGGGTGCTGGAACATGCAAATGTGTCTGTTTAAATGATGGATGAGAGGAGAGGGAGAAAAGGGGGGCAGGAACGTGCTGGAATGGCAGTGGCACACAACAGAGAACTGCGTGACTTTATCACTGTCCCCTATAGGGCTCTATACAAATGGCTGATAAAGGGTGTTTTCTGATTGTTGCTGAATATTGATGGTAATAGAATGAGTCAATCCATGCCGTCTCCCATTTAACAGTGCAGATAAATACAGATGACCTTTCTGAGATGGGGAAGCTAAAGGAGCAGCCAAATCAAATAAACTTTGCACACAATCAGGCCTTTGAATTAATCCAAGCATAATCAGCTTTGTTACAGTCAGTCAGTCAGTATGTGTGTGTGTGTGTCTGAGTCTTGAGCTGCGAGCACGGTGCGGCCATGCCTCATTTTAGGCTGCTGATGTGTGATGTGGCGGGGTGCTTGCTGCCTGCAATGCGTTTGAGGTGTGATGTTTATCTTAACCTCTGGGGAATCGCTCTGACAGCCATCTTCAATGGGCCTAGTCTCCCCATTGGAGGGCCTTGTTACCATGGGAACTGTTGGGCTGGATAAACAGACCCTAGATTTCCCCATAATAATTGGATTGTTATATGAAAATGAATCATTTTAATGGAGAAACTGTGGATGGTTTTGTTTGTGCTCTAACCCTGATCACTTTTGTTGTGTCTCCCCTCCCCGTTAGATTGAAGACATCAATATGCGGATACAGGATGAGAAGGCAGGAGGGGTGGCCATCCGAACTGTCAAGAGCTTCCTGTCCAAGATCCCCAGTGTGGTATCAGGTGACCAGCTGTATATGTGTGTGTGTGTGAGTGTGTGTGTGCGCATGTGTGTGCGTGCGGGCGTGCCTGCCTGCGTGCGTGTGTGTCTGTATTGTCTCATACAATAAGAGAAAGCAGAGAGAGCAGACAGAGAGTCAGAATCATTAAAGCAAATATCACCTTTCAGGCTCATTTGACTTGCTGCCTCTGCAGATGGGGACAGATGAGGCCGTCTCAGTAACGTTGCTCTGAGTGTGACTCAACCTAACCCTCACATGTCTCTCTAGGCCTGATGGGCGTACGCGTCACTCTCCCAGTCTCACTCCGCCTCACTGCCAAGCACTAACATTATGCCAAATATGTTGCTGTCTAGGAGTTAGGGAAAATATGGTTACCAGGTTTCCTGCCTATTGTTAGACCAAGATCAAATTGTTCCATTTGGTATGTTCCTGCAAACACATACTCAGCTATGCCACATTCAGCCTTAGCCAAGGGTATTGTAGCTGTGCTGTAAGCTAAAAGTAATAGATTGTTGAGGGGAGACCTGTTCAAGGACTATTGCAGCTGTTTTGTAGTGGCTTTCTGTGTGTGTACAATGCCATTTCATTGTCCCTGTCAACCGTTCTTCTGCTTTGAATACCAGGAGCAGACATTGTGCAGTGGCTGATGAAAAACCTCTCCATTGAGGACTCAGGTATGTCTGCTATGTACACAGCCAAGATGACCGGGATTGACCCCTGATGTCAGTCTGTACTCAAGCCATTTTTCTCTACTCAGCGTTAGTATCCTGTCCTCTCTCCTGTAGCTGAAGCCATCCATTTAGGGAGCCAGATCGCTGCCCTTGGCTACCTCTTCCCCATTTCCGACCACGTCCTCACTCTCAAAGATGATGGGACCTTGTACCGCTTCCAGGTAAGCTACCATGGTAACTTCAGGCACCAGTAGACGTACCTTCCTTACACTCTTAGAAAAAAAGGGTTCCAAAAGGGTTCTTCGGCTGTCCCCATAGAGAAACCCAAAACGGTTCTTCAAAGGGTTATTTTATGTGGGGACAGCTGAAGAAACGCTTTAGGTTCTAGATAGCACATTTTCTTCTAAGAGTGTAGTGGTCCCAAACTGGATTTACTGTCCACACCACCATCCATAACATGAGTCATGACCAATATCACATGAAGGAAGATAAATGATCCTGTGCGCTGTCCAGAACAGTAGCCTCATTACCTTGTGACTGGTCACTTTACGCTCTAAAGCAGAGAAAACCAGGGGAGAATGTTCTAACAGAGACACTGATGTGAGAGATTCCTCTTGTCTGATCCTCAGTTAACAGGTCAAGTGTTGTAATCGGTCTGGACTCACCGTTTTTGAAAGGAATCTGACTCCTCTCACTACTCTTTGTCACGATCGTCGTTAGATGAAGCGGACCAAGGCGCAGCTTGATATGCGTACATTATTTTATTGCAGTACACAACACGAACCAAAACAACAAAACAAACGATACGTGAAGTCCTGGGTTGAACACAAACCTTCCGGAACAAGATCCCACAATAAACATGTGCCAACAGGCCGCATAAGTATTGACCCCAATCAGAGACAACGAGCTACAGCTGTCTCTGATTGGAAACCACCCTGGCCAACATAGAAATCCACGAACTAGAACACAACATAGAAAATAACACATAGAAAATCCACACCCTGGCTCAACATATAAGAGTCCCCAGAGCCAGGGCGTGACAGTACCCCCCCCCCCAAAGGCGCGGACTGCGACCGCGCCAACCAAACACAAGAGGGTAGGGGCCGGGTGGGCATTCCGCCTCGGAGGCGGATCCGGCTCCGGGCGTGACCACCACTCTCTCTCTACCCCCCCGTAGCGCCCCTGGTCTGGTCCCGCTGGCCGGAGCTGGACTGGACATCGGTGGAGCGGATTGCTCTGGCTCCGGTGTGGAGCAGCTGACCGGTGCCGGACCAGGCACCGGTGGAACAGGCACGGACCGTGCCGGACTGACGATGCGCACCACTGGCTTGGTGCGGGGAGCAGGAACGGGCCGGACCGGGCTGACGACGCGCACCACTGGCTTGGTGCGGGGAGCAGGAACAGGCCGGACCGGGCTGGCGACGCGCACCACTGGCTTGGTGCGGAGAGCAGGAACAGGCCGGACCGGGCTGGCGACGCGCACCACTGGCTTGGTGCGGGGAGCAGGAACAGGCCGGACCGGGCTGGCGACGCGCACCACTGGCTTGGTGCGGGGAGCAGGAACAGGCCGGACCGGGCTGGCGACGCGCACCACTGGCTCGGTGCGGGGAGCAGGAACAGGCCAGACCGGGCTGGCGACGCGCACCACAGGCTTGGTGCGAGGGACAGGAACAGGCCAGGCTGGACTGTGGAGACGGACTGGAGGTCTGGAACGGAGAGCTGACACAACCCGTCCTGGCTGAATGCCTATTTCCACACACTCTGTGTGAGGCATCAGCACAGGACGTACAGGGCTGTGCACTCGTACTGACACTACAGCACGTGGCACTGGCGCAGGATATCCGGGACCGAGGAGGGGTACTGGAGGCCACGAGCGTTGAGCCGGCACACTCCGTCCTGGCTGCATGCCCACCTTAGCACGACACGTGCGTGGTGCTAGCACAGGACGTACAGGACTGTGCCGGAACACTCGCGGCACAGTACGTAGCTCCGCATAACTCGGAACCTGCCCAGTCTCACGCTGCCTAGCCTGAGTACGGGGAGTTGGCTCTGCTCTACCTCTAGGTTCCGCCATCCACCATTCCAGCGCCCCAAACCTGGTGGCCTCCTCTCCTAAATCGCCGATGCGCCCTGTAGCTGCCTCCAGCAGCCCCGTCGTCCATGCCGTGAGCCCCCCCAAAAAAATGTCTTGGGGTTGCCTCTCGCGTGTCCGTCGTCAGCACGGTTGGTGCCGTTTCTCCTCTCTTGCCAGGGCCTGTACCTTTGCCCAGGGCCCTCTGCCAGCGAATATGTCCTTCCAAGACCACCATTCGCCCACCTGGGACATCACCAACTCCTCCTGCTTGGCACGCTGCTTGGTCCTTTTATGGTGGGATCTTCTGTCACGATCGTTACAGGATGAAGCGGACCAAGGCGCAGCGTGATATGCGTACATTCTTTTATTGCAGTACACAACACGAACCAAAACAACAAAACAAACGATACATGAAGTCCTGGGTTGAACACAAACCTTCCGGAACAAGATCCCACAATAAACATGTGCCAACAGGCCGCATAAGTATGGACCCCAATCAGAGACAACGAGCTACAGCTGTCTCTGATTGGGAACCACCTTGGCCAACATAGAAATACACGAACTAGAACACAACATAGTAAATAACACATAGAAAATCCACACCCTGGCTCAACATATAAGAGTCCCCAGAGCCAGGGCGTGACACTCTTGTTCTCTCCCTTAACCTGTGGGTAAATCGCTACAGATATTATCACTATATTATAAATATAAATACCAATTTTGATATTATAGATTAAATCAATTGGAGAGGCACAATGTACAGTGTTGCAGATCTACAATCTGGCATTGCTGTTCAAATCAAATCAAATGTTATTTGTCACATGCTTCGTAAACAACAGGTGTAGACTAATAGTGAAAAGCTTATTTACGGGCCTTTCCTAACAATGTAGAGAGAAAGAAAATAGAGAAATAATAGAAAAGTAAAACACGTAATAATAATAGAAAAGTAATACAAGTAATAATAGATATACAATGAGTAACAATAACTTGGCTATATACACGGGGTCCTAGTACCAAGTCGATGTGCAGGGGTACGAGGTAATTGAAGTACCTCTTGACTTTTTCCACATTTTGTTACGTTACAGCCTTATTCTAAAATTGATTAAATTGTTTTTTTCCCCTCATCAATCTACACACACAATACCCCATAATGACAAAGCAAAAACAGTATTCAGACTCTTTACTCATCACTTTGTTGAAGCACCTTTGGCAGCGATTACAGCCTTGAGTCTTCTTGGGTATGACGCTACAAGCTTTACACCTGTATTTGGGGAGTTTCTCCCATTCTTCTCTGCAGATCCTCTCAAGCTCTGTCAGGTTGGATGGGGAGCGTTGCTGCACAGCTATTTTCAGGTCTCTCCAGAGATGTTCGATCGGGTTCAAGTCCGGGCTCTGGCTGGGCCACTCAAGAACAGTCAGAGACTTGTCCCGAAGCCACACCTGTGAGGTTCTGGCTGTGAGCTTAGGGTCGTTGTCCTGTTGGAAGGTGAACCTTCGACTCAGTCTGAGATCCTGAGCGCTCTGGAGCAGGTTTTCATCAAGGATCTCTCTGTACTTTGCTCCGTTCATCTTTCCCTTGATCCTGACTAGTCTCCCAGTCCCTGCCGCTGAAAAACATCCCCACAGCATGATGCTGCCACCACCATGCTTCACCGTAGGGATGGTGCCAGGTTTCCTCCAGACGTGACGCTTGGCATTCAGGCCAAAGAGTTCAATCTTGGTTTCATCAGACCAGGGAATCTTGTTTCAAATGGTCTCAGAGTCCTTTAGGTGCCTTTTGGCAAACTCCAAGCGGGCTCTCATGTGCCTTTTACTGAGGAGTGGCTTCCGTCTGGCCACTCTACCATAAAGGCCTGATTGGTGGAGTGCTGCAGAGATGGTTGTCCTTCTGGAAGGTTCTCCCATCGCCACAGAGGAACTCTGGAGCTTGTCAGAGTGACCATCGGGTTCTTGTCTCAGAACTCTACAGACAATTCCTTCGACCTCATGGCTTGGTTTTTGCTCTGACATGCACTGTCAACTGCGGGACCTTATATAGACAGGTGTGTGCCTTTCCAAATCATGTCCAATCAATTGAATTTACCACAGGTGGACTCCAATCAAGTTGTAGAAACATCTCAAGGATGATCAATGGAAACAGGATGTTCCTGAGCTCAATTTCTAGTCTCAATACAAAGGGTCTGAATACTTATGTAAATAAGGTATTTCTGTTTTTTGCTTTGTCATTATAGGGTATTGTGTGTAGATTGATGAGGGGAAAATAGAATAAGGCTGTAACGTAACAAAATGTGGAAAAAGTCAAGGGGTCTGAATACCTTCCGAATGCACCTGTATATAATACAGTGAGGGAAAAAAGTATTTAGTCAGCCACTAATTGTGCAAGTTCTCCCACTTAAAAAGATGAGAGAGGCCTGTAATTTTCATCATAGGTACACGTCAACTATGACAGACAAATTGAGAGAAAAAAATCCAGAAAATCACATTTTTGGAAATACCAGACGATGTAAATACATTTGACCAGTCATGCTTATTGGTCTATGGGTTAATTTAGTTACAGCATTCGGAAAGTATTCAGACCCTTTGACTTTTTCCACATTTTGTTACATTACAGCCTTATTCTAAAATTTAATAAATAAAACATTTTCCTCATCAATCTACACACAATAACCTATAATGACAAAAAACAGAAATACCTCATTTACATAAGTATTCAGATCCTTTGCTACAGTGGGGAATAAAAGTATTTAGTCAGCCACCAATTGTGCAAGTTCTCCCACTTAAAAAGATGAGAGAGGCCTGTAATTTTCATCATAGGTACACGTCAACTATGACAGACAAATTGAGAAAAAAATTTCCAGAAAATCACATTGTAGGATTTTTTATGAATTTATTTGCAAATTATGGTGGAAAATAAGTATTTGGTCACCTACAAACAAGCCAGATTTCTGGCTCTCACAGACCTGTAACTTCTTCTTTAAGAGGCTCCTCTGTCCTCCACTCGTTACCTGTATTAATGGCACATATTTGAACTTGTTATCAGTATAAAAGACACCTGTCCACAACCTCAAACAGTCACACTCCAAACTCCACTATGGCCAAGACCAAAGAGCTGTCAAAGGACACCAGAAACAAAATTGTAGACCTGCACCAGGCTGGGAAGACTGAATCTGCAATAGGTAAGCAGCTTGGTTTGAAGAAATCAACTGTGGTAGCAATTATTAGGAAATGGAAGACATACAAGACCACTGATAATCTCCCTCGATCTGGGGCTCCACGCAAGATCTCACCCCGTGGGGTCAAAATGATCACAAGAACGGTGAGCAAAAATCCCAGAACCACACGGGGGGACCTAGTGAATGACCTGCAGAGAGCTGGGACCAAAGTAACAAAGCCTACCATCAGTAACACACTACGCCGCCAGGGACTCAAATCCTGCAGTGCCAGACGTGTCCCCCTGCTTAAGCCAGTACATGTCCAGGCCCGTCTGAAGTTTGCTAGAGTGCATTTGGATGATCCAGAAGAGGATTGGGAGAATGTCATATGGTCAGATTAAACCAAAATAGAATTTTTGGTAAAAACTCAACTCGTCGTGTTTGGAGGACAAAGAATGCTGAGTTGCATCGAAAGAACACCATACCTACTGTGAAGCATGGGGGTGGAAACATCATGCTTTGGGGCTGTTTTTCTGCAAAGGGACCAGGACGACTGATCTGTGTAAAGGAAAGAATGAATGGGGCCATGTATCGTGAGATTTTGAGTGAAAACCTCCTTCCATCAGCAAGGGCATTGAAGATGAAACGTGGCTGGGTCTTTCTGCATGACAATGATCCCAAACACACCGCCCGGGCAACGAAGGAGTGGCTTCGTAAGAAGCATTTCAAGGTCCTGGAGTGGCCTAGCCAATCTCCAGATCTCAACCCCATAGAAAATCTTTGGAGGGAGTTGAAAGTCCGTGTTGCCCAGCGACAGCCCCAAAACATCACTGCTCTAGAGGAGATCTGCATGGAGGAATGGGCCAAAATACCAGCAACAGTGTGTGAAAACCTTGTGAAGACTTACAGAAAACGTTTGACCTGTGTCATTGCCAACAAAGGGTATATAACAAAGTATTGAGAAACTTTTGTTATTGACCAAATACTTATTTTCCACCATAATTTGCAAATAAATTCATTAAAAATCCTACAATGTGATTTTCTGGATTTTTTTTCCTCATTTTGTCTGTCATAGTTGACGTGTACCTATGATGAAAATTACAGGCCTCTCTCATCTTTTTAAGTGGGAGAACTTGCACAATTGGTGGCTGACTAAATACTTTTTTCCCCCCACTGTATGAGACTTTAAATTGAGTTCAGGTGCATCCTGTTTCCATTGATCATCCTTGAGATGTTTCTACAACTTCATTGGAGTCCACCTGTGGTAAATTCAATTGATTGGAGTCAAGGGGTCTGAAAACTTTCCGAAGACACTGTATGTAACTTATTTATCACACGCATACAGCATACAGACACAGAGCCTTTGAGAGGAAAATGGGTCAGACAGTGCTTTTATAAGCCCAATCATTGAACAACAATTCTAAATGCAATCGCACACAAAATTATTTGCTTCTACAGACGGATTAGTCTTCTCTTTTCAGCAGTAGGCATTTGCTTTCCAAATGGTATCCCTATGTGTTTTCTTGTGCATTTTGAAATTTGACAGATTGACAGCCACAACCAACCATAGAAATATAATTCCCATTCAAATCAGGACTGGCAACCATTGCTAGTGTACCCATGATTTTAAAAGTCAAAGTGCCAGGGTTAAATGTTCCAAAATCCTTCTATAGATTATATGTCTATGGCCAAACTGCAACTAGCTGTTCTATATTTGGCATGCACGTTGCCCAAATTGCAGCCTTCACAACTGTAAGTGCCTGTGATAAAACTTAATCCACAGCTATTTTTTAGAAGCTATTGATCCTCTGTGGCTAAGTTATGCTCTCTGGTGTAGTATTTTGAATTATTTTATTCATATCTGTTCAGACAGGAGTAAGCTAATATCATTTTGGGGAAAATGTACTTTAATAATGTTTATTTATTTTTTATAATTTCAACAAAAGTATTTCAATTTGCAGCACCCCCAGCACCCCTACTTCCCGCGGCTATAAGCAGACTCACACCATAAAATATCACTGCTACAGTTTGGTTTAGACTAGAGAAAATGTTAACCTGTCTGTTTGATGTGTTGATTCTGACACATATTCATATCTCATTCATCTTGTTAGCCTTTTGTTGTTAAAGGGGCAGTGCAGTTATGATATTTCCACACTATGAGGTCGAAATAACACTCCGAAACGGTGAAAAAAATGATAATGCCCTTTTTGTGTAAAAGCTGTTTGGAAAAGAATCCTGGAATTTCAACCTGTTCAGGTGGAATGGAACAGTGTGATCTGATTATAATAGACCAATGTCTGTTCGTCTGGGTAAGGGGGTAGGCTCTAGACCATCCCATCAGCCAATCAGGGCTGTGTATGTAAATATCTTCAAATTTGTTTCCTAACACCGACATGATCAGACTGAGCATTTACATTTTCATGTTTCGCTAAACACACACAGTGACCTATTAGACATACAGTGATGACTTAAAAAATAAAATTACAAAGACTGCATTGGGGCTTTAAGCTAATTATATGAGTGATATTGGAGATGTCGTGGAACATCTCTACATTCTAATTCCACCCATCATTAAAAATGCATGATAGATCTGAGAAATCCAATATATATGCATCATGGAATTAACTGTAAATCTAAAATATCAATTGCAATAGTCAATGAAATAGGAATAGAGAATATAGCTACTGTTCTTACCTAGATAGTTATGCAAAGCATAAGAAGGGCATTGATCATCACACCACTCGTCTTCTTTTAACTTGATCATGTTTTTAGAGAGGAAAAGGCAGGAAAAGGCAGGAACAAAGCGTTTGGGCCGTTTGTATGTTCTCCAGCATCTTAATCTCAACAGGACTCAGGGCTATGAGTCAGGGTGGACTGGACACAACATGCATATTAAAACCGGGGGCTGCCCGTCTTTAAACAAAACTGTGTCTCAGAAATGTGTTTAAAACCTCATTATTTGAACATTTGGATCCATATACTCAACACAACAATGTTTACTGAATGAAACAAAAAGAAAAGGAGCTGCTGCTAGAGACAGTGTGGAGAAAATTGTCTGCATCAACATTAGGAAAAACAATAAAAAGGAGACCCTCTCCAGTCTTGGGCAGATGCTCTGATGTTGAAATGATCTTAAGATGATGAGTAATTGAATGATCTCTCCACCTTCCTCCTCAGGCTCCATTCTTCTGGCCCTCTAATTGTTGGGAACCTGAAAACACAGACTATGGTAAGTTATGTTGTGGTCCCTAGGGGTGGAATTGGAAAATATCACTGAACTCAAACGTGTCTAAATGTCACCCCTCAGATTTTCATTATGTGTAACCCCTAATTATTCCCCCCTGATGTCCCCCCTCCCAGCCAGCCTAACCTATAGCCCTGCTCAGTGCAGAGTGAGAGCAGAGTGTCTGGCCCAGAATGTGTCATATCCTCCTGCCTAGAGTGTAAACACAGACTATGGATCTGTTGTTGTCTCACACCCAGTATTGATTGAGTGGCCCACTCTGTAATGCATCCCACTATCTCCCCAGGAGGATCTCATTTTACCCCCAGGTCTGCAGCGCTAGATTAGCCAATCAGGGTACAAAGGTCTTACGTGACATTATTGTACATCTCCAGGCTTTCATGTTTGCATGGCATTTCTCCAGCCTGATTATGTAAATGAGAAAGTTACCAACTGTCTCATTAAATATTGCTCACCGCACTCTGATCAGAACAGATTTACTCAGGCGGAAACCGAGTAGGTGGCATTTGTTTACAAGAGATGAACTACACTTACAACTGGCGATACAGCATTTGTGACATTTGTTTGGCAATATCACTAAAGGCAGGCAGTCTGCCAAGCAACAGTAAGTAACTGACTACTCTCTGCTGTCTTCTCTCTCCTCTGTAGCTATTTACCTGTGCAAGCGCACCATGCAGAACAAGGCCAGGCTGGAGCTAGCTGACTACGAGGCTGTGAGTCCCCTATTCATCTTACTGGAACTGTCATCAGTACACTATCAATACACTACTGACCCTTTAACAGAGGTATCAACTACACAACTACAGATTCTCTCAGATCACGTGCCATGCTGCTGAGCTCTAGTCTATTCCACACTGTATAGGTTTGGTGGTCGGGTCAGAGTGTTGTTTTCTCCACAATTCAAATAGGTCACTTCATTGAATATGTATGACAGATGTTTGCATTGCTCACTTGCCAAGCAGATGCCCTTATTATATGCAAATTACAACAGCCATGATATTACTTGCTGGTTAAGCTGAGCTGGCTAGCTTTATGCAGAAATAGCATTATAGCGATGCAATTACCCAAGAACCTTCACTGGTTTATTCTCACACCTCATGTCTCTATGATTGGGGGGTCTTACAGGAGAACCTGGCTCGACTGCAGAGGGCCTTCGCCAGGAAGTGGGAGTTCATCTTCATGCAAGCTGAGGCGCAGGTCAAGTGAGTGGACAGTAACTAGGCAAAAGAGCACGCACACAACACATTGTGGTTTTGATACTTTGTCTATTGTGCCATATGTCAGTGTATTCCTTATATTTCATGCACTGATGCAGGTGACTATAGAGTCACCAGTTTGCCAGATGCATACCCCTAGGTTACTTTCTAGATGATATTTTATTCATTCACTTTTATCACTGTTCCTTCCACTACATCTCCATCTGCTGGTTGACATTTGTAAACACGATATCAGGACTTGAGAAAAACCTCATTGGTCATGATTATCCTTTCAAATGATTATAGTCTGAGCACTAAGTATTTACTGTAGTTAAGAGCGAATACATTAAGCTCTGTTACATTCAGGGTGAGAGAGAGAAACAGGCCAACCAAGCACTGATCAGTAAATGTCAGTTATGTAAGAGTTGTACCCTACCAGCCAGCGGCCAGACCCCAGATTGCTTGGTGAAGTGACGAAACAGGTTGTGACTTCCACTTTGAGCTTTTACCCTCCTCTAGTCTCTCAGTAAGAGTGACACGTCTGTCTGTGTGCTCAGTATTGACTTGGCTCTGTCCTCTCTCCCCTACCCTCAGGATCGACAGGAAGAAGGACAAGGCTGAGAGGAAGATCCTGGACAGCCAAGAGAGGGCATTCTGGGACGTCCATCGCCCTGTGGTAAGCTGAAGGGTGGTGGTGGTAAGCTGAGAGGAGGAGGTGGTGGTGCTAAGGTCTGAAGGAGGGCTAGAGAGATGGCATGATGAAAGGACAAGGAATGTTACAGTGAAAGTCCCATAGGGCTCCAATGTTAGAACAATAAAGTGTTTTAGTGTTTAGTGGGGCCTGGGTTAGCCTGAATTAGTCTGGATCCTAGTGGGGTTCTCTATTAGCCAACTCCAGTGTTGAATTAAGTCTAGCCTCCAGGCTAGGGAAGGATGTGCCTGGTGACCCACTATAATCTGACCTAGAAACTAACTCTCTCACAGCCAGGCTGTGTAAACACCACAGAGATGGACATTCGCAAGTGCCAGAGAGAGAAGAATCCACAGAGGGTGAAAAAGGTAAGGAAGAAGACTTTTAGTGATGAGTGGTCTCTCTGTTTGTTTATGTATGTATGTATCTGTGTGTGTGTGTGTGGAGGGTGAGTGTATAAGCAACAACAGACATGTATATCCATTCTGTCCCTCTCCAGTCGGTGTATGGGGTTACAGATGACACCCAGACTCAGAGTCCAGTCCACCAGTCCATCCTGTCCCAGCCAGCCAGGAAGCCCACCAGAGAGGACGTTCAGAAGGAGGTAACACACTCTGTGATGCTCCTGACAGGTCATTACTAACACCGTCATTATCCATTATCTCCTGCTGTCTGTCTGTCTGTCTGTCTCACTCATCAATCATAACGCCAACCCACCTCTGAGTAATGAGCTACTGTCTCATTCTGCCGTCTTTAATTATTTTCTCTCTCAGATTTCCTTCTTGAACATGCAGCTGGACAGACACTGTATGAAAATGTCCAAAGTAGCGGACAGCCTCATGAGCTACACAGAACAGTTCATGGTCTACGATCCTTTAGCGTCAACTGTTGAACCATCCAACCCCTGGATCAGCGATGACATAACCTTCTGGGACCTGGAGGCTAGGTGGGTTCACTGGGGAGGCAGTGTGAGGCACAGGTTGGTGGCACCTGTATTGGGAAGAACGGACTCATAGTAATGGCTGGAATGGAATAAATGGAATGCTAATCGAACATGGCTTCCATGTGTTTGATACCATTCCATTGACTCCATTCCAGCCATTATTATGAGCCGTCCTCCCCTCAGCAGCCTCCGGTGGCGTGAGGCCATAGGCACCATGGACAGACCTAACTAGTCAAACACAATCACTCCTCTAAATGGCTAGTGGGGTCAGGCAGAGGGTTAGTGCTCTCAGGTGCTGGCTCCTCTTTCTTTCCCTATGCACTCCACATTTTAAACAGCATACACACCCACAAGGTATTTGTATTTGTATTTGTATTTATTATTGATCCACATACTCTCCCTGGGGTCCTGCAAAATTAAAGCAATTATACATTTGAAAAACATACAATACATTCATAACAGATTTCACAACATATTAAGTGTGTTCCCTCAGGCCTCTACTCTAATACCGCATATCTATAACACAAAATCCATGTGTACATGTGTGTATAGTGTATATGTTATTGTGTGTTTGTATGCATGTGTCTATGTTTGTGTTGCTTCATAGTCCCTGCTGTTCCTTAAGGTGTATTTTTATCTGTTTTTTAAATCTAATTTTACTGCTGGCATGAGTTACTTGATGTGGAATAGAGTTCCATGTAGTCACGGCTCCATGTAGTCAAGGCATGTACTGTGGGAGCTGTGAGTGTGAGAATAGCATGTACAGCAAATCAGCTCTATGCTAGTTTTGATTGGCACTCTGAGATGCCTCATAGTTGTCTCTCTCCGTTCTTCCCTATGAGCAGCCGGGACCCCAGCCAGCACCGTGTGAAGAAGTGGGGCTTCTCTCTGGAGGAGGCCCTCAAGGACCCAGCGGGACAGGACGCTTTCCTCAAGTTCCTGGAGTCGGAGTTCAGCTCAGAGAACCTCCGGTGAGAGATGGAGCCTTATAGGCTCAGGCAGGCACAGTTCCCAATGATAACATAGTCACTATCTTCTTCCCTTCTACTGTTTCACATCCATTTCTATTCCCCAGGCCTATAGAGGCTTTTGAGTGGCGGTAATGAGATTAAGGGAATGAGTGCTCTGAATGTCCACAAGGGGGCGCGCTCCTCTCCTGGCAGTTTAACATTAGGAAGTGAATGCTGCAGACACTGATCTCTATTGGCTGTGCCCTTCCTGTGCCCCTTGACAAGGTTCTGGTTGGCAGTGCAGGACTTGAAGCGGAGGCCCCTTGAGAACGTGGCAGCCAGGGCCCAGGAGATCTGGCAGGAGTTCCTGGCAGAGGGTGCATCCAGCTCCATCAACCTGGACTCCCACAGCTATGAGCGCACTAGCCATAACCTCAAAGATCCTGGACGATACAGCTATGAGGATGCACAGGTACATATCACAGTCTCCCATATGCACTCAAACACATATGCATGCACGACCACACACACAGTCAAAACTACTGCTACTACTGCACACACATTCAACAACTCACACAAACACATCACATCATAATCCCCACCCACACACTGCTGGCTGAGAGGGGGGTGGATGGACAGATGGAGTGAAAGGGAAGTGATTGAATGGTGGTGAAGAAACAATGTTTTTCAGGGTCTAATGGGCCGAGTAATGCCTGTGAAAAGCACATGCATTCATCCTAGATTCCTTAGGTTCAAACTGTATTAGTTTTGTTTGAGGGCAACTGCCTCACGGTGCATGAGCTTCAATGGCTATACGATGGCTCTGTGTTCACTCAGCCCTCTCAGGAGACTCCTTCTTCCCTCCATGTTAGCATGCATGGTTTACTCTCAGCTCCTCCGTTCCCACTCTTACATAATCATCAACTCAACTCTCCCTGCCTCGCTCTCTCTCTCTCTCTCTCACACACACACAATCGCACGCATGCACACACACACATACGGACGCATGCGCACACACACACACACACACACACACACACACACACACACACACACACACACACACACACACACACACACACACACACACACACACACACACACACACACACACACACACACACACACACACACACACACACACACACACACACACACACACACACACACACACACACACAACGACCATCATCACCACCTCTCCTTCTTCTTTAGGAACACATCTTCAAGTTGATGAAAAGTGACAGCTATGCACGCTTCCTGAGATCCAACATCTATCAGGACCTCCTGCTAGCCAGAAAGAAGCTGGTGAGCTGTAACTAACCCCTACTCAGTCACACCTTCACCATCGTAAAACTGTGATATTATGCATTTAATAAATATGTTTGAAAGCACACAGCCACCGCTTCTGGCTTCATGGCCTAAAATGTAACCTGTGGTTTGCCTTGACACTTTTCTAATCTTCCCTCTTCCCTTCCCCTCCCCATGCCGCTCAACGTTTTCTACCCCCACCCAACCCCCACACCATGCTGCCCCTAGTCGCAGACAGAGAGTGAGCAGGGCCGCCGTACCTCCCTGGAGAAGTTCACCCGCAGTGTGGTAAGTCACCAGGAACTGGGGCTGTATCACGGGCACGCAACCTAATGAAGATCTTTTTCAAGTTCAAAATGATTATGTAGGCTAGTAGGGCAGAGTTATTTTGCTGGTATTTCTTACCATTTTAAGGACAGGTAAGTGCTCAACATGTTGGCAGGGATAGCTAGTCTAAGTACTTTCTTGGCACAGCACTGTACACAGACTGCATGATTTTTCAGAAACTCAGCCAGTAAAGTTTGTTTCCATTTTCCAGGGCAAGTCGTTGACGGGCAAGCGGCTGACAGGGCTGATGCAGTCATCCTGACACTGCCTGGGCTGGAAGGGCACAGACAGACACCCCTGGAGGCGTCATGACAATGCGGGGAGACGGGCGCTGCTGGGGTGGGCCGCTCTGCTCTGGAGGGTCACAGACAGCACCATGCAGCGCTGGGATTAGGACTACTCACAGAACCACGGACCATGCCAGCGAAGGGGGGGGGCCTTGACCCACTCACCACATGGCATGCACACAGTACAAGCACATACAGTAGGGCTACATACAAGCTCAATGAGTCATAGTGGGACATATACAGATATACATATATACAGTACAGTCTGCCCACACTAGGCAGTCAGCAATAAGGACAGCAGGAGAACACTTTTATGTTCTGTATTTAACAAATCTTTTTTTTTTTTATATCTTTATCTATTTATCTTTATCTAAATCTGTATCATATGTTTTCTTATACAGTACACCGTATAATCCTATTTACATTTTACATTTAGTTACCGATGGAAACGTAAACCCTATTATTTTTGAAGTGATTGGGAATATATTTTTGTTTGCCCATAAATTTAAGGAAATTCTCCATGTTTTATTACATTCCAGGAGTAGGCATAAGGGCTTGATAGAGAATCTACAATTAATCATAGCATGTTTCATCAAATTGTGTTTGTTTAGAATTCATGCTATGGTTGGATTTGTATTTATTGAAAGCATGTAGTCCAATTGAGGTCATAGGCCTATTTTTCAAAGGAGACCTGGCCAAGAAAGCTCTAGTATTCAACACAGACAATCATACACTCAAGAGAACACCTACCATTTGATTAAATCAATATAGATAGCTACAGTGACGGAAAAAAGTATTTGATCCCCTGCTGATTTTGTAAGTTTGCCCACTGACAAAGACATGATCAGTCTATAATTTTAATGGTAGGTTTATTTGATCAGTGAGAGACAGAATAACAACAAATAAATCCAGAAAACACATGTCAAAAATGTGAGCTCCCTCCACAGATTTTCTATGGGATTAAGGTCTGGAGACTGGCTAGGCCACTCCAGGACCTTAATGTGCTTCTTCTTGAGCCACTCCTTTGTTGCCTTGGCCGTGTGTTTTGGGTCATTGTCATGCTGGAATACCCATCCACGACCCATTTTCAATGCCCTGGCTGAGGGAAGGAGGTTCTCACCCAAGATTTGACGGTACATGGCCCCGTCCATCGTCCCTTTGATGCAGTGAAGTTGTCCTGTCCCCTTAGTAGAAAAACACCCCCAAAGCATAATGTTTCCACCTCCATGTTTGACGGTGGGGATGGTGTTCTTGGGGTCATAGGCAGCATTCCTCCTCCTCCAAACACGGCGAGTTGAGTGATGCCAAAGAGCTCGATTTTGGTCTCATCTGACCACAACACTTTCACCCAGTTCTCCTCTGAATCATTCAGATGGTCATTGGCAAACTGTAAATGTGCTTTCTTGAGCAGGGGGACCTTGCGGGCACTGCAGGATTTCAGTCCTTCACGGCGTAGTGTTACCAATTGTTTTCTTGGTGACTATGGTCCCAGCTGCCTTGAGATCATTGACAAAATCCTCCCGTGTAGTTCTGGGCTGATTCTTCACCGTTCTCATGATCATTGCAACTCCACGAGGTGAGATCTTGCATGGAGCCCCAGGCCGAGGGAGATTGACAGTTCTTTTGTGTTTCTTCCATTTGCGAATAATCGCACCAACTGTTGTCACCTTCTCACCAATCTGCTTGGCGATGGTCTTGTAGCCCATTCCAGCCTTGTGTAGGTCTACAATCTTGTCCCTGACATCCTTGGAGAGCTCTTTGGTCTTGGCCATGGTGGAGAGTTTGGAATCTGATTGATTGATTGCTTCTGTGGACAGGTGTCTTTTATACAGGTAACAAACTGAGATTAGGAGCACTCCCTTTAATAGTGTGCTCCTAATCTCAGCTCGTTACCTGTATAAAAGACACCTGGGAGCCAGAAATCTTTCTGATTGAGAGGAGGTCAAATACTTTTTTCCCTCATTAAAATGCAAATCAATTTATAACATTTTTGACATGCGTTTTTCTGGATTTTTTGTTGTTATTCTGTCTCTCACTGTTCAAATAAACCTACCGTTAAAATTATAGACTGATCATTTATTTGTCAGTGGGCAAACGTACAAAATCAGCAGGGGATCAAATACTTTTTTCCCTCACTGTATAAAGCTTGAAAACCCAGTCCCTTATGGAAAATCTCAATAATGTCGTTGATGATGAGTCTCTGAATCAGTGATTTCAGCCTTATTTAGTATTTTACACGGCACCAAGTTCAAAGTTTAGTTTTAATGTCACATGCACAAGTACAGTGAAATGCCTTTCTTGCAAACTTAAAACCCAACAATGCAATAATCAATAACAATGTGATACATGGTGTTTCCGTGTTATCCTGCACCTACTCAAGCAGATACATTCCAAATAAATGCCACCAGTCACAGAGCTATTTAAGTGACATTCACATGCCTAATGAAAATAGCCCTGCATCACTACCACTTTGCAATGTCACCACAATGTCATCTAATGGAAAGTTAACACCATGCACAACCTCAGTGGGCCAATGTGGCCTGGCATGCCCTAACAGGAGGACTGTGGCAGGAATATTTATTTGGATGTCGAATCATGTCATCACCCCGCAATCACAGGGATCCTATATCACTTAACAGCCCAAGAGATGCAGTTTAATTTAATACTAGCCTTCTTGTTGCATTAATGTCAATGTAAACCATGACTTACATGCTCAGTCATTAATCCATAGTCCTCTTTTTGGGTCAGAGAGATGTGCATGTATACTCATCATGTCATGTGTTGCAAGCCATTGTTTTATTTGCCAAACAGTGTGCATGCTTGCTAGGGAAAATGTGAAATGAAGTTTAGGGAGTCTGAGCTGGGGAGTAAAGGTCACGTGCACAGCCACCCAGCAGGCTGCCGCTGCCGCCGCCGCCGCCGCCTTCTTCTTCTTCTTCTTCTTCCAACCAAAAGGGAAATGACCTCGATCTCCACCACTGAACAGAACAGGAGCATCCCTGCTGAAAGGACATAAACCCACAGGATGCACCTGACTGATATCATATGGCATCCACATCCACCCCTGGAACTGGACCATCGCTCTTCTGCTCTCCCAGTCCTGAGATAGAGGAGGGTATCATTCACAGCACAACAGCTCCCTCGTGTGGTAAGGGTGGCATATGATCAACTGCCAGAGTCAATATTACTAAAGACAAATACTGAGAGAATTACAGAATTTAAATTATTTAAGTCCAAATTAATTTATAGTTGCTGCCATGCAATGTACAGGTTGATATTTATATGATTATCATAAACGAAACCTCTTGACTATAAGGTAGAAATGCTTAATGTATTGAGGGATCGTTCACCCAAATTACAAAATTACATATTGGTTTCCTTACCCTGTAAGCAGACAAGGTATGACAGAAATACATGCTTTGGTTTAGTTTCCCTGGCACTGTTTCCAAATGCGAACATTTTCGCATTTGAGGCAGAAATCCCACAGGTTGACATTTATTGTCATGAATCTTGCCCTGGAAGCAGAATGGAGCAATTTCCACTAGCTAGGCCAGCATTTGGAAACCGTGCCACCACTGCCAGGGAAACTAAACCAAAGCATGGATTGCTGTCATACCTTGTCCATAGACTGCTTGCAGCGTAAGGAAACCAATGTGTCATTTAGTAATTTGGGTGAACTATCCCTTTAAATAATATTGTCTGCACAAACACAATAGCAGTGTGTGTGTACAGAGTGCATTGTATATCAATTGGCTATATAGATTTTCATTATCTAAAAGCACATTTACAGTACTATGCATGTAACATATCCAGGGCATTTGTGCTTCTAGTTTCTCAATCAGCAAAATGACTATTATCACTCTAAAAGACCCATGCACCTGATATCTTGTGTGCACTAAATAATAAAACCTTGGGACCTCCGTCTACATGGTGTCCGCCTCTCATTTACAGTAGCATATGTGGTACCCAGTTAGTAGCATATTGGTAACCAGTTAGTAGCATATGTGGTAACCAGTTAGTAGCATATGTGGTACCCAGTTAGTAGCATATTGGTAACCAGTTAGTAGCATATGTGGTACCCAGTTAGTAACATATTGGTACCCAGTTAGTAGCATATGTGGTACCCAGTTAGTAGCATATTGGTAACCAGTTAGTAGCATATTGGTAACCAGTTAGTAGTATATTGGTAACCAGTTACTCTTATAACTGGGTAATAACGTAATTGCTACAATAGCAGCAATGGTGTTAAATAGGACCACAGGACAACATCCCCAAACATCCGGAGTGGGCGGAGTCTCATTCTTTATTTTCTTTCATTACAATAAAAATAGTTTAACAAACAAAGACGTCATTCTCTCGATTTTAGTTATTTACAGTTGAAGATAAAATGACCGGTCAAGTCCATTTCATCTGTTCTTGGCTCCATTCCAACCCCTGCTCTCCCCGCTAACTCAGAAAGGCTTGCTGAGAGCTCTTGGGTTATTGCAGTCTTTGACGAGGTATACAGGCTATGCAATATTATATGATTGGTGATGATGACACTTGTTTCTATACAGACATCACTGACTTTAATGAGTGTTGTTTGGAAGTGTACCATGCTAGACCCGTTTGTTAGAGGAAGTCACCAGTGAAAGAAAACGTTAACCATAAACCACACAGCTGACTCCAGGGGGGTTAATACAGTGAGACCTTAATTTGATCACTCTTTTGCTGCTGAGAATTTGCAGATGAGCTTTGTCATAAATTCATTGAAAACCTGCACTAACAGTTATATTAACAATATTCCACTTTTCATGTAGCCTCATTTTGACTAGCTAATAGCCTGACCACCCATCAAGCAAACATTATAGACTAAACATTCAAATCCTGTTGCTGTAGAATTATTTTTCTGTGACAATACAGGTCAAATTAAGATCCTATCAGTACCAGGTTGTTATTCCAACATGACTTACTCAAGACCTTTCAGAGGTTACCATGTAATTGATGGGGAGGTTGCTGATTACCAAAATAATTCTCCATAAAAAATAAATAGAAACTGTGGATGAAAGTGTCCCTGAGGGAATTCAGTGTTTAGAATGTGTATTGTAAGTGAGTGTCTAATGTGTCAACATTTAAGACTTTCCTTTCTATTTCAATGCCATCTTGCATTTTTGGGTTATTTTAGCTAATGGAACAACAACTTGCTCATATGACCATGTGACAGATATACAGTACATCCAACACGTTTTTGGCTCAATATCCCAAGCACCCTTTGCACTTCATAAAGTATCTATGCCTAATATAGCACTCAAATCAAAATGTCACATTACATCGTTTTACAGCTCTTCTGCAATTGTACATAAATCTCCTTGCATTATGTACACTTGCCATGTACAGGTAACTGCCAAAATAAAGGAAACACCAACATAAACTATCTTAATAGGGCGTTGGGCCACCACGAGCCAGAACAGCTAAAATGCCCCATGGCATAGATTCTACAAGTGTCTGGAACTCTATTGGAGGGATGCAAGACCATTCTTCCATGATAAATTCCATCATTTGGTGCTTTGTTGATGTTGGTGTAAAACGCTATCTCAGGCGCCGCTCCAGAATCTCCCATAAGTGTTCAATTTCTTATCCCCATCCATTAAAGTGCAAGCACGCACACCCACACACTTTTAACCCACTATGCTCTTTTGAGACCCCTCTTTCCAAATCACTGAGCTCTTCTAGCCATGATAGCCAAAAGAATGGGCAACTGGGCATTTTTATACATGACCCTACGCATGATGGGATGTTTTAATTGCTTAATTAACTCAGAAAGCACTTGCTTTCAATATACCTTGTATCTCTCATTTACACGTGTTTCCTTTATTTTGGCAGTTACTTAAAAGTGATTCTGGACAAAAGTGTTTGACAAGTGAGTCAGAGGAAGGAGAGAACATGGAGTAATGTGCCCAAGAACTTGGTTGGGCACAGTTCAGAATGTTTTGTTATTGCAATGGTTTGTTAAAGCTGGGCTAAATAGACATGTGTTAGTCTGATGACTAAACCATGGGCATCCATTTTATTCTATTGCCCTTTCTGATTCCTTGTCAACACCCTCATCAGGTATTTCTATCCTTTTGACCAATAGAATTCATCACGAGGCAGGCAGGGGAGAGTGGCTTGATACTGACTGCATCATTATGCAGAGACTAGAACAATCAACAGCAGTACAAATCATACGCCTGAGTAGTAGTACTGTAGTAGTAATAGTAGTAGTAGTAATAATAGTAGGTATTGTAGAAAGACAGGTATCAACAAAGCCGGAACAAACAGAAGACATCAGAATAATCAGCAGATACACTTAAATTACACTATGAAACCAATCTGTCAATATTTTGTTCAAAACAAAGGAATATAGCACAATTCCTTGAAGATGGAAGGGATTAGAGCAAACTACTTTTGTTTGACCCGTTCAAGAAACATTAAAGAGAGCAAGAGAAGAAAACAGCATGTCTAAGTAGTCCAGAGGTTTTGTTGTATTAGTGACGGAGGGAGTTCAGCACTGTCGCTATGGCAGGGGTCAGAAGTTAGAGGTCAGAGTGGTTCAGTCAGGTCACTGGGTCATCATGGCCGTCAGAGCTGGTTTCCCACCTGGGTCGCAGGCTGGCACAGTGATGACGTCTCAGTGTCACATTGGATCCCATGGGCATGGTGGACACAGCCATAGAGAAGTAACACACAGGGCGAGGGACACAGGGTCCAAACACACCCGGTGGGCACAGAACCCACAGCCCTGACCTATCCTTATACAGGATAGGTACCGTACAGCACAGTGCATTGCAGCACAGGAGAGACTCACTGTATGTGGAGCCACTCATTTTATACGTTCCATCTGGTATAAGCAATACATATTCTCAGGGGGAAATTACTTCAAATAGAGAAAAGGTCTGAGTCGGGGAGTATGGGGTTATGTGGTTGCTGGCAGGCTGGCTGGATAGCTGTTGGATGGCTGTTTGGTGTCTGACTGTCAGCCTGATAGGTTCTTCAGGTCCAGTAGAGGGGTGTGTTGAGGCCCAGTGTTGAGGGTCCTGAACCTCACCCCTCACTTGCTGCACAGCCCTCTGGATCCTCATGCCATGGTACTCCTACAACAGAGAGAAATGGGTCAGACTCACCCCTCTCCAAGATAGCTGGCATAAAACCAGCAGCAGTCGTTTTGATCTTTCTTTGTTGATGGTGATCGAGATTAACATGAGCAGTTTTACATTCAATGTTCTTCAAAGTGCAAAGCCCTCTAGCATGATCTGATGGAATAAGGATACACCTTGTATTTCAATGAGAAAGCGCTGTACTACTATCTATAATGTGTGAATAGGACCTAGGTGCTTACCTTTCAGCTAGCCATGCCCTGCTTCTGATATGTCTTCCCAGCCCTCCGCTTCATCCACACACGTCAATCCTTCACTTCCCTCCTTCATTTTTACATTATTATAATCCAGAGAATGAAGCAGTGGAGGTGTCATCTAAAAGCTCCTCTTTCCAAACTGCCTGGTGATTCCAGTGACATCAACAAGCCGAGGGATGGGTTGGTGTTGACATTCATTCCTCATCCAAACTCAAGTTTATCATTTAAGTTGTTTAATTTCAGATAAATTATTGAATTTCATTTTCTCTGGCAAATCATCCCAAAAAGAGCAATACAATTATATCCACATTCCAGTGTTTGTTCATAACATAATTGCCTATTCTGTTCCGGGGGGAAAAAATCCAAGAAATGATTCTTCCTTCCGTTTCACATGGAGAGCAAGTCACTTGTCAAGAAACGCTGTCAGTTGCTTTCAAAGTTAATATAAAAAACATGTTCATAAATTATTAAACAAGGTTCAGTAGATAATAAAATAACACTTCTTGTATTTCTCTCCTGAAATAATCACTTGTGCTTTCCACAACAACAAAAAACATTTAAAAAGAAGCAGCAGACTTTTGCTAGAGGTTATCCATATTAAAAATAGTATTTAAACCTAGTAAGTTCTTCTCTATCTGTATCGGTTGAACGTCCCCTTGCCGTTTGACGAGGGCTCTTCAAGCTCATCGTCCTCAAAGCCATGAAATGTGGACGTGTCGCTCTCTGAGGTGGTGCCAAACATTTCCTCTGCCCCGGCAAACGGCCTGCTGTCCTCCTTCTCTTCTGGGCGGCCAGCTGGCAACAAGATGACAGGATGAGGATGGCATTTCAGCTACAGTACAGAAATCAGTACAGCTTAGTAATAATCATGGTTTGGATGCTGTGTAGCAGAGCAGTGTACTCACTGGAGCGCCGGCAGACTGAGCAGGGTACCCTCTCCCCAGATTTACCCCTGTTGGAGCCTGGGGTGCACTGGCACAAGTTACAGTAGTTATTGGTACTGGCAGTCCCACCTGGGCCCTTCTGACCTGCAGAAGATGAACAGAAGAAGGCTGGATCAAATACTGAGCCCTGAACCAAGCATTCAGACATTTTAATAATTTATGAAAAAATAATGTTTTCAAAAGACCTCATTAGACAGGGCTGACCTTACAATGATTAATGTGCATCGTTAGTTAAAAAGGAGCTAGTGAACTTGCACTGAAGACAGAAATCACATGTTGAGAGCCCAGTGGAGGTGGTCAGCCATGAGGTGCAGGTGAAACCGTAAGCTCAGGATTCCTAAACCTGGTGCAGTGTTACACCTGCAGAGGTATGGCTATCCCTACTTTAGCTAATTGACTGCAACAAAGCTCGAACAAATATGCAAATCACATACTAGGAATAGAAATGACGTTTAAAAACACACCCACATTACTCTTTGTACATTCCTGTATCCTGTTGCTGATGGTGACACCAGAAGAGATACATTTTAGAGGCCTTGAATATGGTTTTGAGTGTCTTACGTTTGTGTCTGTTGGAGCGTTGTGTGGAGGGTAATCGGGAGGACTCGGACCCCCTCTCTTCTGCCAGGTGGGAATGGGTGTAGTGGTAACTCAGCCCTGTACGGTTCCTGTAGCGCTTCCCACAGACTGAGAGCACAAAACAGAGACAAAACATTCACTTCTTCCCTTCTTAGAATGTGTCTGAGACAAATTGCATTTATGTGTCACCTTTCTTCAGAGCTAGACACATTGGGGATTGTGAAAATTCAAAAAGACCCTTACATCACAATGGTTTCGTCACTGCCCTGAAAACATTCCGATCCATTTCAACATTAGGTCAAATACCCACCGACACAGTGTCAGGTAGTTTTCAACCTTTAAGCCTTCATGTCATTATTGTTGCAACATGGCTTTATTGCATCTTCAAGTGTGCCCAATAAGGTTGCCAAATAAGGTCATATCTGTAGACTAACAAAACACGCCTTGAGAAATTAACCAAGTTGAATTCTGTAAATAGACTGATAGGATCAAAATGGTGGAGCTTAGCTTATCTGTTGGAGAAAGGAATGAAAATACAGGGAAATGGCTCACTACTCAGTAATATGGAACACTATCAGGAGAAAGCATAACCCTGATGTGGGAACATAGGGACAGTGAGGGAGAAATGTAAGAGTCACACAAGATGGACTCATTGTTTAGAGAACAGATGTACAGTACACAATACCAGTAAAAAAGGCAACAAGTCCAGATACCGCAGGCTGCAGTTTTTGACTTATGCTTTTGTTTGCATCTGTCTGAAACAGAGAAAACACAAAGCAAAACAAAAAAAGAAAGGAAAGAAATTGGTATGAATATGTGTCACTCAGAAAGAGTCACCACAACAAAAGAACATCCAATACCCCTGCCTAGGTTTTCCACATGCAAATGGTATGCCTACTAGACTACTTGAGACGGTACAGTGACAACACTTGTCTCTTCTCTGTGCTTCTCATTCATGAGGAAACACATGCCTCTGATAAATGTTCTCCAAGGGGGATTTGAATGACTATTATCTATATCATGTTGATATGTTAGGGTTTTATTTAGTTTGAGTTAACGCCTGTGGTCTAGCTTGTTGACATGCCGTCCACGGGGAACCACAGCACCTAATCCCCAAATGCTATTTGTCGAGTTTATTCTACTGATCTGTGTATATGTATTTATGTATATACACTGAGTGTACAAAACATTAAGGACACCTGCTCTTTCCATGACAGACTGACCAGATTAATCCAGGTGAAAGCTATGATCCCTTATTGATGTCACCTGTTAAATCCACTTCAATCAGTGTAGATGAAGGGTAGGAGACGGGTTAAAGAAGGATTTTTAAGCTTTGAGACAACTGAGACATGGATTGTGTATGTGTGCCATTCAGAGGGTGAATGGGCAAGACACTTTTTTTTTTGTATTATTATATATTTTTTTACCCCTTGTCATGATATCCAATTGGTAGTTAGAGTCTTGTCCCATCGCTGCAACTCCCGTACGGACACGGGAGAGGCGAAGGTCGAGAGCCCTGCCAAGCCGCACTGCTTCTTGACACACTGCCCGCTTAACCCGGAAGCCAGCCGCACCAACGTGTCGGAGGAAACACTGTACATCTGGTGACCGAAGTTAGCGTGCATGCACCTGGCCGCCACAAGGAGTCGCTAGTGCGCGATGGGATAAGGACATCCCAGCCGGCCAAAGCCTCCCCTAACCCGGACGACGCTGGGCCAATTGTGCGCCGCCTCATGGGTCTCCCGGTCACGGCCAGCTGCGACACAGCCCGGGATCGAACCCGGATCTGTAATGACGCCTCTAGCACTGCGATGCAGTGCCTTAGACTGCTGCGCCACTCGGGAGGCCCTTAAGACAAAAATATTTAAGTGCCTTTGAACGGGGTATGGTAGTAGGTGCCAGGCGCACCGGTTTGTGTCAAGAACTGCAACGCTGCTGGGTTTTTCACGCTCAACAGTTTCCTGTGTGTATCAAGAATGGTCCACCACCCAAAGGACATCCAGCCAACTTGACAACTCTGGGAAGCATTGGAGTCAACATGAGCCAGCGTCCCTGTGTTTGTTGACTAATGTTTTGAATACTACTATGCACCACCCTCACACAGGTGTGGCCAACTGTAATTATCACCTAGGCACTTGCATAAAAAAACTATGGTTTGGCACATCTCTTGGTGCTCTGATGAAGGCATAACTGCCGAAAAGCGTTAGCCTGCACAGCCGAAAATAAAAAGGTAAAATGAGGTGATCTCTTTTTTTCTTCTTTTTTTTTTACATTTTGGAGTGCTGCCATTTCCCAATGTTATTGAACTTGGGATTTCATTTGAGAGCACCTAATCCCTTTGTAGAAAGACTTCCAGAACAGACCTGAGAAATCAATATAACTTTTGAATAACTAGCTTATTGAGGCATGGTTGTACATAATCTCTCTTCAGGAGAATGTCCTTAACAAAACCAACCCCTTGAAGTGAAGATCAAATGTCTCATAACTGGATGATATAATAATTGATCCGATATGTGAGGAAGGTTGATTATTTCTTGACTTTTCTACTTACTGTTACAGCTGTATGGCTTGTCCTGGTCATCCATCTCTGTCCTCCTGCGGCCTGAACCCCGACCCTGTTGGGACAAAACCACCATCACCATGGTGACCAATGACACCACAGCTCTAGTCCTACAGAGGCTCCAGTTATTCAGTGACCCATTGGAAGTTGAAAGTAGAAGTATATGACAACAAAGTGTCATGCAAATTAAACAGAAACCTACAGTACAAGCCCATATCATACTAAACTAAAATGTCCAACTGATAAAAGACCACCTTGGAAAGGCAAATAAAGCACACTAAATAGAGTGCATCAATAACCAAAGTAGCAAACACCTTCTCTTTCCATGACAGACTGACCAGGTGAATCCAGGTGAAAGCTATGATCCCTTATTGATTCCCTTGTTAAATCCACTTCAATCAGTGTAGATGAAGGGGAGGAGACAGGTTAAAGAAGGATTTAAGCCTTGAGACAGTTGAGACATGGATTGTGTATGTGTGCCATTCAGAGGGTGAATGGGCAAGACAAAATATTTAAGTGCCTATGAATGGGGTATGGTAGCAGGTGCCAGGCGCACTGGTATGTGTCAAGAACTGCAACGCTGCTGGGTTTTTCACGCTCAACAGTTTCCTGTGTGTATCAAGAACGGTCCACCACCCAAAGGACATCCAGCCAACTTGACACAACTGTGAGAAGCACTGGAGTCCACATGGGGCAGCATCCCTGTGGAAAACGTTCAACACCTTGTAGTCCATGCCCCAACAAATTGAGACTATTCTGTGGGCAAAAGAGGAGGGGGGGTGCAACTCAATATTAGGAAGGTGTTCCTAATGTTTGGTATACTCAGTGTATAATATAATTCTGTCAGTATTAAAATATAAGAGCACTTAAACTACAGTACCAATATGAATACATATTATAATTAATTTTTTCAGATCAGTCTCTAGCACTGAGTGGTATTCAGACAACAGGAAGTGCTCGCAGCACAGGTAATGATGCAAATATAGTACCACAGAATTTCTAAACCCAGAGACCCAACATCACGAGACTTCCAAGAACGCTTGCGAAGCAGACTTGGCAGACCAGACCGGGGTTTGAGGAGACAATGAGTGAAAATGTATCCTTAGTTAACATTTTTCTCTATTTCTAAAATTCACAACCTAGATTCAAGCCAATGTCTTAAGTAGCTGAACATGTTATTACTCCAACCTCGTGAAAGTGACAAACTGACACGTTTTCATTTTCGTCAAAACTTTATATCGAAAGAGTGCCTTTGATTTGATGGCATGCACATGCGCAGTTTGGCGCAAAACCACCATTAGATTATGTGTTTCTAGCCAATGGGATTTCTAATGGAAAAGCAGATTCTACATATCTTCATACTAAACCATCTTTGATAGTACCAGTGGACTGAATCCATGAATGAGTTATGAACTAGGGCAGTCATATGCATTAGCAGCAGTTTACTACAGAACAGTATGTCTCTGTGGATCACTTACTCTGCCTTTTCCTCTGTGTCTTTTTTTGGGCGTGTCCACTTCATAGTCCTCATCGTCATGGTATGCACCTTCAGCTGCGTCAGCCTCCAACACCCTCTGTGGTGGGAGAAAAGTGAATAGAGAGATCAATCTCGTCTGGAGGTCAAAGACACTGCCTGACTCTCAGTCTGAGGAACTACAAAATTAGGTAATAAAACATGTTCAGAAAAGATGGTTGTAATAAACTCTGATAAGGCCATAAACCTCTGACACTAGCTATTTGCATATTTAAAGTGCATTATAACAGTGTGCCCTTATATACTGTTCCAGGCAGTTATGTTATTAGGCTCAGACTGGTTATAGTCATGGCAGAGGTCAGGTAAGCTGATCCTAGATCAGAGTACTCCCTCTCCCTTTAAGCCATTGGGATAAAACTTAATTAGGATCCACCTGGATTTCTAGGAGACTCTCCTCATCCTTAGAGTTGTTCCTCTGGTCTAGGCCCTCCCCTCTGAGAAGAGCCTCCAGCGTGGTGCCCTGTGTGGGAAGCGTATCCTTGCCTGTGAGTCCTCCATCTGGATACAGAGGAACAAACACACACAAATAAATCAAACAAACCATAAAACAAACCCGGGAGCCGCCTGTCACATCATTCAAAGTTGATATGTATACCAGTAACTCTAAAGACACTGACAGGCAGTCTTTCCCAGGAAGATACGAATGGCTTGCTTTTACAAAGCATCACTATACATGCCAAATCCCTTCATTGGGCTCCCGAGTGGCGCAGCGGTCTAAGGCACTGCATCTCAGTGCTTGAGGCATCACTACAGACCCCCTGGTTCGATTCCAGGCTGTATCACAACCGGCCGTGACTCAAGCTTTATATCATACCTTCACAGACCCTCATCTCCCCAAGTAAAATCACCTAGCAGTCTCGCTCCCTGAGCTGAATGCTAACATGCAGCAGTTGATAAGAGGTGAGGATCTGAGTAGTAAGAGGTGGAGATAGTGTTGCACGGTACACCGAAACTTTGGTAATACTTTGGCACTAGAACATGAAAAACGGTTTGGTACTATAATTTTTTTAAAACTTTTTTGTTACTTCTGTCAAATGTGTCTCACGTCATATACGGATTAAGAGGATCGAGTGTCTAGTAATTTGTCTGAATCTTCTCAAGGGGGCACTAGCTAGCCAGGATACTTGCGCTTGCGCATGCAATCGACAGAGCGTGAGCCACTTTGAGAAGCAAGCGAGAGGAGAGAGACAGCATGGCTTCTTCTAATGAAAACATCATACCTCCATGCCCACAGCTTGTTGACAAAACTGTCTGCAGAAGTGAACTATGGGAATACTTTGATTACAGAGCAGATGAGGACCATCCCGCCAAAACAACTAAGCAAAACACAGACAGAAGGGGTAACCCAGACACGTCACAAGGGATATAAAGCTGAAGCATTCGTTTAGAACGGTTTCTCACCACCAAATATGGTAGTGAGAGGAAGTCCAGTCGCGGGTGTAGTGGGAGAGGATGGAACTAGGTTAAACTGGTCCGACATTCCACACATTTTCTCATTGATGAAACATCTGATCTTAATAAATGTTTCTGTTCTCAAAACTAGAATCTGTTACGAACACCGTGCACTACATTTTAGAGACTTGACGCTTTGCCAGAGTTGTAAAAAATTGTGTTGTTTAGGAGTGCAAGGTTGAATTGAGTTTGTCCACAAGTGCACTTCACAGAGGAGCCGTTTCCTAACAGAAATACGCAAATACATTCTACAACGCGCCAATAGGATCTCACTAGCTCGTGCTTGGCTTTGCCTACCTCCTTGCTTGTTCTGCCCACTATGCTTCATTTGCTCCCACTGTAAACGATACAGATTAACTATCTTGGGTTAGTTATTAATATCTTTGAGCAAAAGGAGTTACAAAGCAGTGCAGTACAAGGGAGGTTTAGTTCCAAAACGACATAAAAACTATTTTAACCATGACATTTGCATTGTAACGTTGTCGTTATTCTACGAGCAACTACATTTGAATTATTTGAGTGACAATGGCATGAACATCTATTCAGCATGACATTCATCTGAGCATTATAATATGATTACAACCCAAAAGTAATGTGAAATGCACTTGACAGCAATATATTTTAGACTACTTCGCGTATGTCTGGGCTTGCTAGCAGTAGCCAGCCAGCAGCCCTGGGCAGATAATTGCACCCTGGGAAGTGAAATGCACTATGGGAATCATAGTATGCTGTATAAAATCCATTGTCTTTCTATGGTGCGTAGACTATGGCAATATAGAAGCTTCAGAAATTCGATTCAAAGTGTTTATGTAGGTTTGGAACTAAATCATTTAATAAATTACAATATTTAGCTGTAATGAATAATATGTCTATGGAATGTCATTTGACCCAATATTATGGCCATAGATGAGCAAATTAACCCTGACATGTATCAAATTACATTTAAAACAGTTTAGATGTCATTGTAAAATTATTTTGTTTGCTTTAAGTAGTGCTGAGAGATTAATCTAAATTTCAGATATTTTCTAACTAATTGACGGATATTGGTTCAATAATTTGAATTCCATTTCATTTTTTTTTTCTTTCTGTGAGCTCAATCCACACATGGCACAGTTCCTATAGAGATAAAATCAGATCGAGCCTGAACTGTGCGATATTGTAGGGAGTTGTAGTTTCTAACAGGCCAATATTCGACATAGTTTAGCGCATAAAACTTGGTAATTAGCTACAATGACCATAATCTATTGCACATCTACTTGTCCGGTCAGTTTCTTTCTGCTACTGAAGAGAGAAGAATGCACGATGGTGAGCTGTTGCTTCGCGAGGCATCTCTACCTGAAAAAACATGATCTAAGTGATTGATAGTTCAGCAGTCATAAAAGTATGCCTTGTTTACTTTGAAGAACTACTAAAATAGTGATTTTGTCAGACAGCAGCTCTGTAGAGATGAGATGACTTGGATTGAAATAATAAAAGTCATAAAAAAAATTTTTAAATGTTCTTTTATTTGTTCTACCAGTTATCAACATATTGTTCAATGTTTTAAAAAATAAAGCCCAGTGGTTATTCTATGACTAGCGAACTACCATATGCTAGCTACTCTGAGGGCTCTTCCACACCGAAGCCCCTCACCAATGTGTCTGCACACGTTGACTTTCAACTCTCCACGACTAGACAGCCTTTCCCCCCTTGGAGCTGCAGGCTAAAAATAGAGCAGGCAGCCTGTAGCAGGGAGCTGATTCTGCATGCAGCCCGAGTCTCCCTCGACCACCGCCAGTCAGACAGCCAGCAACTTACTCCGGATTGCTGCAGCGTTAACTACCTCTGCCCAGCTACAGGAGAAGGCCCTCTCTCAGTTTGAGAGTCTGGAGACACTAGGCAAAGGCAGCTAGTGCTCCTCTACTGGACACAGATCACATACACTGGTCTGTTGCAGTGTTACTGTTAGTGACAGGCAGAGCTTAGTGAATCTCTCTCTCTCTCTCTCTCTCTCTCTCTCTCTCTCTCTCTCTCTCTCGTGTGAGAAAGTGTGGGCTAGAGTGACTAACAGCGTTTTCACACAGTTCTGAGCTATAGTATGAATCAGTGTTCAATCATTTGTTAATTGTTACATTGTACTTCTCTCATTTGGTCAAACAAACTAAAATGCCTAAACAAAAACACGTGTTCATGCAAGTCATTAAAAAAAAAATCCATCTATGATTATCAAGAAGCATAACTTGTGTGTCTCAAACGTCATATTACTTTCGCTTTGGTCTTCCATAAACATGCGGGAGAAAACAGCGCAATATCCGCTCTAACTACAGCGTGAATAGGCTATTCAGTAGTCTACACTATATATACACACAAAAGTATGTGGACAACCCTTCAAATTAGTGGATTCGGCTATTTCAGCCACACCTGTTGCTGACAGGTGTATAAAATCGAGCACACAGCCATGCAATCTCCATAGACAAACATTGGCAGTAGAATGGCCTTATTGAAGAGCTCAGTGACTTTCAATGTGGCACCATCATAGGATGCCACCTTTCCAACAAGTCAGTTCGTCAAATTTCTGCCCTGCTAGAGCTGCCCCAGTCAACTGTAAGTGCTGTTATTGTGAAGTGGAACACATCTAGGAGCAACGACTGCTCAGCCACGAAGTGGTAGGCCACACAAGCTCAAAGAACGGGACCGCCGAGTGCTGAAGCGCGTAAAAATCGTCTGTCCTCGGTCGTAACACTCACTACCGAGTTCCAAACTGCTTCTGGAAGCAACATCAGCACAATAACTGTTCGTCAGGAGCTTCACAAAATGGGTTTCCATGGCTGAGCAGCCGCACACAAGCCTTACATCACCATGCGCAATGCTGGAGTGGTGTAAAGCTCGCCGGCATTGGACTCTGAAGCAGTGGAAACTGGAGTGATGAATCACGCTTCACCATCTGGCAGTCCGACGGACAAATCTGGGTTTGGTGGATGCCCGGAGAACGCTACCTGCCCCAATGCATAGTGCCAACTGTAATGTTTGGTGGAGGAGGAATAATGGTCTGGGGCTGTTTTTCATAGTTCGGACCAAGGCCCCTTAGTTCCAGTGAAAGGAAATCTTAACACTACAGCATACAATGACATTCTAGACGATTCTGTGCTTACATTACATTTACATTTTAGTCATTTAGCAGACGCTCTTATCCAGAGCGACTTACAGTTAGTGCATACATAATTTTTTTTATGTTTTTCATACTGGCCCCCCGTGGGAATCGAACCCACAACCCTGGCGTTGCAAACACCATGCTCTACTGAGCTACATCCCTGCCGGCCATTCCCTCCCCTACCCTGGACGACGCTGGGCCAATTGTGCGCCGCCCCATGGGTCTCCCGGTCGCGGCCGGCTACGACAGTGCCTGGATTCGAACCAGGATCTCTAGTGGCACAGCTAGCACTGCGATGCAGTGCCTTAGACCACTGCGCCACTCGGGAGTCCACAACTTTGTGGCAACAGTTTGGGAAGGCCATTTCCTGTTTCAGCATGACAATGCCCCGGTGCACAAAGCGAGGTCCATACATTTTATTTATTTATTTCCTTTTTTTTTCTCTTTTTTTTTTGTATTATTATTTTAAATTGTTTTACATTTAGCAGATGCTCTTATCCAGAGCGACTTACAGTTTAGTGAGTGCATACATTTTCATACTGGCCCCCCGTGGGAATTCGAACCCACAACCCTGGCGTTGCAAACACCATGCTCTACCAACTGAGCTACACGGGGCCATACAGACATGGTTTGTCGAGATTGGAGGGGAAGAACTTGACTGGCCTGCACAAAGCCCTGGCCTCAACCCAATCGAACACCTTTGGGATGAATTGGAACGCAGACTGCGAGCCAGGCCTAATCGCCCAACATCAGTGCCCGACCGCACTAATGCTCGTGGCTGAATGGAAGCAGGTGCCCGCAGCAATGTTCCAACATCTAGTGGAAAGCCTTTCCAGAAGAGTGGAGGCTGTTATTGCAGCAAAGGGGGGACCAACTCCATATTAATGCCCATCTTATTGGAATGAGATGTTCGACAAGCAGGTGTCCATATACTTTTGGTCATGTATGTGTATATCCCCGGTATAGCCTCGTCTCCTCTAATCTGCATCGGATGCGCTCAAATGTTTCAGAGATATCAGTTTTGGGAGGCTACTGTGTGCATTTCATCAAAACACTCGCAGTCAAACCACCAATAATACTGTGCACCTCTGGTTCTTTTCCTGTGTTTGGTTCGGACTGCGTTCTCACCTGCAGCGAACCGCACCATGGTACGAATGGAATCGGACCGAGACCACCCTTTTTGAGAGAACCACGGTGCGTTGTTTGGTGCGCTCCCGAGTGCGTATAGTGTTCACACCAGTCCAAACGAACCGAACTAAGGGGTAAAACACACCAGAGTTCGTAAAAACCGCTCCAAACCAATTTGGTGTGACAGCCGCGTTAATGTGTGGGAGTGGGAGTGAAGGAGTGAACGGCTAAAAATAAATGGAAGTGGGTGATAGATAGAGTGAGCGAGTAAATGGTCAGGAACTTATCTGAGGAGCAGCGACATTTCATAACATTTATGAAATGCCCTGTGTTGTGATTCCTGTCCCACTCCTTTTGTTACATATTCTAGTTGTCACAAAACAAGTTTACTGGATTACTGAGAGGAGGACATTACATTTTATAAAAAGTGACTAGCAGGCTGTTTGCTTTCCACACTGAAATGGAATAATGTGCTTTCAGTTAGATGATCCCAGATCGTAAGTAATAAGACAAAAGAGTGGGTGATGAGACGTAGCAGAGACACTGGAGTGGAGGGGGGGAGGTGTACATCTGCAGGTCAGATGTACACTGGTATATCTATTACCTAGCTGTAGGCCACAGAGGCGCAGCCGAGGGTCCATGGAAGTGTGTAGCCGTCTCTTCTTCCTCCAGCAGCGGGCGGGGTATGTGTACATCTGACCTGCAGCCACCCCTATTATAATAATAATAATAATAATAATAATAATACATTAAACTTGTATTACGCTTTTCATTACAATCTAAAAGCGCTATAGACAGACACACAGAGACAGGAACAGGGACTAAAGAATACACCCCTCACATCTCACTGCCCCCCACCCTCATACATAATGTGTTGCTTACTGACCCTAAATATCCTTACACAATTGTATACAGTGCATTGGGAAAATATTCAGATGCCTTCCCTTTTAACACATTTGGTTACGTTACAGCCTTATTCTAAAATTGATTAAAGAACATTTCCACAACAATCTACACACAATACCTCATAATAACATAAGTGAAAACAGGTTTTTAGAAATCTTTGCAAATTTATAAAATAAAATAAACAGAAATACCTTATTTACATAAGTATTCAGACCCTTTGCTATGAGACACGAAATTGAGCTCTGGTGCATCCTGTTTCCATTGATCATCCTTGAGATGTTTCTATAACTTGATTGGAGTCCACCTGTGGTAAATTCAATTGATTGGGCATGATTTGGAAAGGCACACACCGGTCTATATAAGGTCCCACAGTTGACAGTGCATGTCAGAGCAAGAACCAAGCCATGAGGTCGAAGGAATTGCCCGTAGAGCTCCGAGACAGGATTGTGTCGAGGCACAGATCTGGGGACATTTCTGCAGCATTGAAGGTCCCCAAGAACACAGTGGCCTCCATCATTCTTAAATGGAAGAAATTTGGAACAACCAAGACTCTTCCTAGAGCATGCCGCACAGCCAAACTGAGCAATCGGGGGAGAAGGGCCTTGGTTAGAGAGGTGACCAAGAACCCGATGGTCACTCTGACAGAGCTCCAGACTTCCTCTGTGGAGATGGGAGAACCTTCCAGAAGGACAACCATCTCTGCAGCACCACCAATCAGGCCTTTATGGTAGAGTGGCCAGACAGAAGCCACTCCTCAGTAAAAGGCACATGGCAGCCCGCTTGGAGTTTGCCAAAAGGCATCTAAAGGACTCTCGGACATTGAGAAACAAGATTCTTTGGTCTGATGAAACCAAGATTGAACTCTTTGGCCTGAATGCCAAGCGTCACGTCTGGAGGACACCTGGCACCATCCCTACGGTGAAGCATGGTGGTGGCAGCATCATGCTGTGGGGATGTTTTTCAGCGGCAGGGACTGGGAGACTAGTCAGGATCGAGGGAAAGATGAACGGAGCAAAGTACAGAGAGATCCTTGATGAAAACCTGCTCCAGAGTGCTCAGGACATCAGACTGGGGCGAAGGTTCACCTTCTAACAGGACAACGACCCTAAGCTCACAGCCAAGACAACACAGGAGTGGCTTCGGGACTAGTCTCTGAATGTCCTTGATTGGCCCAGCCAGAGCCCGGACTTGAACCCGATCTAACATCTCTGGAGAGACCTGAAAATAGCTGTGCAGCGACGCTCCCCATCAAACCTGACAGAGCTTGAGAGGATCTGCAGAGAAGAATGGGAGAAACTCCCCAAATACAAGTGTGCCAAGCTTGTAGCGCCATACCCAAGAAGACTCAAGGCTGTAATCGCTGCCAAAGGTGCTTCAACTGAGTAAAGGGTCTGAATACTTATGTAAATGTCATGTCGGTTTTTAATTTTTTATAAAATTAGCAAAGATTTCTAAAAACCTGTTTTTGCTTTGTCAGTATGGGTTATTGTGTGTAGATTGATGAAGGAAAAAGTAATTTAATCCATTTCAGAATAAGGCTGTAACGTAACACAATGTGGAAAAGTAAAGGGGTCTGATTACTTTCCAAATGCACTGTATTTGAAGGGTTCTCCCTTGAGGTAACATGAACACTATTGGATATCATTATATAGACATGTTTGTAGCTGTAGTGGCCAGAGGGACATATTTAGACAGATGACATTATCCACTAAACCTCAACAACTGAATGATAGTTTTAAGGCAATTCCACGCTAACATAATGATGCTGAGACTCAGATTTTTTACTTTAAAAAATGTATGTCAAACAAAAACCAATGATTGCAAAGTTAAACAAACCACACAACTGTAGTATGCACAAGGACTACCGTATTTTCCGCACTATAAGGCGCACCGGAGTATAAGCCGCAGCAGCTAAATTGAATGATGTGTACATATATAAGCCGCACTGGACTATAAGCCGCAGGTGTTTTAATGTTTAATACCTAGGAGGTCTTCTAGTGGCCGTTAGCTGTAAAAATCCATAGATTAGCCGCACCGTTATATAAGCCGCAGGGTCGAAAAATGGGAAAAAGGCGCGGCTTATAGTCCAAAAATTACGGTACTTTAAACAATTTCAACTGAACATTTAACAAAAGCACATTTACTTCAATAACAGAATGACAGCACAAACCGCAATCATTGTTTTTATTTGACATACATTTCAAAGTGAAAAATCGGAGTCTCAGCATCACTGTTGGCGTGGAATTGCCCTTTAGTAAACCACAGAGCCAGCCATCATATCCCCCAACAGACAGAGTAGTGCTTCTCTACCCACCAGGGCTGCGGTGGTGGCGCTCCATCCAGATGTAGCAGTTGTTCTGTGCCACGCCGGTCTGGGAGTCCAGGAAGGGCAGGCGCACGCTGCGCTCAGCACACAGGCGGGCATTGTAGCTGCGGCACTGCTCAATGGCATCCTTGTAGAACTGGTCACCCAACCTGCAGCAGGGAGACCATTCAGACAGAGGTCAACACCACACGTGGTTGGCACGGACATGCATTTGGTTACGTGGCTGGTAAAGACACTGAAATAGGCCCAATGGCCAGATTAGTGGCTAACCAGACAATTCATTTAAGCCATGACTCACTGACCACCATAGACCACTGGAAACATCACTACAGACCGTATATCTTCAGGGGGAAGAGAAGTTTCCATGCGACTGTCATATACATTAAGCCATGTAGATCACGTAGACCTAAACCCAGCCCCAAACAAACTATAAGATGAGGGAGGAATGACGTGTATAATGGTTTTCCTGATCTGACAGATTATAAACCATGTAAACATTACTGGGTTGGTATCGGCGACATTCTGGAAGCATATTTTCACCTCTTCACCTTCTGTACTGCTCTGTCGGCATACAATCAGGGATGGAGGGTCATGGGTCGTTCCCTAGCGACCAGCAGAAATGTAAATGATGATTACAGTCTTTAAAATCATGTTTATCACCAGGGTCAATCAAATAATCAAACAACCAGTATTCCCAGGTTCTTCCCCCACTGATTGGAGTGGATCTACCATGGAGAACCAACGTGACTAAGACTGTAAAAACACCAGAAAAATCAGCTCCAAGTGAGGTTAGAAATTATTATGTTTTAGTTAAATAGTATATCCGTTTGGGCTTCTTGTGGTCAATTCGCAGTCTACAAATTATTTGTAATTATGTTCCGACCCCCTGACCATCCGCTCAATAGAAAAAAAATTAAAAGAGTTGGCCCGCCACTGAATCTAGTTGATGATCCCTGGCCTAGCCGATCATCATCTGGAAGAACAATCTGGCCTTAACAGCCATGTACTCTTTTAACCTCCACCCAGCACAGCCAGATGAAGACTGGCCACCCCTCAGAGCCTGGTTCCTCTCTAGGTTTCTTCTTAGGCCCTTGCCTTTCTAGGGAGTTTTTCCTAGCCACCGTGCTTCTACATCTGCATTGCTTGCTGTTTGGGGTTTTAGGCTGGGTTTCTGTATAAGCACGTTGTGACATGTGCTGATGTAAAAAGGGCTTTATAAATACGTTTGATTTGATCATGACCTCTGGGTCGCTGGGACATGACTGATTCTACACAGTAGTGAGCATTGGTTTCTATTTAGGGTGATGAATCAATGGGGAGGATGATGGGCATAGGCTAGGGCATCACAATATGGAATGTGTTCAAAGAGTCTCATGACTAACGTATAAAGATATACAGACACTACTACTACTAACATTATCTCAATGATCCTATAGTTTGTGGAGCTTTTTCCAATGCCAGTGATAGTTTGGCAGCCCCTTAGGGTATAAAAGTTAATATTCGCCGTGAAAGGAGGAGGAGATTTCACATTCAAACCTTCAGTCCCTGCCACACGGCTCATATGCTAATTAGTCTGCTTAATTAATCTCAGCAGAGCCGCTAGCACACAGACAGGTTTTAATTTGACAACAACAAAGATGAGGATAAATGCTGAATCTAACACAAAAGGCAGCAAAGTATGCCTGTGTAAAGTTCTACCTAGCTGGGCCTGCCACTGGTATAGCCTACCCATAAGAAAGCAGCCACAGACAGCCTCTTGAACATGGCAACACATATAGCAGTAATTCATTTTCACCACACGTTCTCAATTAGAAAATGCACAAGCAGCCATTTTGAAAAGACACACTTAATGAGGCGCTGTAGTCGCAGCTCTCCCAGTCTCAATTAGAGATACGGATGTCTGTGAGAAGAGAGGAGGCATTGGCACGCTTGGGCCAAGCAAAGAAGCCCAAATCCACTTTCTACCTCTCCTCCTTGTCCTACGAACATATCCTCTCTTTCTGCCCAACTCTCTGATTAGACAACTTCCAACAGATAAACAGACATGCTTGGAATGTTGTCCCTCACATAGACGAAGGCGCTGCGGTGAGAGACAAAGCCACAGTGTTTGAGGATTCTTTGGAATGAGGCTGCATGTCAGTGTGGATGTGAAGAGTAAACAGTCCCAGGTACACAAGGCAAGGATAGGAAAAATAGAGAGAAAGAGGGACGAGAAAGAAGAGAGAGCGAGACGGAGTGCGTGAAGATCAGAGACAGAGAGGTTAAAGACAAATCATCAGATAGGATGGCACGATAACTAACAGGCTGCATTGTTTTCCTTCCTCGTGTTATAAACGAACAAAGCAAGTGAGTAGTAGGCTAGATAGTAATGCCAATGTTATTATTTGCCTTGTGGAAATTTCATAGAGCAATGAGCACACACATGGGCATTTCAAAGGTTATAAAACTAGCCTCTGAGCAGCACAGGAATTTGTCCAGGAACAAATCACAGACTGGGGTTATGCACAGGCAGAGTGGCCAACTGGTAAGGGCTCGCTTTAAGGTTTAATATAAAATAGTCTATCTGAAAAGGAGATTGCGCAGTGAGTGACAGAGTTTATTGAACTTTAAATACACCTCAAGACTAGACTACGAATGATAATGATGACTATTATGCCTGTCCAAACTAAAACCAGAAATTACTAACATGTCATAGCACCTCAATCATGTTTCAAGATTGTACGCCATACAACAGTTACATGCGTTGTACCTGTTAACAATTCAGTCATTAGGCTACCAACCTACTTAAAGAACACAGGCCCTAAATGGGCTTAAACTACACCACACATACAGTAGCCATTATCATGTAATGTGAATCTGAATGCTGTACCTAGATCACTTCAGTCAAGCTTCAGTGTCTGACCAAAAACATCCAGGAGGATAGAAAACAAACAAGCCGCGAAAGTCATGTTGAAAGCTCTCTCTGTTTTGAGGTGTCAACTGTCTCAGAGGCTGCTGTATGTCATTCATCCTACTTGTGCATTGCCCTGAGCAGCAGGTGCGGTGGCCTAGGTGAGAGACATCTCCAACACTCATTATGAGTGACAAGCCTCAGCGTCTGAGAGCACAGAAGGTGAGAGAGGCCCTGCTCACACTCACTCATGTCTCTGCTCTCTCTACGTTTTTCCCCACTGTCTGTTATTTACCGCCTTTGTGTGACATTGAAGTGGTTGGAAGGTTGTTCCAACGGTAAAAATAAATACCAGAGCTAACCAGACACATACACTGTGTGCGACTTAGCTACAGTAAGGGTAGGCCTAGCTCAAAAACGATCTTACAGATGGGAGTGAGGGGGAAAATAAAATAAAATCTTGTGGCTGCTGGGGCCTCCTCTAGCAGTGTGCTCCTTTCAACGGTTTGGGCGTCGCATGTCTGTGCCCAGCCCTTAGTTTGAGCATTACATGAACACACATTTTGCATAATAGAGAACGATAACTCAGTTTCCATGAGGCCAGGCAAGCCAAATGATCTGCAGTAGCCTAATTTGGAACATTAATTCCATTGCTTTTTACACTACATTTGAGGAACCCCAAGAGTTTTATACAGAATGAAAATATAAAACACAACATGTAAAGTGTTGGTCCCATGTTTCATGAGCTGAAATAAAAGATCCCAGAAATGTTCCATACACAGAAAAAGCTTATTTCTCTCAACCTTTGTGCACACATTTGTTCACATCCCTGTTAGTAAGCATTTCTCCTTTGCCAAGATAATCCATGATCATTACACAGATGCACCTTGTGCAATTACATTTACATTTACATTTTAGTCATTTAGCAGACGCTCTTATCCAGAGCGACTTACAGTTAGTGAATACATATATATATATATTTTTTTTATACTGGCCCCCCGTGGGAATCGAACCCACAACCCTGGCGTTGCAAACACCATGCTCTATCAACTGAGCTACATCCCTGCCGGCCATTCCCTCCCCTACCCTGGACGACGCTGGGCCAATTGTGCGCCGCCCATGAGTCTCCCGGTCGCGGCCGGCTGCGACAGAGCCTGGATTCGAACCAGGATCTCTAGTTGCACAGATAGCACTGCGATGCGGCGCCTTAGACCACTGCGCCACTCAGGAGTAAAATAAAAGGCTACTCTAAAATGTGCAGTTTTACCACACAACACAATGCCTCAGATGTCTCAAGTTTTGAGGGAGCATGGAATTGGCATGCTGACTGCAGGAATGTCCACCAGAGCTGTTGCCAGAGAATTGAATGTTAATTTCTCTACCATAATGTCGTTTTAGAGAATTTGGCAGTATGTCCAATCGGCCTCACAACCGCAGACCACGTGTAACCACGCCAGCCCAGGACATCCACATCCGGCTTCTTCACCTGCGGGATTGTCTGAGACCAGCCACCCGGACAGCTGATGAAACTGAGGAGTATTTCTGTCAGTAATAAAGCCCTTTTGTGGGGGAAAACCCATTCTGATTGGCTGGGCCTGGCTCCCCAGTGGGTGGCCTATGCCCTACCAGGCCCACCTATAGCTGTGCCCCTGCCCAGTCATGTGAAATCCATAGATTAGGGCCTAATGAATTTATTTCAGTTTATGAATTTCCTTATATGAACTGTAACTCAGTAAAATCGTTGAAATTGTTGCGTTTATATTTTTGTTCAGTATAGTTTAGGGCCTATGAGGGCTGGAGTTACAGTTAGAAACAATGTTGTCGCCTAGACCTTGATACTCTGTTATAGCCCTACATTCTCCAACAGGCTGAAAATGGGCATACAATACACATTTTTCAGAATAAACATTTTCTCCACCAACTGCTGCCTTTTGTGATCCGTTTAGGTTTTGCAGGTACATCTCAGCTTTACAGGAAGTCAGAGCTGCAAGCATAGCAAGAGGGGAGGGTCTAGAGAGAGACTGCATCCTGACAACAGGCCCCTGATTACAACCATTAGCCAACAGAGCCAGGGTGAGGGCTAGAGGAAAACCTGACGATAGGCCTACATCTCACTGCAGTACCAACACACACAGCATGACTCACTCAAAGCCAACCGCAGAGTAATGGCATAGTGTCATACAAGATTTCCTATCGAACACGTCGACCCTGTAGCTAAGATAGCCAGTTCACCGAGTCATCTTTAAAGATAACACACATGGCCTGTGCACACACAGGCTCCATTTTATCAGTAGCTTGTAGAGGCCCTTCTCCCTCTCCTCATCTCTTCTTCTCACCCTCTACCTCCCTCTCATGCATACAGGAATTAACACACACACACACACACACACACACACAGTGTGGGAGGAGCAACACTTAAGCTACACCCACCACATCCTTCTCTATAACAAAGCCAGCAAGACTCCCTAATTAAATTAGCCTCATCTCAAATGAGAATACTCTTGATACCAAAAAAATTCTAACTGGTCCACAAGCGCAACATCCAATTAGTGTCAAGTGTGACTAATTATAATCGGAAAAACGACGTGTGGCTAATTATAGCAGATTGAAACACTTCATTAAGCATAGCTTATAGCGAGGAGACATTCCACATTTGAATGTTAAAATCTCTCTACGAGATTAAGAAGCAGCAGCTTCAGGCACAATAGAATGAGTAGATTGATCTTGTTGGATGCAAGGATAAAGTGGTTTGGAGGAAATTAGCACAAAAATGGCACATGCTCAAAGTAGGCTACATTGTACCAACTGGGAACCACAGCCATGAAATGATGAAACAAGACTATCCTTTATGCTTGTCAGTGGTAGAGCTCTTCCCTCTCAGTTATGCAGTCATGAACATATAATAACAATGGCATCCATACGTAAATATCGGGTGTAGGCCAAGAGCACACTCCCTTGATCCTGTAGGCCCCATGGGGGTGCCAGGGTACTTCTGAGGAGCAGATGGGTCTTCTGCCCAGCAGCGTAGGCACAGGTGGGCCTGGGCCCACCCATTCAGATTGAGCAGATATGCTCTCTATTTGTTCCAAACAGGACATTAGTATTTTTACCTAAACATGCAAACAACCTCAGAATTCAGAGCAAGCAGCGCACTGGAATGACATTCATATTAACTGGAATGACATTCACTCTCATAGGATGGTTGGCCAAAAATAACTAACTGAAAGCCACACCCCAAATAAGCCACAAATATGACCGCATTGAGGGATGTCACTGTATTTCTATGGCTATATGCACCATGCCTACTTTATTTGTACCTTTAGCAAACAAGACAGCTCATAATCCAGTGCATTTATCACAGTCAACACACCTATAGTTTAGCTTTAATTAGCTTTAAAAATGCAAAATTCTCTCAGCCTCATGGCAAAATATGTAGAATTGCAGGAAATTTGCTTTAAAAACAGCTAAATTTTATCTTTGCCCCATAGCAAAATGTGTAGAATTGCAGGAATTTAGCCCCCCCCAGAAATAAAATACAATTTGCCCACACACATTGACCGATGGGCCCAGGATCCTGGACCAGGCTAATCTGCACCACTCCTCCGTTTAAAAAAGAATGTCTCGTTCTTCGCCTCCAGACAGTCTCACCATCTGTACTGCACAGTCCAAAAGGTCTGGTTATACCTCAACTGTCCTGCTGCACTACAACAACAGTCTGTCTGTGCCCAAACATGGACAGCAACAAAGAAATGGCCTACCAATAGGCCATGTCTTTCTCTGAGAAAATTTACATGCAAGAGGTGGAAATACCACTCAATACATACAAATTTACCTTGAAACTTCTAAATTGACAATTGTTTTTTCTCAACTTATATAGGCTAATAGATATTTGACAATACAAATGTAAATACAAAACATATATGGAGTCATGGACAAATACTGTAGAGACTCAAAGTGGTGCACACAGAGCATAGGATAAAACTGAAATTATGGCACAGGCTTTACAAAATACATAGGCCTACTATCTCCAACTAAAATTCCGGGGCTCACGTTGCTGTCACTTAGCTTTCGGAAGGAAAGGCACGCAAATGTAAAATGCCCCCTCCCTTGCTCTACCGGGTCCTGGTCCTGACCACATCTGCGCTCAGCGCCAAAGTTGATATGTCGACAATTCACACCAACTATAAACGACTCTCAGAATCGGAATGTCTATGTTATTACGTAAATATCCAACATTAATGAAATATTGTATTTTACTCGTCCTCGTCACAGCACAATGCATGTTGAAACACTTTTGTGCTTAATTTTGAAGTAGGATTAAAAGTGTCGGTCAAAGCGTCTCTGGATGGGAGTCAATAAATTTGCATGTTTAGGCTATAGGCCTAATGTGTAATTCATATATAATTCGCAAATCATAGCCTATATTATAGCTAGAATACTGTAAATCATAAGCAGAAATGTCTAATAAAAAACTAAGTAGGTAGCTACTTTGGTGAAAGCAGTGGCACATTATGCAAGTAGACATACACAAAATGCTAAGACAGCATTCTTTCTAATTTGCACGCGTCTTGTACTTGCTTGAAAGGACGGATCCTTGTAATTCAAGTATTGGCAATAAAGTAACAAATTAGAATTTCATCAATTTGTCAAAATTACTTACGCTTTTAGTGGGTTCTGAATGACAGCCGCCATTTTGCTACACTGTAACGCAATATCAGCGTCTTGCAGTTCTGAGGGAAACCTACGAAAAAGCAGCCAATCAGGGCTCTGGGTGAAATCGTTGGCCAATGCATCCACAGTATACGTAAATAAGGCGTGGCCTATGTGGTAAACTCAATGGGTAAACTGTCAAAACGATTTTAAAGGGTTCTCCCTGACTTTATATTGTAGAAAACAGAATACCGACCATATATCTATGATACCGACTTCTTAAAGAGATAGTTTCTGACAACTTTAGCTTTCTTCCCACCAATGCAATACAACTAAGGTTTCCAGGGTTCGATGGACACATCTTATTAGAAATGTGAAATAGAACCTCAGACTAAATAGCCATAGCCGCCCTCCCCGACCAAATAATCATAAACAGCCATGAGCTGATATGACTTTAATAATACGTAGTCAGTTATTCCACCACTTATGGACATTGTAAATATGCAGACATCCACACTTTCTCACGATCTTATGTTCAATATCAGCATAACATAGTGTTTCATACCTCTTTCTTGTCTGTGCATTTGATACGAGAATTCAGTCTATCCTCATTTCGGTCACAAAGGTGTGTCTCTCTCAAGCAATGGGTTTTGAAAACAAAGGACTAGATGGATACATAGCTGACATTCCTGGCTATTCCTCTGTGCAATACTAGCAACACAGACATTACATAGTTTCATACAATGACATCATTCAATCAGATAAACATTTTGACAGCAGACAAGGCCGATTTCATCGTAAGTTCTATACATCACTATCTAGGGTTACAGCTTAGACAAAACGGCAAAAATAAAATTAAAATAACAAAAATGACAATTATCTCTTAAATGCTTACAGGAAAACAAATTTTTTCTATATTATTTTTAACAAACACCAATGTAAAGGCAATATAATTTCAATGTGCTTGGTTGGCATGTATCCAGGTAATACTGTTCCCTGGGTTTTTACATTTCAGCCACTTATTCATCTAACCATCAAAGATGTGAAATGGTTCAGGTAAAAATGCCAGCTGACTGTGCATAGCCAAGTGTTGTACGAATGAATGAATGAATGAAGGACAACAGATTCCAGTCAAGAAAGCAAGTGAACTCAAATAGACCAATAACAGTTATTCAGAAATAAAACCACATTAAACAAACTTAACGATGTACTGTCTACATACAGCATTTAATCTCTCAATTATTAAAAAGCACAAAATAATATGAAAGAATCAGCATGCAATCTATTTGACACTGCAGTCTTTCACATGGATGACAAACAATGCCACAGAAGCAGAGGGCTGAAAACAAAACAAAATGTGCTGAAACTCAAATGCTGAGTTCATTGTGCCATCAGCCTATGCTTATGGTGATCAAACAAGATTCAAACAAATGGAAGTAACTGACACTCCATTCAAATTCTAGGTGCATAATGCACGTCATGTGTATACACTCAAGTAACAGAAATGGTCAGATACGTTAAAATATAACAATGAGGTTAGGTATTGACTTATTCAGAGATCACAGGACCCTCTGAACATCTCAAAGGCAATGTATCGTTCAGACTCCCAAGCTTTCTAAAATCCTGAATTCACATTCTTCTAGCATAATTCCATGTCTTCATACTACCATAACCTCTGAAGTAAATATGAAGGTAACGTCAACACAGAAACAGTAACCTGAAAGGCTATTTGCAGATGAAATATCCTAAATCTAAACCTACATCTGAGGTTAACTAACTCTTGACAAACCGACTGGTTGAAAAATGGGATATATGGGTGTTCATGCATACTCAAATCTAAGTCAAACCTTTTTTTTTTTTTTTTTTTTTCTGGCCATGATAAGCAGCAGCTTTGTAAAGCTGCAACAGACTTAGTGCAAACCTAAAATAGTGTAGTAGAGCATGCAATTAACCTGCAGCGGTGACTTCACTGACGCCATTATCCCCTCAACATGACATCAGTAAACAATGCCTTGTGGAGAGTATTGATTAAAACTAAACCCCCCCACAGGGTTCTCAATAAAATAACATTGTTAACATGCTACAAATGTACTTTTTTTTTCCATGGTAGAAAAATATTTTTAAACCATTTTAAAAAAGCTGTGATTTGGGTGAATGAGGAGCTCAAAATATCCTCCTGTCTCACTCTTTCAATAAGGACAAATTACATAGATGTTCCTGTTGTTCTACAAGGCATCAGAAACCCTAAAACTAGATTTACTAAAAACATCCTTGCCACAGACACAGGACAGAACCATTTAATGGAGGTATATAAGGGGTGGGTGCGTGGAGGGTCAAGAGTGTGGTTCAGTCCAGTGTTGTGAGCGAAGAGGGCCAGCCCCGTTAAAGGTCTCCAGGTTTCTGGTTGCAGTTAGCACAAACACGGACGGGGTGGTCCCAGCCCCGCGACGGGACCGGCCGACGCTCCAGCGAGCACTCGTCACACACGCCTTGCCCGCAGGAGCGACAGTGGTGCTTGGACAGCTTGGCAGTGAAGTTGCACTGGCAGTTGTGGCAGGAGAGGATATCCTGGTCAGGCACCCAGTAGGTGGGACGCGCAGCATCCTTCACCAGACCTGAAGAAAGAGCGGACACACAGTAAAAAACGACTGCTAGAATATAATGGTTTAGCATTGCACTCCCAATAACATGTTGAACAATAAAAGTATCCTAATACTGCAGTATCTAAAAATAATTTTATTTGTGACATTTTTCATATGCCACCAGATGGCAGCCTGTCCATTGGTTTAAATTACTGCAGTCATGTTGCCCATTACACAATTCTATCTGGCTCTTGTGTTACATAACACTCACCCAGTGGGATGTCAATAGCAGTAACCACGGCGCCCAGTGTGTTTGAAACTGCTTCTCCAACCTTCCTGGCTAGGTTTCCACCTTCCTCATCTTCAACCTCTGCATGCAACAGCTCTGTACAAAGTATACAACTATGTTACCACTGTACAGTATGGCTAAAATAAACACGTATGCAGACTAAGTATGGCTATAAACAGATTTACAGGCTAAGTATACTAAGTTACCACTGTACAGCATGGCTAAAAACAAATACATACAGGCTAATTTTGGCTCTGTAGTGTTGGTACCTGTATGTGTGGCCCTCTGCTCATAACAGGTGTCACAGACTCTCACGGGGGCCAGACCCCAGCCTTTCTCAGGGACGGGCGTGGCTTTGGAAGAGCATGCGTCACAGAACCCTTCCCCACAGGCACGGCAGTGATGCTTGGTGTCGTTGTCTTGGAAGACCTCTTGGCACTTAAGGCATGTCTGGACATTACAGGGGGAAAACAAAAACAAGAGGCAGTTATTGACCAGGGCCTCTAGGACGAGGGGTCGATCTGAGCCTTATCTTGTGACCCGCAAACATGGGTTGTGTAACATTGGCCCCCAGCTAAAAAGCAGTGAAGGGCAGTAAACAGGTTCCCGGACAAGAAAGTGTTGACTCTGCTGTTCCACGTATGATATGTGTGGCTGGTCCTCTGTCACTCACCAGGATGAGGGAGTTGGGTTTCCAGTAGGTCGGGGCGATCTGATCCGTTAGCCAGGAGGTGACTGCCTTAGCAGGCTTCACACTGAGCTCTGACACAGACTGGGCCATGAAGTTAACACCATCCAGCAGACGCTGCGCTGCATTGCTATTGTCCTTCAGGAATCCATCTGCCTGTGGAAAGTGAACATTGAGTTACAAGAAGTTAACATGTTCTTTTGTTTACATATAAGACTATGTTGAGAATGGGGAAATAATACCAGTTTGCTTTAGAGTTATTTTAGTAGGTATGTGGTGTGGTAGTTCTCTTACCCCAGGCCATATATGCTGGATTTCAGTGCGGACCACCGTTTCTACTGGGTCCTGGTTCCCATACCAGTACTGCCGGCTCCGATAGATCACCCCACAGTTTGGACATTCAATCACGTACCTGCAGAGAAAAAAGTTCAATCTTACAGAGCAGTTATAACCATATACTGTACAGTGCATTCAGAAAGTATTCAGACCCCTTGACTTTTTCCACATTTTGTTACAGCCTTATTCTAAAATGGATTAAATAGTTCTTTTTCCCCTCATCAATCTACACACAATACCCCATAATGACAAAGCAAAAACAGATTTTTTGATTTTTTTGTGCAAATTTATAAAAAATAAACTGAAATATAACATTTTTCATAAGTATTCAGACGCTTTACTCAGTACTTTGTTGAAGCACCTTTGGCAACGATTACAGCCTCAAGTCTTCTTCGGTATGATGCTACAAGCTTGGCAGACCTGTATCTGTCATGTGCCTTTTACTGAGGAGTGGCTTCGGTCTGGCCACTCTACCATAAAGGCCTGATTGGTGGACTGCTGCAGTGATGGTTGTCCTTCTGGAAGATTATCCCATCTCCATAGAGGAGCTCTGTCAGAGTGACCATTGGGTTCTTGGTCACCTCCCTGACCAAGGCCCTTCTCCCCCCGATTGCTCAGTTTGGCAGTGCGGCCAGCTCTAGGAAGAGTCTTGGTGGTTCCAAACTTCTTCCATTTAAGAATGATGGAGGCCACAGTGTTCTTGGGGACATTCAATGCTGCAGACATTTTTTGGTACCCTTCCCCAGATCTGTGCCTCGACACAATCCTGTCTCGGAGCTCTACGGGCAATTCCTTCGACCTCATGGCTTGGTTTTTGCTCTGACATGCACTGTCAACTGTGGGACCTTATATAGACAGGTGTGTGCCTTTCCAAATCATGTCCAATCAATTGAATTTACCACAGGTGGACTCCAAACAAGTTGTAGAAACATCTCAAGGAAGATCAATGGAAACAGGATGCACCTGAGCTCAATTTCGAGTCTCATAGCAAAGGGTCTGAATACTTGTGTAAATAAGGTATTTCTGTTTTGTTTTTTCACTTTGTAATTATGGGATATTGTGTGTAGATTGATGAGGAAAATGTTTAATTTAATCCATTTTAGAATAAGGCTGTAATGTAACAAAATGTGTAGAAATGGAAGGGGTCTGAATACTTTACGAATGCAATGTACCTCAAGACAAACAACTACATATCTGGAGACATATCTGGAGTGCACCAGATAAGCTAGTAAACGGCTAAGGGTTAGCAATGAATGGATTGGTGATTCTAGATCAAAAAGCACCATGACTTAAAATTAGAGACACTGGTAGAAATCCAACCCCAACCCATGACCTCTAGTGTCACTCACCCTGACCAGGCGTATCTGGCAAGGCCCAGCCATGGAGAGTCTGAGGACGCAGAGGTCTTGGGAACAACCACCACCTCCTTTCCCCCTTCGTAACAGGCCTAGCGGGACAACAGAGGCATTGCGGTCAACCTGATACAGAGTCAGAGATCTTCAGAATGTCGTATGGCAACATTGGGTTCAGGTAGTACAAGATTTAGGTGGATATCCACAGGACTAACCTTGCAGGTGTAGATGCGATTGTCGTATTGGGGTGAGTAACGGCAGCGGTGTTTGGCCTCATGACACACCCCCTCCCCAAGGTGGTTCATGCTGTTCTTGCAGCCAGAGCTAAAATGGCAACAACAATGTGACTTGTTAAAACCCTCGCTGTAGTCAGTGGCATGAGATGGAGAAAATTAAATAAATTACCCGCAACTGAGGCAGAGGCAGGAGCAGGTGAAGTACTCATCGGGGAAGAAGCAATTTTGGGCTATGAGCTCATCAGAAATCTCCCCATTGAAGCGCTCACTCAGGGCCTAGACAGAGAGAAACAACACATCAGAAATGACATACACATAGTCTGACTAGATTGTTCAAACAGTGTGAAAGTAAACCTGTCACTATTGAATAGCAATGTTTGTAACTTGCTAAAACATCCTGTTCTTGTTTCAGTTTGCCTTATGTAAATGTGAGCCTGTTTGAAACTGTTCTGGAGCCAGGTGACTACTGACTGAGTTATACGCATGTATACTACCTGCAAGGCTTTGAAGATGACGACTGGGGAGCGAGGGGAGCGGGTGGCGTTGTTGTCCAGCAGCTGCTCCAGGGTACGCTGCAGACCACCAAAGTCTGTTGGGGGGCTACAGGTACGCGTGCCTCGGTACTGGATGGAGCTGAAGGCCTCTGGGAAACGGCCCAGCTTCCTGAAACGCTCAAGTAGCATCCGATCTACAGACTCTGATGAGTTGTCTGTTATAATGAGAGAGAACAAAGAACAGGATGAGAAGACAGACTTAACTTGGAGTTGGTATATAACCCTTCATAAAAAGGACATTTCACTTCAGATTACATTGATCAATCAAAACGGAGATGGAAGGTGCCTTACACAAAAAGAAAAATCTAAGTAAAAGAAGTCAAATTCTACTCTAAAGACAAGAAACATACACTGAACAAAAATAGAAACGCAACATGTAAAGTGATGGTCCCATGTTTCATGAGCTGAAATAAAAGATCCCAGAAATGTTCCATATGCACAAAAAGCTTATTTCTCAAATGTTGTGGCCAAATTTGTTTACATCCCTGTTAATGAGCATTTCTCCTTTGCCAAGATAATCCATCCACCTGACAGGTGTGGCATATCAAGAAGCTGATTAAACAGCATGATCATTACACAGGTGCACCTTGTACTGGGGACAATAAAAGGCCACTACAATGTTGTCACACAACACAATGCCACAAATGTCTCAAGTTTTGAGGGAGCGTGGAATTGGCACGCTGACTCCAGAACTATTGCCAGAGAATTGAATGTTCATTTCTCTACCACAAAACGCCTCCAACGTACATCCAACCGGCTTCACAACTGTAGACCACGTGTATGGCGTCATGTGGGTGAGCTGTTTGCTGATGTCACCGTTGTGAACAGAGTGCCCCATGGTGGTGGTGGGGTTATGGTATGGGCAGACATAAGCTACAGACAACGAACACAAATGCATTTTAACGATGGCAATTTGAATGCACAGAGATACCGTGACGAGATCCTGAGGCCCATTGTCGTGCCATTCATCCGCCGCCATCACCTCATGTTGCATGATAACGCACTGCCCCATGTCGCAAGGACCTATACAAAATTCCTGGAAGCTGAAAATGTCCCAGTTCTTCCATGGCCTGCATACTCACCAGACATGTCACCCATTGAGCATGTTTGGGATGCTCTGGATCTACATGCACAACAGCGTGTTCCAGTTCCCGCCAATATCCAGCAAATTCACACACCCATTGAAGAGGAGTGGGACAACATTCCACAGGCCACATTCAACAGCCTGATCAACTCTATGCAAAAGTGATGTGTAGCGCTGCTCGAGGCAAACTGGTTTTCTGATCCACGCCCCTACCTTTTTTTTTTTTAAGGTACTGTATCTGTGACCAACAGATGCATATTTGTATTCCCAGTCATGTGAAATCCATAGATTAGGGCCTAATTTATTTATTTCAATTGACTGATTTCCTTATATGAACTGTAACTCAGTAAAATCTTTGAAATTGTTGCGTTTATATTTTTGTTCAGTATATTTTAAGGGATAGAAAATATTTTTTTTACAGTTCAACAGCCACATACTTTAAAAGGAAAAGGTCTCTAGATTACTCAAACTGCTTGACTGGCCAGTTACCTGCTCACACTGTTTCAAAACAGCTCTGTTGGAATGACAATTACTAGTCTTAGCGTGTCAAAGGGAGAGAGGGGTGAGTAGAGATTCTGCACCCGTAATCACCAAATTACATGTTTTATGATCTTCTATAGCAGCACTCATATACATGAATCTACTGTATCCCTAATGTTTCCACTCTGTCAAGGAAGGTGAAATAACAATGAGACTGATGAGTGCAGCAAGTAACAATCTTCGATTTGTGTACAGTACACTATGGTAAGTGTTGACTACAGTATTTCTCAGCACTGACCTGAGCCCAGCAGCTTGGTGTGGACGGTCTCATGGAAGATGATGACGGCCGGGCCCAGGGTGGACAGAGGCACGTCCAGGCCACAGCGGGCCGTAGTGGCCTTCAGCTCCTTGGTGAAATGCTTCAGGTAGGCGTCCGACGCGTCGCACAGAAACTTGAAGAGGTCGTCATGGAGGCGGTCGGCGTGGGTACGGTAGATTATGAGGTCGGAAATAGCTAGCACCTTGAGCAGGAGGCGTGTTCTTTGGCCCTGGTTGGAGCTGTTACCCAGCAGGCCCTCTGTGTCGATGACCACCACCTTGTGGATGGGATCGAATGCCGCCCACACCCCCACTGTGCAGGACTCCTGTGTGGGGGAGGTCTTGAACACCTCCCTGCCCATGAAGAAAGTGTGGTTCAGAGTGTGGGATTTACCCTCTCCTGTGTTGCCAAAGATTGACACCACCTTGATCAGCTTGTCAGGCTTGCAGTTCAATTCCTTCACAAACGCACCTTCGTCCTTTATCTGCAGAAAAAAAAGAGTAGAGTTGGCAGATGAGAGGTAATTCCATTTCACAAAACTCAATTTAGTTTGGAAACAAAACTGACAGAATGCATAAACTCAAAAGGCCTTTTTTAGTCCCTTAACTACCCACCTGCATCTCCTCATTCACATCAACCAGAAGAAAACTGCAGACTTTCTCCAGAAGTTTTGCCTTCTGGACTTCTGCCTCATCAACCACTGAGCTTAAGTTGATCTCTGCAGGTTTGAGTGGAGGGGTTGAATTAACCTGTGGAGGTTTGGGTGGAGGGGTTAATTTGACCTCAACAGGTTTTGGTGGAAGGGTTGAGTTGATCTCTGCAGGTTTGGGTGGAGGGGTTGAGTTGACATGTACAGGTTTTGGTGGAGGATTTGAGTTGTCCTCTGTAGATTTGTGTGGAGGGGTTGAGTTGAGCTCTGCAGTTTTGGGTGGAGGAGGATAGGCGGTGAGTTGGTGCTTCTTCTTGTTACCACCATTATGGGTGCTTCTCCGACACTGTTGGCACAAGTTGACTTTGCAGTTCTGGCAGCGGACAACAGACCTGTGGCGGCAGCCATTCACTGTCCCTTCCTTCCCTCCTTTGCAGTTGTCACAGTAGGGTACATGCCCTGGGCCGATCTCGACCCGTTCATGGTTCTGCAGGCACTCTTGACTATGGAGTTCCTTCTCACAGCGAACACACTGCAAGCTTCTACATTTGTCACATTCAAAAGCAGCCTCTTCTGAGCCCCCACAAGCATAGTTCTCTTGACAAATTAGACTGGTGTTAATTTCCTTTTCTGATGATGAACCATGGCCACTCATTTTTTCTCACAAGTCAAATCTGAACACAGTTTTATGCTAGCTGGAGTAATTTGACTATAACGTCAAATAGTCCCAAAAGCAGAGTGAATAAATATCAATCAAGTAGTTTTAGTGATAACACACATGACTTTAGTGTTAAATATGGTATGCTTTATAGGCTACACCTGCACAACACCTTGAACATAGACAACTTTATGTAAGTAGACTTAACAGGGTTGCATGTGCGCCAATTGACCTCTAAAGATTCAGGATCCACCACAAAAAAATGTACAGCTTATTAGCAAACAATTACTGCAGCATTTCATATATTACAAAAATAATGTCAATATGTGACAAATTGCAAATATAGTACAGTGAGGCAATCTGGTTGAATATGTTTGTTCTGGCTATTTTAAGTCAACCTGCTCTTGACAATAAAATACATTACCTTTATAACTGGCTTCATGAACAGTAAAACGCTGCCAGAATAGATACGTTACAATAAGGTCAGCAAAGTATAGCTGGAAACTCAATGTATGCAATAAAACAAGTGTTTGGCAAGACAACTTCCCTTAAACATATAGCTAGCTACACTAACGTGAATATGTGCAAACTGGCACCAACTTCAAACCACAGTTGGAAGAACTAGCCAGCTGTTTAGAATAAAAAATAAATCACTTCCCTTGTTAGCTAGTTTCCTAATTGCTACCTAACTCGAAAATAAAATGACCTAGCTGACAGCTGCCTAAAAAAACTAGCTAGTAAGTTAGCTGCCTGTAGCTTGACATTTAAACAATAGTTAGCCAACAAACGTAGTTAGCTAGTTTAAAATAACGTTATTCCAATGTCAATGTGACACAAACTATAACGAGTTCCGATGGACAAAATCGACAAAGATTATGTTTACACAACAAATCACAATCGCCCCTGTCTGAAACAGCTAACGTTAGCTGGCTATCTAGCTAGCTCTGTGTTATCCAAGATAGACAGTTTTGGTAAACTCGGTTGTCAATAATATCATAGCCGAATGCTAGGATAACAGCGGGTCGGTCAACAATAAAAGAAAGCATACGAAGAAAAATAGCACAATCCGTTTCGGGAGTCTTTAAAATATATTATTGCATTGAAATCCTTCCTAGCTTTGTCATTGTTTTGTTCATCAGCCCCCTTCTCTGGCGGATTTCTGTGCGCTATGATTGTTGTTGTTCCTAGCCAGGTCAGATCAGCTGATCAGATTATAAAGGCAAACGAGGACGCATGCTGGGAAATGCAGTTGTTTTGAATAAAACAAGTAGGTGTTGTAGTCAAAAATCTATCAAATTGTCTTTGATATTATGTGTACTTCTACATAAAGACACACACAGACATGGATGATGGATTGTCTAGTAAAATTTGACATTTTATCAGAAAGATATTGGATTGTACAACCTGATTTGATTGTGTGATGAAATTGTGAAAGGGAACTCTGAAACGACCACTAATATTGCAAGACTTTGAATTTGATCATAATGAATAATTTGTTTTCCTGACAGAATTACCAAATATAGATTTTCTATACAATTTGTAGTATTCTTTAAACAACTGAAAGCTCAGCTTTTTAAGATTCAGTACACCAGTAGAGGGCAGTATATAACTCATAGTTCGAATCCTTGGGTAAACGACTACCTGACAACAAATTCCTATTTCTCTATGGTTTGATCATGTCAGTGGGTTTGATATGAGACCTTCCCAGAATGAAAATGTCCTTAAGTGGACACAATGTAATTGTGGTGGTGTGAATGTGACAAATTATTATGCAAAATGTCTAAAACAGGGTCTCAATCTCAATGTACTTAACCTTAGTACCCGTGTTTCCCTACACCAGGGTTCCACAACTGTCGGCCAGTAGATGATTGATTTTATTTGATGGCTTCATCCTTTGCTTGCCCCACAAGTGTTTTTTATGTTTACATTGTTGGGCATAAGACTGTAAAAACACTAGCAAATCAGCTCCAAGTGATTTTAATTTTGGTAATCTGTTCCGAAGTATTCCCACCCATGATAAAGAGATATATGTGATCGTATACAAATGTAAGCAAAGTTTGAAATGATTATGTTTTAGTCAAATATACTGTATCTGTCTGGGCTTCTTGCGGTTAATTTGCAGTCTACAAAGTATGTGTAATTATGTCCCAGCCCGTGAGCCTCAGCTCAAGAAAATGAAAGAAAAAACAGCGCGCGGCTGAATCTACAGTAGTTGATGATCCCTGCCCTCCACAATAAAGTAGGCTGTATTTTCTTTCTTATATGGAGGTGTCATTTGATTAGCTGTTTTTAATAGTTTATTTGTTTATCCTGGAAATGGGAATTTCAGCACAGTGACATTTGGAAGATTATTCTCTTTTACCACTCCTTCAAGTAAATTCCACCAGAATAATTTGGATTTGTGTGCAACATGTCCTAAAAGAGAACAGATGTGTGGGCAGTGTATCTCCCATAATCGAATATATATTTACTGGTAACTAATATTCCAAATAATAGTTTTTCCTTGTGCAGATACAGTGTTTAGTCACCACATTATGTTGTCCACTAGAAAAGCCTTTGTGAGGAAACCATAGTAATCAGAATGCTAATTACCACCTGGGAGAGAAAGCAGGGATTCACCCCACTTTATAAATGTTAATGGTCTCTTTGAAGTGGTTTAGGAATTGGCAGATTACTTTATTGAACAGAAAACTGTTTAGAAGAAGCTCAGCAGATCTCAGCAGTGTGCTGGGATAGTAGGATCTAGGCTAGTTTGACAGGCTCCAGAGATTGGATAAATGAGAAGAAGTCTCCAACACAGCAGGCCCAGGAAATACAAAATTCAGAGGATTAGGGCTTCAGGCATTAGGGCCTGTATGCACACTATATAGTATAATCCGTTTTTAAATTGTTGTCTCCTTTATATCACATGTAGGCCTTTACATTTTACCATTGATTTATCGTACACTTAAAAACAGTGTTCTCCTCTTTCTTATGCAAAGTTTAAGGTTTCCAATACCCAATGACTGTGGACATGGATGTAGTACTCAGCAATAGATTTATATCCATTATGACTTTCCTCTTTCCAAGGCTTAAACCAATTTGCTATTATAACAAAAGCAAAGGGAACATTTCTAATGGAGAGGTAAAAAAAAAATCTAGTTACTAATTTAAATGGTCTTTGTCTTGTAAATTGGAGCCTCAATTTGACAGCAGGTGACCATAGTCCCTTGTCTTTGAGCTGAGTAACAAAACCCTGTGGTGCGAGTATTCTCAGCTCTCAGTCTTTCCCTCTATTATTTTCAGAGGATTTACCTCCCTGACTGTTGGCCTCCCTGGCTGTTGGCCTCCCTCAGTGATCAACAGACCTTACCAAAAAACTCACAAGATAATATTAAATTATGGAGTACCGCCTACCGGAATATAAGGTCCAAATGCATTAATGAATATAATTTTTTCTACAACTACTCTGAGGGTCAACATCTGATCTATACCAGATGATTCTCTAGTCAATGAGAATGCATTCTGCAATCTGTCATTTTCACACATTTCTTTACTTCTACACTACCAGTCAAAAGTTTGGACACACCTACCCATTCAAGGGTTTTTCTTTATTTTTACAATTTTTTACATTGTAGAATAATAGTGAAGACATCAAAACTATGAAATAACACATATGGAATCATGTGGTAACCAAAAAAGTGTTAAACAAATCAAAATATTTTTTATATTTGAGATTCTTCAAATAGCCACCCTACGCCTTGATGACAGCTTTGCACACTCTTGGCATTCTCTCAACCAGCTTCACCTGGAATGCTTTTCCAACAGTCTTGAAGGAGTTCCCACAAATGCTGAGCACTTGTTGGCTGCTTTTCCTTCACTCTGCGGTCCGACTCATCCCAAACCATCTCAATTGGGTTGAGGTCGGGGGATTGTGGAGGCCAGGTCATCTGATGCAGCACTCCATCACTCTCCTTTTTGGTAAAATAGCCCTTACACAGCCTGGAGGTGTGTTGGGTCATTGTCCTGTTGAAAAACAAATGATAGTCCCACTAAGCCCAAACCAGATGGGATGGCATATCGCTGCAGAATGTTGTGGTAGCCATGCTGGTTAAGTGTGCCTTGAATTCTAAATAAATCACAGACAGTGTCACCAGCAAAGCACCCCCACACCATAACACCTCCTCCTCCATGCTTTACGGTGGGAAATACACATTCAGAGATACGACAGTCCATCATTACTTTAAGACATGAAGGTCAGTCAATACAGAAAATGTCATGAACTTTGAAAGTTTCTTCAAGTGCAATCGCAAAAGCCATCAAGCGCTATGATGAAACTGGCTCTCATGAGGACCGTCACAGGAATGGAAGACCCAGAGTTACCTCTGCTGCAGAGGATACGTTCAATAGAGTTACCAGCCTCAGAAATTGCAGCCCAAATAAATGCTTCACAGAGTTCAAGTAACAGACACATCTCAACATCAACTGTTCAGAGGGGACTGTGTGAATCAGGCCTTTATGGTCGAATTGCTGCAAAGAAACCATTACTAAAGGACACCAATAATAAGAAGAGACCTGCTTGGGCCAAGAAACACGAGCAATGGACATTAGACTGGTGGAAATGTGTCCTTTGGTCTGGAGTCCAAATTGGAGATTTTTGGTTCCAACCGCTGTGTCTTTGTGAGACGCGGTGTGGGTGAACAGATGATCTCCACATGTGTAGTTCCCACCGTAAAGCATGGAGGGGGAGGTGTTATGGTGTGGGGGGCTTTGCTGGTGACACGGTCTGTGATTTATTTAGAATTCAAGGCACACTTAACCAGCATGGCTACCACAGAATTCTGCAGTGATGCGCCATCCCATCTGGTTTGGGCTTAGTGGGACTATCATTGTTTTTTCAACAGGACAATGACCCAACACACCTCCAGGCTGTGTAAGGGCTATTTTACCAAGAAGGAGAGTGATGGAGTGCTGCATCAGATGACCTGGCCTCCACAATCCCCCGACCTCAACCCAATTGAGATGGTTTGGGATGAGTCGGACCGCAGAGTGAAGGAAAAGCAGCCAACAAGTGCTCAGCATATGTGGGAACTCCTTCAAGACTGTTGGAAAAGCATTCCTCATGAAGCTGGTTGAGAGAATGCCAAGAGGGTGCAAAGCTGTCATCAAGGCAAAGGGTGGCTACTTTGAAGAATCTCAAATATAAAATATATTTAGATTTGTTTAAAACATTTTTGGTTACTACATGACTGTTATTTCATAGTTTTGATGTCTTCACAATTATTCTACAATGTAGAAAATAGTAAAAATAAAGAAAAACCCTTGAATGAGTAGGTGTGTCCAAACTTTTGACTGGTAGTGTAATTCATTAAAATAAACATTAAAAAAAATGCTCGTCCTAATATTGATAAAATGACAAAGCAAACATCGGTTAAAAACATGTGGCTTCCACAAGAAGCACAGAAATATATGGCTAGAAGATATTCACATTTTATAGAGTTTAGGAACAAAATACTTGACCATGCATAGTGTCTCTGTGAGAGAAAAGTGATTGTCAGGTCTCAAATAGGCTGTGACACAAACTGCAATACAATGCTAGCTGAACCCATCCTGTGAATAAAAAAGACTTGCCACACTTCAGACAATGGTGGAAGGCTGTCACAGGTTGATGGGTGAACCTTTGGCTTTTGAGCTTCAATAGGCACAATATATGACGACTTTTGTTCAGAATATTCTGTAACCCTTTGTAATCCATGCAACTCTTCATCTAGTTCCAGTTTTCAAGGTGCATAATCCATTCCACATAGCTGCTAGTGCAACCCCCTAGTATTCAATGCCAGAATACTATCATGTCCTACACTGAACAAAAATATAAACGCAACATGTAAAGTGTTGGTCCCATGTTTCATGAGCTGAAATAGAAAATCCCAGAAATGTTCCATACGCACAAAAAGCTTATTTATCTCAAATGTTGTGCACAAATTTGTTTACATCCCTGTTAGTGAGCAATTATCCTTTGCCAAGATAATCCATCCACCTGACAGGTTTGGCATATCAAGAAGCTGATTACACAGCATGATCATTACACAGGTGCACCTTTTGCTTGGGACAATAAAAGGTCACTTTAAAATGTGCAGTATTGTCACATAACACATTGCCACAGATATCGACATGGAATCGCTTTCCACTTTAATAATGGAACACTAGTTACTTTAATAATGTTTACATACTGCTTTACTCATCTCATATGTATATGCTGTATTCTATTCTACTGTATTTTAGTCAATGCCACTCCGACGTTGCTCGTCCTAATATTGATATATTTCTTAATTCCATTCTTATACTTTTAGATTTGTGTATTGTTGTGAATTGTTAGATACTACTGCACTGTTGGAGCTAGGAACACAAGCATTTCGCTACACCCGCAAGATCATCTACTAAATATGTGTATGTGACCAATAAAATGTGATTTGATTTGATTTCTCAAGTTTTAAGGGAGCGTGCAATTGGCATGCTGACTGCAGGAATGTCCACCAGAGCTCTTGCCAGATATTTGAATGTTCATTTTTCTACCATAAGCTGCCTCCAACGTCGTTTTAGAGAATTTGGCAGTACGTCCAACTGGCCTCACAACCACAGACCACGTGTAACCATGCCAGCCCAGGACCTCCACAACTGGCTTCTTCACCTGCGGGATCTGATTGGCTGGGCCTGGCTCCCGAGTGGGTGGGCCTGGCTGCCAATTGGGTGGGCCTATGCCCTCCAAGGCCCACCCATGGCTGCACCCCTGCCCAGTCATGTGAAATCCATAGATTAGGGCCTAATTAATGTATTTCCATTGACTAATTTCCTTATATGAACTGTAACTCAGTAAAATCTTTGAAATTGTTGCATGTTGCGTTTATATTTGAGGTAGTGTTGCCATTTGGTCAGATGAAGCAGAATAACTTATTCCACCTGCCACTAGAGAAAGTCTTTGCATGATCCAAGAGATTGAGCTTCTTTGCTTTCTGACAGGCCAAATGCTTCTTTGAGGTTCTTCTGGGTCAGTGCAGAACACTCCACGTAGTCGTGGGTTCTGATCTTCTCTACCAGCCCCCTGGCCTGGGAGTTCACCACCGGCTTGTCCCTCAGCTGGTCCAGATGGATAAGGATGTTAACATCATGCCGGAGGGCCAACTGTGTCCCTACTAGAATTATGGGTGAAGCAGGATTGAAGGTGCGGATCTGGGGGATCCATTTTGAAGTGGTGTTCTGGAAAGACACTGGGTTGACAATACTGAAGCAAAGAATTAAGACATCTATTTGATTGTAACATATGGAGTGAAAATGATCAAACTCCTCCTGCAAAAAAACAAGGAAAGGACAGATGAATTCACTGTACAGATGTAGGATCTTAATTTGAGCCAGAATGCTACAGCAGGAAAATAATTCTGCAGCAACAGGAAATGTGAATTATGTGGATTATAATTCATGGACATTTTTGTACGGGTTGATACATTTTTTGCAAGGGAAAATCAAGTCTGAAATTTCAAAGTGGAAATTAGAAACTTCAGAAGCATTTGTAAACATAACATACTGATCCTACATCTGTATTCACTACATAGTCACTGTAGCCAACATTTAATACTGTCACGATCGTCGACAGATAAGCGTACATTCTTTATTTGTGTACACACACGAACCAAAACAATAAACCAAACGATACGTGAAGTCCTAGGTTATACACAACACCCTACGGAACAAGATCCCACACTAAACTAGTGAAAACAGGCTGCCTAAGTATTGTCCCCAATCAGAGACAACGAGCTACAGCTGCCTCTGATTGGGAACCACCCTGGCCAACATAGATCTAAACGATCTAGAACGAAAACATAGAAAATGTAACAGAAACTCCACACCATTTAAGAGTCCCCCGAGCCAGGGCGTGACAGGGCACCGGTGGAACAGGCACGGACCGTGCCGGACTGACGACGTGCACCACTGGCTTGGTGCGGGGAGCAGGAACGGGCCGGACCGGGCTGACGACGCGCACCACTGGCTTGGTGCGGGGAGCAGGAACGGGCCGGACCGGGCTGACGACGCGCACCACTGGCTTAGTGCGGGGAGCAGGAACGGGCTGGACCGGGCTGGCGACGCGCACCACTGGCTTGGTGCGAGGGACAGGAAGGGGCCGGACCGGGCTGACGACGCGCACCATTGGCTTGGTGCGGGGAGCAGGAACAGGCCGGACCGGGCTGGCGACGCGCACCACTGGCTTGGTGCGAGGGGCAGGAACAGGCCGGACCAGGCTGACGACGCGCACCACAGGCCTGGTGCGAGGGACAGGAACAGGCCGGACCGGGCTGGCGACGCGCACCACAGGCTTGGTGCGGGGAGCAGGAACAGGCCGGACCGGGCTGGCGACGCACACCACAGGCTTGGTGCGGGGAGCAGGAACAGGCCGGACCGGGCTGGCGACGCGCACCACAGGCTTGGTGCGGGGAGCAGGAACAGGCCGGACCGGGCTGGCGACGCGCACCACAGGCTTGGTGCGGGGAGCAGGAACAGGCCGGACCGGGCTGGCGACGCGCACCACAGGTTGGTGTGAGGGACAGGAACAGGCCGGACCGGGCTGGCGACGCGCACCACTGGCTTGGTGCGGGGAGCAGGAACAGGCTGGACCGGGCTGGTGACGTGCACCACAGGCTTGGTGCGGGGAGCAGGAACAGGCCGGACCGGGCTGACGACGCGCACCACAGGCTTGGTGCGAGGGACAGGAACAGGCCGGGCTGGACTGTGGAGACGGACTGGAGGTCTGGAGCGGAGAGCTGACACAACCCGTCCTGGCTGAATGCCTATTTCCACACAATCTGTGTGAGGCATCAGCACAGGACGTACAGGGCTGTGCACTCATACTGGCACTACAGCACGTGGCACTGGCGCAGGATATCCGGGACCGAGGAGGGGTACTGGAGGCCACGAGCGTTGAGCCGGCACACTCTGTCCTGGCTGCATGCCCACCTTAGCACGACAAGTGCGTGGTGCTAGCACAGGACGTACAGGACTGTGCCGGAAACACTCGCGGCACAGTACGTGGCTCCGCATAACACGGAACCTGCCCAGTCTCACGCTGCCTAGCCTGAGTACGGGGAGTTGGCTCTGCTCTACCTCTAGGCTCCGCCAACCACCCTTCCAGCCCCCCAAACCTGGTGGCCTCCTCTCCTAGTCCGCCGATTCGTCCTGTAGCTGCCTCCAGCAGCCCCGCCGTCCAAAAAAATTTCTTGGGGGTGCCTCTCGCGTGTCCGACATCGGCACGGTTGGCGCCGTTTCTCCTCTCCTGCCTGGGCATTTACTTTTGCCCATGGCCCTCTGCCCGCGAATGTGTCCTCCCAAGACCACCATTCTCCCACCTGGGACATCGCCAACTTCTCCTCCTGGGCACGCTGCTTGGTCCTCTGGTGGTGGGATCTTCTGTCACGATCGTCGACAGATGAAGCGGACCAAGGCGCAGCGTGATAAGCGTACATTCTTTATTTGTGTACACACACGAACCAAAACAATAAACCAAACGATACGTGAAGTCCTAGGTTATACACAACACCCTACGGAACAAGATCCCACACTAAACTAGTGAAAACAGGCTGCCTAAGTATTGTCCCCAATCAGAGACAACGAGCTACAGCTGCCTCTGATTGGGAACCACCCTGGCCAACATAGATCTAAACGATCTAGAACGAAAACATAGAAAATGTAACAGAAACTCCACACCCTGGCTCAACATTTAAGAGTCCCGCGAGCCAGGGCGTGACAAATACATTTGTTGCCATATTGTATTTTGTAGGCCTACTCGTGCATTATTGATAATGTAAAAAATAAAGTGTCATCATGGTTATATTTATACATCTATGTATAGGCTATAGGCCTAGTTATCTGTCCTGCTGTGTCCATCAACTGGATTTGTACTGGAATCCCATCTACTCGAACCAAACCTGTAGGATAGAGCACAATTCATCACATGCAGTATCAAACCCCCTTTCACTCGCCCAAAGGAAAATTGTTACTGTAGCCTACAGTAAGTAAAGGATGCAGAAGATGCTAACTCACCAGTGAAGACATCAAAGGCCATCTGACGGTATTCATTTGGATATCCATTGGATATATAACCTATGATCATACTGGCTTTCCCCACAGCACCATAACCAACCAACATACAACTAATGACTGGGTCCTGGTGCTTTTCTTGGAAAACATCGGGGGACAGCGTCATCTTATCTCTGATACTGCGTTCACTTCACCTATCTGGTGGCATTTCAGCAAAAGTTTAAATCAAAGTGAGTGCGCACTGTTTCATCAATTGCTACAGTGTCGGCAAACGGACATCAAAATGCACATGGAGGAAACAAATTTAGCAGGTACTTTGCCACCTCCAGTTTGAACGAACAATGCCACCCAATCAAGTTATAGCCCTCAATTCAACACGAACTTATTTTCACATGCTTGAATTTGCATAGTAACTCCCACAGCGGCCGTCAGCCAGTTGACAAAATGCCCAAAAATGGGCCATTGAAGATCGATGGCCTGGCTACTGTATGCATTTCAGTCAGTGGAGGCTGTCTGAAGGAACTATAGGATGACGGGGTCATTGTAATGTCTGGAATGGAGTCAATGGAACGGTATCAAACACAACAAACATACATGTATGTAAACCATGTTTGACTCCATTCCATTGAATCCTTTCCAGTCATTACAACGAGCCCTTCCTTCTATAGCTCCTCCCACCAGCCTCCACTGATTTCAGTGCAAAGGGAAGGGCTACCTATCTACCACTCCAACCAAGATGCATGAATTGAGCAGTAAACTGAAGTGAGCAGTAAACTGGTCTAAGGCACTGCATCGCAGTGCTAGCTGTGCCACTAGAGATCCTGGTTCGAATCCAGGCTCTGGTTCGAATCCAGGCTCTGTCGTAGCTGGCCGTGACCGGGAGACCCATGGGGCGGCGCACAATTGGCCCAGCGTCGTCCAGGGTAGGGGAGGGAATGGCCAGCAGGGATGTAGCTCAGTTGGTAGAGCATGGCGTTTGCAACGCCAGGGTTGTGGGTTTGATTCCCACAGGGGGCCAGTATGAAAAATAAAAAAATGTATGCACTCACTAACTGTAAGTTGCTCTGGATAAGAGCGTCTGCTAAATGACGTAAATGTATTTGTATTTATTATGGATCCCCATTGATAAGCGCCTCTCTTGTTTTGGACCTTCCTCAAGGTTTACAGAGCAAAAAATGAAGGAGGTTTTTATTATATTTCAAAATGATGTTCTGTGGGTTCAGGGACCAATCACAATAGAAATACAAAACAAACTATGCTGTGATTGGTAAATTAGTTGCAAGGTTGGTAAATTAGTTGCAAGGTTAGGTGAACTCATTTCCCAATCACATCATGTTTTGTCTTGTATTCCAATTCAGGAACCCAATTGTGATTGGGTTCCTGAACACCAAGGGGAATTTGAAATACATAAAAGCCTCCTTCAAGTCTCTATACTAAATGTAGCAGTAAGCTGAATCAAGATGGTGAGCTGGTAACGATAGAAGAGAAGAGTTGCCAGAGATAGCCAGACTTGTAAATTGGGCTAAGGAACAGAAGTTGGGTTTTGGAGAAACTCCATCAGTGTGTGCTCTGCAAGCAATACAGCGGATGAAGGCGCGGCAAGAGCGTAGTGAACGGATAGACGTGGTAATGGACAGCGAGGAAGAAGGAAAAGAGCTGAGTGCAAGAATGGCGCCAAGTACAAACCGCATTCTGTTATCTCTGATGGCTCAGAAATTGAACCTGACAAGAGTGAGGATGAATTACCTGTGGTGGCAGGTGTGGTGAAGACCTCTGAGTCCGAGCCTCGCCCCGATGGTCATGCAAAGGATGATTCAGGCCCAGTGGGAGTGAACATTTTGGAGAAAGTGGATCGCTGCCTTTTGGCTGATCCATATGTAGTCTCAGGCTGGGTAGAAAAGAAGTTGGGTACTGTTAAATCGGTGAAGGTAGCTCGAAGTGGACTTGTGGTGATTTTCTGTGTTTCTTCCATCCAGAGGGAGCGGGCACTTCACGTCTCATGACTAGGGACATGACCTGTGAATTGTATTTGCTCTCGGAGCAGGGCACCTTTGAAAGGAGAGATTACTGTGGTGGTGTTAATTGTTGAGTTGGAGCAACTGAAATAGAAAATTCCCTGTGTCTGTGACGCCCACTGTTTGGTGCGACTCAGATCTGGTGGCGAGTGTGGTGAAACTGAAAATACTTTCTCTGTCCTTTTGAGTTTTGAAGCAGGGTCTTTACCTCTGTAGCTCAATTGGTAGAGCATGGTGCTTGTAATGCCAGGGTAGTGGGTTCGATCCCCGGGACCACCCATACGTAAAAATGTATGCACACATTACTGTAAGTCGCTTTGGATAAAAGCTGCTAAATGGCATATTATTATAAAGTCATGTTAGGATATCAGTTATCCAGCGAGAGCTTTTGTGCCTAACCAACCAAGGTGTTTCAAATGCCAAGCTTTGGTCATGTTGCAGCAGTGTGTAGGAGGGAGATTCTGAGATGGGAGAAGTGTGCAGGAGGGCATGGGACAAAGGAATGTGTAGTATCGGTGGAAAAAACGGTCAATTGTGGGGGTGCCCATGTTTCTGGGGATCAGAAGTGCCCAGTGTGTGAGAGACAGGTTGTGGTTGCCAGAAGGTATTGTATGCTGAGGCATTGAAGAGAGTAGAGGATGATGGGTCAAGGGTGAGTAGTAGGACTAGGCCAAAATAGAGTGATACGAATTTGTGCTTCAGTAAAGTTGTCTTCTTAGCATTCATTGCCATGGTTATCAACTGTAACGTAAATCACAGAAAATAGATGTGATGGCAGCTGCCGAGAAGTACTTGGGTGTACAAGGTTTTACTGCAGAAGAGTTACAAGGTGTGTTGAATGAAAGAGGCCCATCCTCCCAGGCCGTCGGGGTCAAAGTAGTGGAATGGGGTGGTGTTTTTTTATGAACTAGTGGTATATAGGTGGAGGGTAAGGGTTAGTTGATGGTGCAATATTTCCTTTTCCCCCTTCCTTTTTAATTTGGTATCACAAAATGTAACGTGATTGACCACACACTACCACACAGTAGGTGGCGGCATGCACAAACAAAATGTGCGAACGCCATGATACCAAAGAAGAAGTATATTACATTTAATACACTAATGAATGCTAATTGGTCCAAAATGTGTTGATTTTACTTTTAAGAATAAAAAAGAGTTGCTGAATTCCCACTTCACTACTGTATGAAATTCCACACAGGTAATGAAAAAACTATCAAAACAACAACCTAGACAACCAAGGTCAGAATCACCACATAGGCCTACAGGTTTACTGCAATGCAAGCCTAAGCATATTCAACTTTTTAAGTGACCAGTAAATGCTGTTTAAAAGTTTACTGGAAATGCACTCACATCGCTCGATTGCACCATTCAAGATGGTGATCAAAATGTCAACAACTTTTGAAATGTTCCTACTGTGGTAGGCCTATAACTATCTGTATTTATACTGTTACAATGTATAAGGTAATCCAGAAATAATGGCCAGTACCAATGAACATGTGTTGTTACAATAGGCCTATAGGCATGTTCTCCCTTCCAAGATAAAGGTATCCAGAATGGTGTACTTTAGCTGCTGTGTAATGCCCTGTTACTAATAACTAATAAACAATACCATTTACTTCATGTAGGCCTATAATGTGTGACTGTGAACCCTCTCTTTAGGAGGCAGTGTTGTTCCACTGTCAGCCACAATATCTGCCTCTCCAGCCCTGTGTGTGTGGCCAGCTCCCTCTGTGATTCCAGACCTGCCTGTGGCTTCCTCTCCTCTCCCAGGTCTGATTGTCCTCTGAAATAGCTCAGTTGAGTGGGCATTGTGGCTCTGTCAACAGCTGGATAGTTGCTCTTTGCTCAGCTCAGCTATCAGATGCAGGAGCAGGATCCTCTGCTACAGCAGCATGTTCTAAGTTCCATTTCAGTGGTGGAATTTTCTCTGGTGTGATTTCCTACTAGTCAGATACACAGAGGATCACCTGCGTTAGCCTCTACGAATCTGAGTGTGGAATGGACATGCCTCTACACTCGTCTCTAACATTGATTACAGAATTCCAAACAGTCCCTTTACAAGTCAGAATGTTGAATAAACTTAATTTGAATTTTGCCGGTTGTCCACTGAGTTCGTCCTTAAATTTGAGACAGAATATCCACAGAAAAGCAACTTCAAAACGTGGATGTCTGTGTGTGGCTCTCATGGTTTGTCTGTTCATCACCTGAGGCACACGCACACAACATATACTGAACAAAAATATAAACACAACATGCAACAATTTCAAAGATTTAGCTGAGTTACAGTTCATATAAGGAAATCATTCAATTGAAATAAATTCAATAGGCCCTAATCTATGAATTTCACGTGACTGGGCAGGGGCGCAGCTATGGGTGGGCCTGGGAGGGCATAGGTCCACCCATTTGGGAGCCAGGCCCAGCCAATCAGAATTAGTTTTTCCCCACAAAATGACTTTATTACAGACCGAAATACAAACCCCCCCCCCCCCCCCCAAAACGATCCAGCAGGTGAAGAAGCCGGATGTGGAGGTCCTGGGCTGGCGTGGTTACACGTGGGCTGCGGTTGTGAGGCCGGTTGGACGTACTGCCAAATTCTCTAAAATGACGTTGGAGGCGGCTTATGGTAGAGAAATTAACATTAAATTCTCTAGCAAGAGCTCTGGTGGACATTCCTGCAGTCAGCATGCCAATTGCACGCTCGCTCAAAACTTGAGACATCTGTGGCATTGTGTTGTGTGCCAAAACTGCACATTTTAGAGTGGCCTTTTATTGTCCCCAGCACAAGGTGCACCTGTGTAACGATAATGCTGTTTAATCAGCTTCTTGATATGCCAAACCTGTCAGGTGGATGGATTATCTTGACAAAGGATACAATTCTCACTAACAGGGATTCAAAGAAATGTGTGCACAAAATTTGAGCGAAATAAGCTTTTTGTGCATATGGAACATTTCTGGGATCTTTTATTTCAGCTCATGAAACATGGGACCAGCACTTGTTGCGTTTATATTTTTGTTCAGCATAAATACAAGACCTGATGCATGCATACTAACCAAGCTCTTGCAGGTGTTTACATGGTCTTGAACATGTGCAAGGTGATGGAAATCTCAGTACTAGTGTAACAGTGTTGCTTCCGTCCCTCTCCTCGCACCT